ATTTAATTTGATGGGAAAAATACTAAATTCTTTAACATTACATCTTGATCCTCCGGGGCCGAATTCGATCCATCTATCTCCTCCCATCATAGAGGGAGAGAGAGAGAGAAGGGGGGGGGGAAGGGAGAGAGAACGATGACGAGGGCAATCTAATCATTTTCACGCCAATTGCGTATTAATCGTGATTTATTCGAGTAAGGGACAAAAACTAAGATACTTATGGGTTATCGATAATTTATTTTATTTTTCCCATCGAAAGCCAAATGACATACTTTTGAACTAAACTGCTGTCGTTCATCCAAATATAGCCTGAGAGCCGTCGTTTTCGGAGTTAGTTTAAATAAATAACAATTGGACGTCTTTCAGTTATTCTAGAATTATATAGGGACCGAAAGATAAAAACCCCTGCCAAAAACGGCGCCCAGTCTGATCACAGGAATCCGAATCCGTTTGGCGAATCGCATGGCCATTTTTTTGGTTCCCCTGAAATCGGCTTCTGAAGTTTCTTCCTCTCCTCACTCTTCCTCCTCTCTCTCTACGCCTTGAGTCAACTCCATTTACTACCTTCCGCAAGGGTTTTCATACAGAACCGAGCTTCCACATCCTCTGCCGCACTGCCGGGGATCCCCCCCCTGTGCCGCCGCAATTATGGCCACCGGTGCTCCGCCATTCCCAAGGACCTCCACGCCTGAACCTTCTGTCGGACTCCCACCGCCGCCGCCGTGGGGCTGTCGGATCCGGCCACCTCGAGGTCCTCTCCGGCTTACCTCTATCGCTGGCGGCTCCGCGATCAGATGGCCGCCTGTGGCGTGGACTCTCCGAAGGACCAGGCCGCATCGTCATCCTCCTTAAAGAGGGTGAAATTCCTCTTCAGCTTTGGAGGAAGGATTCTTCTGCGCCCTAGTGACGACGTCCTTTGTTATGTTGGTAGCCACACCTCCATTATAACCCTAAATAATCTCACATAAGTTTGTACATAAATATAATTATGTATAAAGATCTGATCTTGTTCTACATTCATGATGAACAAAATTGAAAAAAGACACAAAGAGGTGAACCACTCATTAGTTATTTAAAGGGCCCATGTTACTTAGGTCACACATTGTGAGAGTCCCTTCTGGAGTATCCCATGACTCTTAGGCTAGCAAAAGCAAGCGACTCTCTTGTGTTGATCCAAAAGGCCACACCCCACTCTTGAGTCATAATTGACTCAGATATGATTCTTGATCATTTTTATTCTTATTCTTCATGACTCATGAATAAATCATTCATCTTTGTCAACTCATCTTTGAGAACATCGGTTAGTGCCTCCAGCTATATCAATTCCTGAGCTTTGGTAGTGTCGGAAGGCGTTTCAAAGGCGGCAAATGTGGATGTATTTCTGTAATCAAGACTCTCATCGCATTTGCACGAATTCCGGTGTCTGTCCCTTTTGGCTGAATTTCATGTGCGAGTTCATCTCCCTCGCAGCCATCCCACCATTTAAAGAGGGCTCGGCAAGCTCCTACGCCACCCAACTCCTAAGTTTCTGCAACCACCGGCTGCAGTTCCATGCATACTAAGGTTAGCTTTGTGTGTGTGTGTGTGTGTGTGTGTGTAGAGAAAGAGAAACTTTACCACGGGATATAGCCCTAGTGTGGTACCTAAGAGACGACAGCATAACCTGTTCAGGAAGACAAGATTGGAGATGGCGAAGGCGGCGAGGGAAACCTCCCGCCGACGTCTCGCAAGGGTGAGGAAGAAGGTAGTAGTACCCATGTCTCTTCTAGTATTCTGCCGAGAGCGGCAGCGAGTTCGAGCAGGTTTATGCAACTTTAGTTTGCGACGGTCTCACCACGATCGGGAGGCTTGACGGGTTTTCGCTGGTCGACGATGGCATTTGAGGCCATGTCAACGTCTCACCGACTTACCAGCGGCATTGTCTATGGCGGGCATAGAATTCAAGTCATGTAGTTCAGACAATGCAACGCTTGTTGACGGTGGGGTAATGCTATTTTCTGCAATCTTCCGTAACGTTCATATTGCTCCAATGTCTATAACCCCACTGCATAGTGATGTGCGATGGCTTATATCAGCCGTTTACAAATGCTAGAATGAATAATTCAGAGAGTTCAGCTGAAGAACCAGCAAACGTTACAAAATTAACATCTCTGTTGAATCATATTTGTATGAAAAAATAGTAAGTTGTGATTTCCATTTTTAAGAATAATGTAACCAAGAAATAGACAGCTTACACTCTTTCTGACCTCCGATTATGATGGGTTTTGTCAGTGTCTGTTCCAAAATCAAAGAAAGAGTTCATATGGCCTTATAGACCCAGCTAAATGGTTGCCAAGATAGTACATTCGGTGGATGATGCAGTAGAAAATGATACGATGAAGATTTGATTGAGTTGAAATCTTGATTTTCGTGAAAATGCTTCTCTTTGACTCTACAGAAGGAAGAACCTTTGACTCTTAAATCTACAAAGACTTAATCTTCGATCCACATGATCAAAATAGTTCCCCTTAATTCATAAACTGCACTAAAATTGACTAATAGAGAAACAGAAATTTAGAAGAGTTACAATTTCATAGAATTAATTGAATATAGATTAAATGCCTCTAGGGATATAAGAAGGTCCTTAAATATAACAAAATCTAGCAATAACAGCCCAAGAAAAAGAGGATGTACTATTAGAACACTAATCTTTTATTTAGGCCACTCAAATATAATTAAAAACTGGGAAACGAAAGTAAATGAAAATAAATTTGAACACATTTAAGATGCGTCTAAATATCTTATTGGGTCATCTCAAGTGAAACTAGGCTGCATCTTTGAAGTGTCTTTGACAACTAGTATGGGATTAAAAAAAATCCAAAGCAATCAAATACCAAACGGAATTATAATTAAACCATAATAGAAACACATATCATACATCTCTTGATTAACCTCCAAATATTCAAGGGAGGGAGGAAATAGTAGGCTGAGACGTGCCATAACTATGCGTAGAATAGTTACAAGTTTATATTATTTCTTTAAGTTAAGAAACCTTAGTCTAGGGCTTCGTCTCACTGCCTTCTATAGCTGACCAGATCAAAAGGGGCGAAACTGAGTGTTGAGCGGGTCTAGTTGAGAACGTCAACACTCAACACTCAGTTTTGCCTTCTATCTACGTCGTTATTGGGCGAAACTGAGTGCTTATAACTCTCCCAATAACGACGTAGATACCTGCCCTGTTCTCTCACGTAAATCAGCCATAGATTGCTTCTAACGTGGGCCAAATGATGTTAGGTCGCTGTTTTACCTCGTCAATGAGCTCTCTACTCTTTGGGATTCACGCACGAAATCACGGTTCACTGAGCATCCTGAAGCGGTAAGCACTGGGGATCGGTAGATTGCAACGCGCCTCCCTTTCTTCAACGTCTATTCCTCTCTTAACCTACCCCTCTCTCTCTCTCTCTCTCTCTCTCTCTCTCTCTCTCTCTCTCTCTCTCTCGCTGGTATTCTGGCATGTAAGTAGAGAGGTCAGACCGGGCCAAGCTGTACAGAAGAGCTTCAGAAAATAATCATGAAATGGTTTGAAAACAGACGAATGATATCAGTTTCATTTGCTAAATAACCATCTGAAAGGAAGCATGAAACTGGATAGAACAAGCCGCAGATCAATCACCATAATTATCTTGACAGCGGTGACGGCAGCTGCCGAGAGGAAAACGGCCCGTTTAACGGCGACGGAGAAGAGGCTGGCCGGCGAACTCATGACACTCCTCTGCGAATTCGGCAGGTTCTTCGCCCTTGAATCTTCAGCTTCCCCTCTTGGTTATCCACATATTAAATGAGAGCTTCTGCCGTTGACTTTGTAGCGGTAGTTCAGTGAAATCAAGGAAGAACCCTTCAATCACGTGGCCGCCCCCGTCATCAGCACCTTCCTCTCCTCCGGCGTGCTGGTTCGTCGTCGTCTCCGACCTCTAAACTATTGTCAGGCTTTGAAACCGTCAAGGATCAACTTTTCGGCCTGGCCCAGATATCTAGAATTATTTGGCGTTCAGTCGTAGATCAAATTAGCTTGAAACTATAAGTTATTTATTTATTTTTGTCCCTCGATTAAATTGTTTCTTAATGAACATTTAATTTTATGGGGAAAATGCTAAATTAATCTCTCTATGGGAAAACTACTTCCGAAAAATTACGTCTTGAACCCGCGGGGCCGAAATCGATCCATCTCTCTCCTTCTACCATAGAGATAGAGAGAGAGAACGATAACGAGGGCAATCTAATAATTTTCACGTCAAATTTCTGTTAACCACGATTTATGAGAGTAAAGGACAAAAACTAAGAGATATATGGGTTTATCAATAATTTTTTTATTTTTTGCCATGTAAAGCCAAATGTCATGGTTTTGAACTATACGGCGTATTTTATGCAAATGTAGGCTAAGGAGAGCCGTCAAATGAGAGGCTGGGTTTTTGGAGTTATTTTAAATAAATAAATATTTCGCGTCTTTCTGTTATTGTAGAATTCTTTAGGAAGCAAAAGGTAAGAAGGCTAGCCAGAATCCGCAGCCAGATCACAGGAATCCGAATCCGTTTGGCGAATCGACGTGGCCAATTTGTTTTAGTTTTCCTTGAAATCGGCTTCTGAAGTTGCTTCTGCTCCTCTCTCTCTCTCTCTCTCTCTCTCTCTCTCTCTCTCTCTCTCTCTCTCTCTCTCTCTCTGTACGTCTTGCGTCAACTCCCATCTCCTACCTTCCGCCAGGGTTTTCGTGCAGAGCTGAGCTTGATTCCCTCCGCCGCGTCGACGGAGCTCCGCCGCGCCGCCGCAATTATGGCCGCCGGCGCACCGCCATCTGCAAGGGCCTCCGCGCCTTAACCTTCTGACGGACCGCCGTCGCCGCCACCAATACCTCCCGGGCAACCGCCACCGCGCCGGCGACGGCAGCTGCCACCGCGGGGCTGTCGGATCTGGCCGCGTTGCGGTCTTCTACGGCTTACCTCCATCGCTGGCGGCACCCCGATCAGATGGCCGCCTATGGAGTGGACTCTCCGGAGGAACAGGCCGCATCGTCGTCCTCCTCGAGGAGGGTGAAATTCCTCTGCAGCTTCGGGGGAAGGATTCTTCCACGCCCCAGTGACGGCGTCCTTCGTTACGTCGGCGGCCACACCCGCATTATTGCCCTGCGCAAGGATGCTTCCTTCCAGGAATTGAAGAGGAAGATGTTCGATGTATTCGGCGGCCCGGCTATCCTCAAGTACCAGCTCCCCGACGAAGATCTGGACGCCTTGGTGACTGTGTCTTGCCCTGAGGATCTGGAGAACATGATGGAGGAGTACGATAAGCTCGCTGAGACCTCCGCCGAGGGCTCTGCCAAGCTCCGCGTCTTCCTATTCTCACCCACGGAGGTTGATTCTCCAGCGCTCGGCTTCGCTCAGGGCATCAATGACGGCGGACATCGGTATGTGGACGCAGTTAATGGAATCGCCGATCCAGGAGCGGCTGAATTAAAGCGGAAAGGGAGCATGGCGAGCTTCTCGTCTGCTCAGACTTCCGACGGCGCGCCTGGTGAACTCCTGGACTGCACCCTAGAAGGCGTATCGCCTGCAATTCCGTCCCCCACAGTCGCCGAAACAGGAGCAGCAGCTTTCCAGGATTCATTCAGATTGCTGTATCCGGGGGTGCCGTCGGATCCAGTAACAGCGCCAGCTGATGCGAAAGGCTTCCCGGGTGACCTAGCTCCTCCTCAGGCCATACCATCTTCTCGCCCAGAGCAGCCATTGCCGCCATCATCTGGCGTAACATACGTGCCTCTGGCATATCTGGAGTCTCTTCAAGATGGATACAATCGCGTGGATTACATCCAGAATCCTGCTCAAATCCAGTACCTCAACTCTCCTCCATTAGGTATGCCCAGTGTGCCCGTCGGTTTGGTTCCAATTCCACAGAATTCCTATGTTCATTCTGCGGATATCACTGCGCCAATGTCTTCGTCCAACATCACCAGCGGGAAGCCCGTCCAGAGAGGGGCTGAGGCTTACTCGGATGACTCATTCTATGGAGGCAGGGTTGCGTCAGTAGTTGGTGATCCGACCTTTAATCCCTTGCAATCATTCTCCCAACGCCAACCTTTACCTTCCTCTTCCTCTCTACAAATGCAGAATGTTGACAGGCAGGGTTTGGGTCAGGTGCCGCAACAAGTAGCAGCACCTCTTCTCTTTTCTGACTCTTTGATACAGGAACCTGGAGGGAGTGGGTCAACGGGGAGTGCCCCCATTAACCGCCCAGAGTTCCACTTTCTCCAGTCTGAGGAGGCATTAAGGTCGTATGCTCCACAAAGGGTGATCAGTGGGGCGATCTCCGGAGCTGCAGTCGAGAGCCCACTGAAGAACATTATTCCTCCTCATTTAGGAGCTCGTGGGTATTCTCAGGACCCTGAATCACACCAATATGTTGACTTGTTTGCTTCACAGAAACTAGAGAATATAGATCAAACTAAGGTTTTACATCAGCCCAGTCTAAGTACTGCTCCAGAGGCTCCATACTCGTATTTTGGTGATCATTCTCAAGCTTGGCATGATGACATACTACAGCAGCAGCAACCTCCTATCGGACCGCCTCAGTTCCTGCGCAAGCAAGACCCTGTGATCAATGATCCTGCTAGAGTCCGCATCCCTAGAGCAAGAAAGGATATTGTTCAAAATTCAGACATCGAACTCCCTGTTCAAGCTCCTTATTCTCACCAACAACAGTTTTCTGGGTTACTCGAGCATCAAATAGCAGCCACTAAGTCTCACATTGGTGAGCCTACATCTGTCGAGCGAATGATAGAGAAACTTTGGCCAAATACATCCGAGGCTTCAGCAATCAATGACCCATGGAAAACAGTGGTCAAATCTGATAACAGTGCGCAAATTGAGGAAAGGACAGATAGCTTACAGACTGTCGAAGGCAACATGGGTAATGCCAAACAGAAAGTCGCAGAGGGAGAAACCTTGCTCGGTAGCGCTTCTGTTGGCCATGGCAGTGCAGTTGACACAGATCCTTTTAGATCAGCTGGCCTGCTGCCACCCTCCACAGCAGAGGTGGCTCACACGCATCCTCTTCAACGTGGAGACCCAGCCCAGGTGGGTTCAAGCACAGGGAATCATGGACCATACACTGACCCTCCCATCCCTCATGACCGTTTGCTTCATGGGCCTAACGCCACTACTACTAAACTCCCACTCCCTGTTGGTAACAACAACTGGAGAGATGAGAAGCCTCAAGTATACTCTGAGCCTTCTTTGAGCGGCATGTCTGTTCCTCTGAGCTTTACCTCACCTGGTGATTTATCCAGTGTGGGCACCCGTAATGTTCAACGGGGGGATATCCAATTACCAGTTGACTCACAATCCAGACCACGAGAACCATGGTACATCAGGCAGAATGCGCAGTTTGGGGGTCTGAACCCTAGAACAGTGGGAAGCGGAAGTATCCCTGTCCAAGGGGATCCATTCATTGACAACCTTTACAGCAGCGAGTCCAGAATTGCTGTAGACATGGAGGAGGGTAGCTATCAGCGGCCATTAGACTCTCTCATCAGGCGCACTGCTCCAGATCCGATTAGCCCTGTTGAAGGTTGTTGTCTGAAGCCTGGCCCTTGTATTCTGATGGCTGTTCTGAACTTCTGACGATTGTTTCTTGGTTTTCTTTTACAGCTGCGGGATCTGATGGGCTAATCAAACAGGAGCTCCGGTCTGTTGCAGATGGTGTGGCAACATCAATTCCCCCCCAGAAATCTCTTCCTGTTTCCTATTTTGATGAGAAAATTTGTGCTTTGGAATCCAAAAAAGATAAAGGCATACCAGAGGATAACACAGCTTCGCAGAGTTCATCTCATGTTCCTGATCACAAAGCTGAGGTGATTTATTTTTTTATTTTTTATTTTTTTTGGCTCTCTCTTTATGTCTGAAAAACCTCATCTGATGTACAAACAACATATTGCAATATACCCAGGACGATAAAACTGGACCCCCGGACAGGCCAAACCAGGGTTTCGGAGCTCTTGATGACAACGGACTTCGCCTGCAGGTTCACAAGCTAGCGATGCGTTTTGCTTCTGCCTTCATGAAATTTATCTGGCTATTTGAATTCATTTCCGTTGCTTCTTCGCAGATTATAAAGAACAGTGATCTTGAAGAGCTGCGAGAACTGGGTTCGGGGACCTTTGGAACCGTTTATCATGGGAAATGGAAGGGCTCTGATGTGGCGATAAAGAGAATCAATGACAGATGTTTTGCTGGAAAGCCCTCTGAACAAGAACGCTCGGTGATTATCTAAAATGAATTCCGAAGTTCCGTTATTCAGTGTTCTTCCGTTGACCTTCTGAGCTGACCAAATTCTATACTCTCATCCAGAGGGCTGACTTTTGGAATGAAGCGTGCAAGCTTGCTGACTTGCACCACCCTAATGTTGTGGCATTTTATGGGATCGTTCTGGATGGGCCTGGGGGGTCAATGGCTACAGTAACCGAATACATGGTCAACGGTTCCCTTTGGCAAGCCTTACGAAAGAATGACAGGTGTGTCTCATTGCCTGATTCTGAAGCTTCTAAGCATCTCCAGTTGACTTATTTCTTCAGTTGACTTATTTTCTGATATGACCAGTATTTATCAAAGTTGCCAACCTATTTTCTGTAGGACTCTTGATCACCGGAAACGCCATCTCATTGCAATGGATGTGGCGTTTGGCATGGAGTACTTGCATAGCAAAAATATAGTACACTTTGACCTGAAGAGCGACAATCTGCTTGTCAACTTGCGGGACCCACAGCGACCAATATGCAAGGTATGGCCTTCCTCCGTGCTTCGTTGGGAGTCTCGAGGTAACGTAGGAGGAGATCTAATGACGTGGGATAATTTTCCGGTTGGGGAAATCTTCCCGTTATTAGGAGAAGTTTGACTAGTCTCCCTCGTATCCATAGCTTCTTGCCCAGGTGCCGATGTTGGTCAACGGAGAGTGTGATCACAAATGTTTATGATAAGATTGGGGAGAGTGGGCATTATTTCGTATAATGGAGAAGGGTGGATGTCGCTGGAAACAGGAAAATAATCTGTGATTTTGTTTCTGCGCTGACTTTCCCCATTATGAGCATTTCCCCCTTTGGATTGCTGTCGTTCTCTCTCTCTCTCTCTCTCTCTCTCTCTCTCTCTCTCTCTCTCCCTCTCTCTCTCTCTGACTGAGTGATTGTAAACCCGAATTACCCTTTCTTTTTTTTTTTTTAGTTAATTTCTCCATTGCCCTGCGTCAAAGCTATACAATCCATAGTTTGTCGCATATTTCTTTTGGTTTAGGGTCACTTTGACTTCTCTGATCATCCCACCAGACTTTGACCTTGCGAGGCATGTTCGTCTCTGTAGGTCGGCGACCTGGGCCTATCTAAAGTCAAACGCCAGACCCTGATCTCCGGCGGCGTCAGAGGAACCCTCCCCTGGATGGCCCCCGAGCTCCTGAACGGCCGGAGCAGCCTCGTCTCCGAGAAGGTGCTCCGCCGTCCTCCGCCCACCCCTTTAAATCCCCGCAGCCGCCAATCTCATCATCTCTTTTCTTCTTCTTCTTCTTCTTCTTCTTCTTCAGGTCGATGTGTTCTCCTTCGGCGTCGTCATGTGGGAGCTCCTCACGGGGGAAGAACCCTACGCAGACCTGCACCACGGCGCCATTATCGGTACCATCGAGCTCCACGTCTTCTTCTTCGTCGATTCGATCGATTTCTGACGGAAACTTCTTCTTCCGGCAGGCGGCATAGTCAGCGACACGCTCAGGCCGCCGGTGCCGGAGCCCTGCGATCCCGAGTGGAGAGCGCTGATGGAGACCTGCTGGTCAACCGAGCCGTCGGAGAGACCGAGCTTCACGGAGGTCGCCGCCAGGCTGCGGTCGATGACGTTGACCTCCGTCCCCCCGAAGGCACAGCAATAGGCAACCGCCATCGCCGATCGGTGGTCAGCTCCGTAGATTTCCCTGCGTGTAATAGTCAACCGCCATCGCCGTTCTTCCCCCCACGTCTCGTCTGGTCAACCTCCGTCGTATCAATTTTTTCGTCTTGCCCACTCCTCTCACTGTTTATATGTAATCTCTCTCTCTCTTCTTTCTCTATCTCCCCCTGAAAGGACAAGAAAGATGAATAATTACGAGCAAAAGTATTAAATTATTCAATGTGTTAAAGTGTTTGCTTCATTTAACGCGTTCATTAGTTCATGCCGTCGGGGCCACCTCTTCGCCAATCGGCATGCAACGAGGCTTTTCTGCTCGTGCTCCATTTTTTGGGGACTTTTCGATAATATCAGCTCCTACCAGCCTGCCCCTCGCCAAGTCTGCTCCCCTCTTTTACGCATACATACCCTCATGAATGTATATATGCATAAATACCTAGCAAGAGAGAGAGAGAGATTAGGCCCTTATTCATTAGGGGTCTGACAACGAATTGCCTAGTCCGGCGAGGGTCTCCTGGTAATTGTCCTCCTCCACCTGGACTCATATAAATCCCGGGCCCGTTTGGGCTCGGGCTGAGCCCGGTCACAATCAGGCCGGACGTGAGTAAAACGGCCGATAGTTATTTAGCGAGAGGAATTAATTATTCGATAAATATAAATATAAAGAGGCGGTCACCGCCCTCTGCGGAATTAACTCGAAGGGGATGGGCGATATTGACCGATAATTATTTGGTGAGGGCAATTAATTATTCGATAGATATAAATATAAATATAATTGACGGAAAGAGATGGAGAGGGGAAGACAGATAAAGATAAAGAGAGAGAGAGAGAGAGAGAGAGAGAGAGAGACTACTGAGTGAGTTATGTATCGTTCATTGCTATGCATTAAATAATCAATATAAAAATAAGGAGTCTATTTTAGGAAAAAAAAGTATTTATACAACGAGTTTTTAGGGCTGATTATTCGGCAAAAGGGGTAAAAAAGGCAAAATAGGGTGCGATATGACCGGTGCCACCGACTGAGCCGGTAATCTCACTCCCAGTGAGCCGCCGCAGCAGCAGGATAAGTAAATGGTAGACTGTACTCTTCAAGCCCGAACGAGGAAGAGAAGAGGCGGTGGCGGCGATCGCCGGGGAGAAGGGGATACAGGGAGAGAGAGAGAGAGAGCATGGATGCTGCCACTCTATCGTCGTTCACCGTAGGGCAAGGGCTCGACGAAGCAGCAACAGGGGGCGCACCGCCGGTCCTGGAAGGAATAGCGGCGGTGGTGGGGTACTACGTCCTCTTCGGAGACATGAAGAAGGGCGACGTCTCGACCCAATCGGAGGAAAAGAAGCGGAAGTTTGAACCAGACACGGCGGGCTCCGGCGACGAACCATCGACGGCCGCCGCCGTTGCCGGCAATGGCGAGTGCGACGGCAGGAGTTACCGGGGAGTGAGGAAGCGGCCGTGGGGAAGATGGTCGGCAGAGATTAGGGACCGAATTGGCCGGTGCCGCCGTTGGCTGGGGACCTTCGACAGCGCCGAAGAGGCGGCGCGGGCCTACGACGCCGCCGCGAGGACCCTCAGAGGCTCCAAGGCCCGGACCAACTTCGCCTTACCATCTTCTTCCTTCGTCCCCTTAGCAACCTCCTTTCCTTCTCCTCCGAGCAGCAGCAGCAGCAGCAGTGGGAACACGAGCAGCTTGGAAATCGGGAAGAAGTGCAGGAGGTACGCAGAGCCTGGGGAGAAGAAGATGTGCAGGGCGGTGTCCTCGGTGGCCCATCTCTTCGGCTCTCCCTCTGACGAGGATTCTCCCCCGGGGAAGAGAGAGAATCCCTTCGATCTCGACCCGGATGTGTATTCCGGTTTTTGATGTGTCTGTGCTCTGCAATTCCTCCTCTCCTGAAGTCCGCATCAAACCAGGTAGGGTGAGGTGGCTCAGAGATGGGATGAAGCTGAGAGCACATACGTGTGGGAATTTTGGCATCTGTAAACAGCGGATATAGAAAAATTATCGGCTTACGGCGACGGTCGGATCGTTTTTGCCGGCTTCTCTCTCCTCAAGCTGGGTTTTTGATGATCGTCCCGGCCATGGTTTTAATCGTTATCCGTCGCCATTCAACTTCCTGGACGTGGGGGTCTCCGAGTGTTTGTTCTTCAGATTATTTCGCGCTTTTCTTTCCACCCAGAGACACCGAATAGGGACCCGCCGAAGGGTGAGAGAGGAAGAGAGAGAGAGAGAGAGAAGGATGGGGGGGGGGGGGGGGGAGATAGCCTCATCTCCAAGGCAAAGACCCTCTCTTTCCTGTGAAAAGATGGGGGGGAGAGGGAGAGGAGGGCTGATCTTCGTGGTGCTCCTCCCGGCCTAGGGTTTCTTTTCGTCATATCTGGAGATCCATATCGAATGATTCGTCCCATTTATTCGTATTTATAACGTGAGGCGGACACCAGGTCGGAGGGCATGGACGAGACCCATCGATTTGACGCCGATGGCAACTCTCTCTCTCTCTCTCTCTCTCTCTCTCTCTCTTCCTCGTCGTGGGTTCTACTTGTGCAAGGAGACGGCTAGCGATTGATCGTAGAGACTGAACGAGGAGAGAACCGGGGAGGATAGTTCAGAGAACGACGAGAGGTCGGAGTTTTATACCCATCGATTTGACGGGGATGGCCCCTCTCTCTCCCTCTCTCTCTCTCTCGTCGTGGGTTCTACTTGGTGTAAGTAATAACGGCCGGCGATTGATTGTAGAGACTGAACGAGAAGAACGGGGGAGGATAGTCCACTGGAGAACGACGAGAGCTGTGAGTTTTAGTGGCCTCTCTCTCTCTCTCTAGACGTGGGGTTATCCATGGTGCAAGTAAAGACGGCTGGCGATTGATCGGTAGAAGAGGAGGGGGACAAGCTTCCTCTTTGCCGTGCTCCATCTGGGTCAATCGGGGGAGGTCCCCAGACGACCCCTATCGATTAACCCCGCCATGACCTCTCAGAGGAAGATCAGAGAAGAAGCCCCCTCGCCCACAGATACTAGAGAGAGAGAGGGAGAGGGAGAGAGAGAGAGAGAGAGAGAGAGAGATCTTATTCCCGCGATGTGTGCATGGTGGAAAGTCGATGAGGATCCATCATCTCCTGCAGCTTCCTCGCGTTTGCCCCATCTGTTCAATCAGAGGGGGCTGTGACTGACGTGACTGAAGCACGTCCCGCCTCGCGCGCGGGGGTCACAGCGCGATCGATCTCCTCCTCCGCCCTGCAGCACAGCGTGGCTCCCAGACCAACAAGTTCCCAGTTTTCTCCGTTCTTCACGCGTACAGCACCGGAAAAATTCGCCTACCAGACTCGCGTGCAATCCATTAAAACACTACCCAGATGATTTGTGTACGGTCGAGAAATTTCGATTCTGGGTTTGTCTGTCTGTCTGTCTGTCTCTGTGTCTGTTTGTGTGTGTTCAAGAGAGAGAGAGAGAGAGAGAGAGAGAGAGGGATTGGACATGACAGGAGGCCCAAATAGATATCCAACTCACCCCAAGTCTTTTGGGCCTGATTTCAGATAGTAATGAGGGTGGTCTCAATCCTATACCCTTTCCTCTCTCTCTCTCTCTCTCTCTCTCTCTCTCTCTCTCTCGCTCTCCCCCTCTCTCTCTCTCTCCCTCTCCCTCCCTCCCTCTCTCTCTCTCTCTCTCTCTCTCTCTCTCCCCCTCCCTCCCCCTCTCTCTCTGTCTGCGTACAGTATGAATAGTAATTTTATCGCCACTAGAAAAATAATAAATGATAAATCCATTCTCAAATAGTAATTTTTTGGATGTGTTCAAACGATTAGGCCCCCAAAAATGGATCGGTGAGGTCACAGAGCATCGGCTTCATAGGAAAGCCATATTCGAAGCATGTTTTCAAGCGAAGCCCGTTGACCCAACTCAAACCAGGAAAATAATAACCCAACGAAAGAAAGAAAGAAAGAAAGAAAGAAAGGTGGTTGACTTAAGCATGGATGAGCATCTGACATGTACAGGAGGTTGGGAAATACACGAGACAAAATCCTTGGTGGATCCCAAGAACCCAGACGGCAGTCATTTTCGAGGGTTTTTCAGTGGAGCAAAGCAAAGGGGAGGAGAGAACTCACGAGAAGTGGCAGCAGCAAGCCGACCCCCAGCCGGAGCAAATCGGAGAGCATCCGTCACGGCAGGCTTGGAGAAAGAGAAGGCTTGGTTACCTGCAACTCTCCGCAGTTGCTGATGAAGACGCTCTTCAGGGGCCGATTCCACATCGCTCGAGCATTCTGGGCCCTGTCGTCGCCGAGGAACTCAGCTAAGTCGTTGAATTGCCGGATCCGTTCGCCTGGTTTGTAGGTCGGGATACTGGCGATCATCGTCACAACATCGAGCCCTGAAGCAAAAGGGCAAAGAATCATGCCATGATTTATGAATTTCCTCTTACTGTTTGTGCATCGAATCCTAGATCTTCATCCTCAATCGACGAACATTCCAATGGTTTATTGACCGAATACCTAACTGATCCATAATTCAAAGATAATATGTACAATCATCGAGAATTCAATTGATGATCTCCTATTTCTTACGTTTAATTGGCTAAAGTTATGCACTACAATTCATCCTAGGAAATAGAATTGAATCGGCATACCTTCGAGTACAGTGCCGAAGACGATGTTAAGGCCGTCCAGCTGCGGGCACGGCCCCGGGCCCGTTGTGACCATGAACTCCACGTTCCTGTAACTCGGGTTCAGTTTGATCTCGTCGTAGTCGTCGTTCTCCGAGAGGCACAGAGAGAGGGTGCCAGGCCTCAGGTGCTTCAGCTTGAACGAGCCGGGTTTGACTGTCTCCGTATTCTGCGCCAGACCTGGTGGGGGGGTTATCTCCCCTTTCTCTCTTCTCCCCTGCCGCCCCGCCGCGAAGTATTCCCCCTGGAGGACCTTGTGGACCAGAGCTCCACGGTAGGCCTCGGAGGTGCACATGGTCTTGAAGTTGGCGACGGTGATGGGGAGGAGCTTCCCATAGAGACCAAAGACGACGCGACCGAGGGGTTCCGAATCGGGGCAGGCGGCAAGGTCGGAGGAGCCGATGGTGCGGTCCGATCGGAGGTAGCTGGGGCACAGGCTGAAGTCGATGAAGACCCGGTCAGTAATGGCGGCCGCCGCCGCAGGTTCCGGAGGCGCAGGAGCGCCATCGGCTGCAGCGTCGACACCAGCGATGGCAGGCCAGGGGAGGAGAGAGCTGGCGAAGAGGAGGTCTCTGCGGGTGAAGGGGTGAGATTCACTGCATTTGGGGTTGGGATTGCACGAGTGAGGCGGCGACGGAATGCGGCGGTGGTGGAGCAGCCGCGGATGTACGAGGGGGAAGGACGCGGCGGCGATGGCCGAGCCCATGGAGTCGCCCTCTATATCATTATGACACCTTGGTGAGAGGCAGATAAGCGAGACAAGAGGAGGCCTAGCCCGTGGCTAAGAGAGGTAGAGAAGACAGGACTATCCATCTAGTCGATGTGAGGACATCAACGGAGGCGGTGAGCTCACCAGAGAGTGTGTGTAAACAAATATCCACAATCGTACGAGCGTCTCGCCAAGAATCGCCGACAATCCAACGGTCTCGAAGGCGTCAACGACGCTGAGGCGGACGAATCACATTGGCCTCGTGGCCTCGTGGCCTGAACATGTTTCCTGAGGGCCCCTCTCGAGCGATCAGGGTTCTCCTCCGAACATATCCCACAATCTTCCCTGCCCGGAGCACTAGTTGTCGTCGGGGAAGAGATTGAGATCAAAAGGGAGCGAAATCCTGCACGGGAACCGTTCCGGACCGCCCTCCGACGCGGCGAAGCACGCCGTCATTCGCGGGGGCAGAGGGCCTTTCAGCTTCGAATCTTCTCCACAGGGAACGGAGGCAGCAGCCGAATCCCAGGACGCCGAACTCCACTGCGCAGGGGAAAGGAACATCGCTAATCAAGGAATCGCGGAGGATGATCGGCCGAGACGGAGAACGGCGCATTCAAATCCGACGCTCCGAACGCATCAACAGACGTCCCAGAGAAGACTGCAGCATCTGTTCAAGGACGGGGAGAGTTACCTCCAATTTCCTCCTCAACAACTCCACGTTATCCGCACGCAGTGAGTGGTAGATCTCCTCCTGCTTCTCCAGCTCCTGTTGGATCCAAGAGCGCCGCGATCGGATCAGTGGTGCCGGAATCACAAAGATGGTGACAAACAGGAGGCAGAAACAAGTGGAAGAAGACGACGATCCCCTCACCTTCTGGAGCTCTTCCTGTTCCCGCAGCAGCGACTCCTCCATTGCCCTGAGATCTGGGACCGCCTGCGAATTAAAATAATCTGCCGCTGATCAGTTTGGTTGGCTCGAGATTGGCGCCTAACGCGCATTCGAGAAGCTACGAGCTTACGTGGCAAAATCACCGTCAATAGAAGAGAATGCATACCCTTTTCTTTCCCGGCCGTACGAGTAGAACTGAGCCAACCTCGTCGTCCTCCACCGCTCTGAATCTTCCCGTCGTCTCCTCCTCGACGACGGGCCCGACCGGCGGCGCGAGTCCCGCCACCGCCTCCGCAACCTGAGAATCGCAAGAGAAGTAAAGAGATCGGATCAGTTCCAGAACGGAGCACGGAGGATATCTGGAAGAGATCAGCAAGAAAGCTTCAGCGAAAATCTCAGTAAACATCTGCGATAAGACGATGAGGTCGAAGTTCGGCGGAAGAGGAAACAAGCATGGAAGCAGACAAGCTCACAGACGGATCTGTCGGCATCCTCTCATCCTTTCTCGTCGTCCATGGTTCTCGAGGCCACCAGCACCTTGGGCGTTGAGAGATCAGCGCAGCAATGAGAGATGCGAACTAGGTTGAGATCTAGCGACATCCTCTATTGCGAGGACCTCAACGCCGCCATGACCTCGTGCACAGCGTGCTTCTGCTCTCGTCAAGCCACGGCCACCGAGAAATACAGGTAGATCTGACGCCATCCTCTCCATCAGGGACCTCGATGCCATCATTGCTTCCGCGAATTGCGTATCTTCTCCTCCTCCAAACCCACTCATCACACATGTTTCTCTCCATTCATCTCTTCTCCGCCTCCAAAGACCGGAACGAGGACAGAGACATCCCATCACAACATTGATGCCGGCGTGATGCGTCCCGGCGAGGCTATGCCGGAGATGACAAGGAGAGGAAACTCTCCCCGTAGGTTTCTGGATCGGGGAAGCTGAGCCCGTAGGCCAAGAAAGAGGAAGAGAGCAGAGACGGGAAAGAGGGATTTCAGGAGCAAGACGACCCCCATCGGAGGAGGCTGAGGAGACCCTGAGCAGCAGAACCTCCAGGATGACCAAAATGAGCCCCTGCTTCGTTCAGATCCGCCATAAGAACGGAGGAACGCCTTATACTTGCTCCCGAAATGAAGGAAACGAGGGAGATCAGCAGAAAACCAGGGAAATGAGGAATCCGTCGAAGGTTTTCCCGTGAAACTGGGAGGAGAGTAAAGAAGGTGGACAGGATTCTAACCTTTGCCGATCCAGGACCGAACAGAGATCCAGCTCCCACCGGCGCTCTCACCGGAGAGGCTTCCTCGAACAGGCTCTCCATCTTGGGGATCCGGATCTCTCCCCCGTCCTCGCGCAGCTCCGCCGGCGCCGGTTCCCTGCTGGAGCAGAACCCCACCTTCCGTCTCCGGGCCGGAGGATTCTTCAGCGTCTGCGCGGAAGGAGAAGCCGAGCAGGGTTCCTCGCAGGCGCTCTCTGACGTGCCGGATCCCCCGCTCCACGACAGCGGCGTCGTTGGACTAGCCCTCCTGGTCTCCTCCCTCTTGGCGGTGAGTACACCTTCCATGGTGATGAACCTGCTCCTCGTCCTCCTCTTCCCCCACGTCGGCGGCAGCTGGGGCCGCCGCGCCGGCCGGGAGGGTGACAGGAGCTTGCGCCAGGAGATGCAGCTCTCGGAGCGGGAGAGACGGATCAGCATGCGGGCCACCAGGTGGTCGTCCTCCTGTGCGGCCACCATGAACCTCACATCGTCCTCCTCCATTTTCTCTCTCGGAGCGTGTCGCCGCCCCTGAAGAAGAGGAAGATGGAACACACCAAAACGAGAACAGGAGGGGGAGAGAGAGAGAGAGAGAGGAAGAGAGGAATGGATGGGATGGTGCTGGGGGTGAGGGGAGGTAGAGAGAGGGATAGAGAGAGGAATGAATGTGATGGTGCTGGGGTGAAAGAAGGTAGATAGAGGGAAGGGGGTAAGGAGAGGAGGTTCAGAGCTGGGGAGGGCGGTGGCTGCAGCACAAAAGCCTGCCCGGAAGTCGGCAGTCGAGGGGGTGGTGTTGGGGGCGAGCAGAAGTGGGAAGGTGTAGAGAGAGAGAGAGAGAGAGAGAGAGGGGCCTCATAAATGGCGTAATAAAACAATACTAAAGTAATGATAGAAGGGGTCATCTACATCGGCAGGTAGAGGACGGAGGAACGAGGAGCGGAGGCAACGGTAATTGGAGGTCAACGACAGATGTCAGTCATCCATTTGCATGTATTTCTCAGGTGAACATCAAAATATACCCAATGTTCAGGGCTCCCCTAACCCCCTTCCCCCCCCCCCCCGTCCTACATGTCCCCTCCCCAGAGTGGGGAATACAGCGGGGGGCTCCTGCCTTGAAAAATGACGAATGTACCCTCAATATATTCAGATATGGATCCGGATCTATCCTATTCTTACATGTCCGGACCCGTTCTCCCGGCCCAGGCCTATCGAACCTAGGTGGGGACCGCTGCTGTTAAAGGTAATTTATAAAAGGAATAAAATGAGATTAAAAAATATCCGTTATATAAATAATGTAAGTAATAAAAAAATTATTAGCACGAACTTCCAGAGCATCTGCGCTCTCCACGTAAGCGGCACGGCCTGAGAGGACATTCTTCTCAATAAATTCCACGTAGATAATTAAAATTTCCACCACATGATGTATTATTGCCCCGGTACTAAAATTAGAAACAAGATCTTTAGATTCTTCAAGCCAGAGGAATCTCGTGAGGCTGTACGCATCACGTTTGCGTGCATCCAAACGGGGTGGGTGCATCATTAAGAGGTAAAACACGGATTCAACATGCCGGAAATTAATTATCTATAATCATGATCTTCTAGATGACGAAGAACTAGGCCAGGGTTCTACCGGATGATCTCAGTGGACCCAAGTAGATTGGGAAGTCAATCAGTTGACTGATCGGTAACTGGCCTGTTCTTTCTGAACTGTGCATTTCTATCTGTGATGGGAGCCGAAGAAAACATGGAGCTGTTTTATTTCTAGAAAACAATTCCAGCACAGTCGGATGAAGATACGAGAGAGAAATATTGATTCACTTAAAAAACAGCTTCTCCGAGGTAGGAGATGCTCCGTTGATTCTTAAAAGAATGTGAGCATTCTACAAAGAGGAAGTCGAAGATGGGGAAGAGCATGCATATTATTGGATTAACATCTAAATAGGAAGAGCAGTTTTCCAGATTGGGCACCTAATTGAACTCCAGACGAAGCAGAAAAATGCGTACTTCCAGCTGACGTTTCACGAAGAAGGATATCTTTTTGGTGGTAAGCGGATATAATCGCCCCACCTCAAGCAAGATTTTGATTCACTTCGTCTGCCTACTCTAACATAGAAAGAAAATAAATAATAAAAAATATCGAGAGTCAGACGCTATTTTCTAGTTCTAACCACGCAGTCATGGGAGAGAAACAGATCCTGCAGCCGTAAAGGGAGGAAACCTGATTGCCAGACTATTTTTCGCAGCAAAAGCCTTGATGAGACGATCCAATTCAGCACATTGAGGTCGAGACTTTGGGGACCCAAATACAGTTGCTGCAGCCTCTTACATCCCATAACTACATCTTTCACACCCTTTTCTGTGACTTCTGGACATCCGTCCAAGTCCAGCTGTGAGAGGCCTTCGCAGCTTTGCGCAAGCACTGAGAGCGCTTTATCATGCAACCCAGATCCAGTAGCCTTCAGAGTTTTCAACTTTAGGAAGCCCGAGCTGGTTCCAAGACTCTTTATTTGTGTACAGCCCTTTATGCTTAGCTCAGTGATCTCAGGGCATCTCTCTCCAAGATTCCTCATTCCTTCCTCTGTCACGTCCCAGCAATAGCTTATATCAAGAGAATCCAACCGAGGGCATGATCCAGCAATAAGTCCAACCGTGTCATCATCGAGATATGGATTTTCGGTCAGCCGCAGAGATTTTAGTCTTTGGTTCAAGCATGGAGCTGCAGGTAAAAGGCCCTGGCCAACGGTCGTCTTACTCATTTCGATCTGTTCAATGCAGAGACAATTTCTCAAGATGCTGAAGAAAGTTGTGTTGCTCAGATCGCAGCAGCAGCTCAGATTGATGAAGTTCATATTACTGAGATGTGGGAGGACAGATATCATCATTCCATCTGAAAGAAAACTTAATCCAATGAGAACCAAGCGGCGGAGTGACCTACCATATGCCTGCAAGACGGATGCTAAGCCAGTAAAAGACAGTCCCCAGCAATCCGACAATGATAATTCCCGCATCTGGAGGTCCATATCTCCCAGGGAAACAAGCAGCTCATCCGGCACAAGCATACGAGAGAGACTGAGATGGCGCAGGGTCCTCGCGCGATAGAACGGGTTACTCTCCACGCTCATCAAACGAGAAAGAACCGCTATCCGGTTCACAGAGACAGAGGTGAGGTTCGGGCTATGGTGGAGAACGAAAACAATTCCCTCGCCTCTCATGAAACTGCAATCGTGAGCCACAACCTCAGTGAGGTTGGGACAGTTCGTGGACAGAGAAACCAAGGCGCTGTCGGACAAGAAATGGTTCCCTGAGAGGTGGATCGACTTTAGGTTCCTCAGATTCAAGGAGAGCACCTCGATTGCGCGGTCAGTCACCATCTGCCGGAGCTCGGAGGAATGGTCCAGCTCCCGCTGCGGGTGGCTGATATCGAGCAACTCCAGATTGGGGAATGACTCGGCGATAGCGAGGACGTCGTCGTTCTCTAGGTGGAGAAACCTGCCGAGTATTAGCGCTTTGAGGCTGTCCCCCATCCTCAAACCGAGCTCCTTCATGGCCGACCTCGGAAAACACTGCCTCTGCCCGTGGAGATCAACCGCCTCAAGCTTCAGGCCAGAACGGGACATGTCCTGCACAAGGCGGTCCAGATTTCCGTGGAAATCAGATGCTGCGATCCGCCTCAGGTTCGGGAAGCGGCGGAACAGCTGCGTGGGACCGCCACCACCGTGGACGACGACCGTCCGATCGGAGACCGTCAGATCGGACCGAATGCGATTGGTGATGGACAGGAACCGTCGGCAGACGAGAGACACGGGATCCATGAGCCGCTCATCCCCGAGTCGCCGGAAGACGAGCTCCCAGCAGTCCTCCGGCAGAGCCACGGCGCACTCGCTCATCTCTCCTCCCCTCCTCCGCCGCCTCCCGAAACAGCGCCGCCACTACTCCTGCCTCTCCGCCGGCGAGATCTCTCCGGCGATCAGAGAAATTCGAAAAACCCTCGGGATACCTGAGCGGAGGACGGAGGTAGAAGAGGGAGAGGGAGGAAGGCCATCCTTACGATCAACGCCAGGCGCGTGAGCGTAGCCGATTTTATAGCTGGGAGGAAGAAGCGGATCCATTAACTGCTTCCGGGTCTCTCGCACCTGATTCGCCGGCCAGAGTGGGCCCCTGTGGAAGTTATCGACAACTGAAATTCCCGACTATTTATTATTTTAATCGACAAAAACAGATATTCTCTCAACGTAAAATATGGAATATATATATATTTAGATATTTGTTAATCCGGACTGGAGCTTTTCTAAAATGGGCCTGGTCCGATAAAACCCCCAAATGAGCTTCACCTCAGAGCCTACAAAGCACCACCCATTGAAAATAACGGCCCAAAACCTCTCTCTCTCTCTCTCTCTCTCCCTCGCTTGTGTAAATAAACTATTCTACAAACATATATATATAATTTAATATTATCACATTATCAATGAAAAAAGAGTGGCAGTCTCCTTTGCTAACTCTAGATGGCACATTGGGTCTGTCCCATATTTTTCCCAAAAATAGTAAAAACCGAAGCTATTGTTTCGTTTTTTTCTTTTTTTCTAGAAAATCAAGCGCCCTGATCTGACCCACGTGAGTAAAAATATTATTTTTTTAAAAAATGAGTTTTTATTATAATAATTAGCCGCCGGGGCTGCTCGGCCCGATGTCCACGTGGATCGTTAGTAATCTACGTGGCAAAATTTGACTGGTTAGCGTACTGTCGGTGTCCGATCTTCGTCGTACAAAGGTACCTTGTACGGCACAGAGAAGGAGGCGTGGGGGAGTGATCGAAGCTCTGTGTGTGGCCTTTCACGGAGGCGGTGGTGGTGGGGGGAGGAACGAGAGAAGAAGGTAGCTCGTCCTCTTTGAATCTCTCCGGCGCCGCCTCCCGCTCCTCCGGCGCCCTGTCCCTCTCCGATCCTCTGCGAGCAGGATGCCGCGTACGTCGCGGAGGACGGGATCGGCGGCCGTCAATTCACCCGCCGCGTCGGATATCTTCCGCTCTGGTATCGACTCTAAGCATGCATCATTGTCGCTCTTCTGCGTGTGTTTGTGTTTCCGGGATGAGAACCTATCGCGATTGGCTCTTTGGCGTGCATCATCGAAGATTTGGGGTTTATTTCTGTTGCCATGGATGACGATGGCTCTCTATATTAACGGAGGTGCATGCGTTGGTTTTGTGGTTCGCCAGGATGCTTTTGGCTGTCGCTGTACGTTCTGTCGGATTACTTCGCCTGCTCTTCTTTCTTCTGGGGACTTTTATAATGATCATTGATGCCTGACCTAGTTTCCCCGTGTACGTTCTGGACTTCGTGAGCCTAATTGAGTAGTTCTGGTCTCAGAGGGATCTGAACTAGTGCCATTTAGTGCTGCCTTTCTTGTTGTGTATTGATTCAAGCCTTGGGCTGATCTTGTTTATGCTCTATAGTGTTGGATACTGGAGTGAATTGCTCGAAGTTTCTGAAATGAGGAACAGTGAGAAAGGAGAAAGAAACAGCGACTGGGTGCGCTCATTGTTTTGGCGGCCTGTTTGCGAAGTTCCCAACGCAACTGATTTGATCGAGTCATGGGAAGTTGAATTGGAATTTTGGTTTTCTCACCTTCGGGTGTTTGTCTTCCTAGCGAATTGACATTTTTGTTGGAGACTGAACCTGTTCTGTCCTGTTTTGTAGAAGATTTTTGGCCTTTTACGTTTATTTTCCTTGGAAAGATAGCTCCATCATATCCATCGGTTCTCATGTAGTTATTGGACGCCAGGGCTTGGTGGGCCACCACTGTTCCTTTCTTGACCCGTTTTCTATCTTGGAAAAGTTCAAAATGGTGAAAATCCATGGCAATAAGGAGCCACTATCGCTGGTATTGCATTAAAAAAATTCCATCTGAAGTTAAATTGTATTAATTTATCAATGGACATGTAACGAGTCCATGTGATCCCTTGCGTGCCATGACTGGACTGTGGGAGTAATGTCAACAACTGAATTGTTTATTCTCTTATTGTCTCCTCATTGTTCCCGCAAGGTGGTAGGGACACAAGTCACTGATATGCCGACCTTTATGCTCTCTGTTAGTCATGATTTTTATGCTAGTATCCATGGATCGGTCCCTTTTGTTTACATTTAATACAGTTACAATGCGATTACTTACTCACTAGATAATATTATCCTTTTTCTTATTGGGTCATCGCATTTATTTGTGTTTTTATACTTCTCTTAAAAGTTCACTTGGTTTTCGGGCAAATTCTCAGCATTTTAATCTTTATTTTTCAGCCACTAATCGGGCAATATCCAAGGAGTTGGAGCGCATCGACGTTCTGTTTCATTCATATTCAGACAGCTCTTCTGGCGTGATTGGGTAAAAATCACTTTTCTCATTTGTTTTTAGTCCTGGGTAGTAATAGACTTCATAGAAGAATTTTTCTTTTGTAAAAACATTGTCCCTGTTCCGTGACCATCTTGCTCCATTAGGTTCAACGCAACATGTATTTTATAAACTGCTTTTCCGAGGCCCTTTTTCCCTGATAAAAACTTTATTTATGTTTTATTTCTGTATAAATGTCTTTAGAAAAAGTGGAGGTTGCTAGAGATGTATTTAGGGGGCTCTAGTTCAATCTATTTTGATAGTTTCGCTTCAGGTTCATTTATCAGGCGGTTCTTTTTATCTTGGAATTATGACGGTATTTTACCTAAACAGCTTTCAAGATGGTGATGACCTAACAGACGTGGGAAAGATATTTCTGTTCTTTTGATTTATCTCTAACAGTTCAGAGAAACCTTTGAGCTATTTGACATAGTGGGGAAATTCCAAGTGGGGAAATAGTATTGAGTTCTTATTTTGCTACACCATCGTAAACCTGTCCAATATTTGGTGCACATAATGTTATATCCTATGATGCTATTTTCGATATTCCTTTTCCAGTTTGAAATTCATCGGTGAAACTTTTTCCACCCGACTTTTCTTATGTCTGACCTTCTTTGCACTTGTCGTCACACCATCTCAAACAAAGATCAATTTCATCTTGATATTAGCTCTATATCTCTTAGATATGGTCATGTATATGCAATTTCTCCATATCTTATTTCACTTTGTCCATGTACCATTTTCTAGATGTCCGACCCTTTGACCCACATAAGTAGCTGATCTCGTTGCCATCTCATGAAATCTGATCTTCAATCTAACAGGGAAAAAAGGGTCAAACAGGGCACCATTCGGTGTATGTCATTATAACTTCTTTGACTCCAACTGCTAAATTAGGATGCTAAGGTCCATGTTTATCTCTCGATTGTTAAACTGAGCACCAATGCATAATCTTCATTTTCTTTTTTTTAAAACTGTAATTTCTTTCTGTTTTTTTCACCTTTAAATTGTTAGATGTTATTATTTTTAGTTCTAACATATACACTCGGATCCATCCTCATTTGCAAGCCGCGGATATCAGCCCGCCTATATATCACCGCAATTTGAGGTTAATTTCGTTTAATATAGTATGGGATATAAATCAGAGAATGAAATATATACGAAGAAATGATTTTCACTGGAATGTATCCCTTCCTAAACCATTTATCATCATAGTTTAATTATTTCTTGCGAGTCATTGAGAGGCTGGCCTGGCCTCAGCTCCATCCTACATTATGTGCAATATTTTTGTGCTTTATTATTTGCAATGGAAACATTGGTCGGTGTGTGACGTATATTCAATTTCTTGCCCTGCTTGGGTAGCCCTGAAGGGATAGAATCTCTCTGCTCAGATGTTGGGGTGGAACACACCGACATCAGAATGCTAATGCTCGCCTGGTAAGCTCTGCACATTGTTCATCTTAAATATTTATTTATTTTAAATTATTTTGTTATTTTGGACATGTTTCCTGGTATTAATCTGGCTATGCTTACCAGGAAGCTGAGAGCCGAGAGGCAAGGATACTTCACCTTGGTAATTAATTATCGATTAAAACACTCGTTGTAATGGAATTATTTAATGCTTAAGGTTTTCTCTTAACGTTCTCAGTTGATCAACAGGAAGAGTGGCGGGGTGGTCTAAAAGCCCTTCGATCCGACAGCATCGGTAAATTAAAGAAGGCCCTGACCGAGCTGGAGAAAGAGGTGACACCCCTCTCTCTCTCTCTCTCTCTCTCTCTCTCTCTCTCTCTCTCTTTCTCTCTCTAGGAGCTTGAGGACCTCGTGGGACCCTTTTTGGGGAGATGACGATGCGTCTGTGTGGGCTTAAATCCCCAATATGGCAGGTCAGGAGCCCGGAGAATTTCTCGGACTTCTATTCATATGCATTCAGATATTGTCTGACAGGTAACTAAGAACTAAACCCCTCAGATTAACTGAGATGATGCTGCTGCTCCATAATCTCTCCAAGGAGGGCGGGCCGACATAATCTCTCCCCCCCTCCACTGCAGAGGACAAGCAGAGGAGCATAGACATAGAGAGCACCTGTGAGCTGCTGGATCTCATCCTGGGACCCATCTACCGTCCCCAAATCGGCAAACTCACTGAGTTCCTGAAGGTGCGATGACCATCCCCAAATCCCTTCTTTTTTTCTTTTTTCTTTTTGGGTTTTCTTTAAAAAATATATATATTTGGATCTTCAGGGCCAGAGCGATTACAAGGTGATCAACATGGATCAGTGGATGGGTTTCCTCCGTTTCTGCAAAGAGGTCTCTCTCTCTATCTCTCTCTCTCTCTCTCTCTCTCTCTCTCTCTCTCTCTCTCTCTCTCTCGCTCTCGCTTTCTCTCTCTTAACCGATATTGTTGCTTGATTTTCATGAAATGCTGTATTTGGGTTATTGGACCGGCCAGCAGTGGTGATGTTTCCATTTGTGGCAGATAAATTTTCCGTCGGTGGACAACTACGACCCGGCTTTGGCCTGGCCGCTGATTCTGGACAATTTTGTGGAGTGGATGCAGCAGCAGCAGCATGGGCGGTAGAGCCGACGCAGCAACTCTACGCCGGAATAAGGTGACGGGCTCCGCGGTGTGAAGGGTTGCAAGGTGGAATTCGATGATTTTTTTCCATTCTAATTATCATAGTGGACTGAAAATTGCATATTTAATTGAGTGGGATGGATTCTGGGGGACACTTCACCGGCCAGCCAAGAAAGCTGATCATCTCTCTCTCTCTCTCTCTCTCTCTCTCTCGCTGCCCATTGGCACCTTCCTTGCTCATTATATTGTCTGATCGATGACCCAGCAACTCGTCAATTTAAGCATTTTAGAGAGAGAGGGAGACAGACGTTCAAAACAGCTGCCCACAAACTCACAGAGAGGGAGAGAGAGCGAGAGAGCGAGAGGTTGGTGGCCTACTACAGCCCGCCCATCCCAGTGGCTAGGCCAGCTGTGATCCTCTACCATCAGCTCATCAATGTGAAATCATGAACTTAGCGAGAGAGAGAGAGAGAGAGAGAGAGAGAGAGAGAGAGGGGCCAAGCCCGGGTTCACTAAAGCCCAGCCCACCGCATTGACTCGGTTAAGTTGGGCAGGTTTCTGTCTCGTCGTCCAGTTTGATCAAGAGAGAGAGAGAGAGAGAGAGAGAGAGCAAAGATGGGTGGTGGACTTACCACCCAATGCGATCATTCTTGGACGAAATCATACGTAGATTCCACGGTATCCCGTTTTATCAGAGTATAAATGTAATAAATAATCGAATATTGGGTTAGATCGCGGTTGTTGGCCCACATGGAGAACTCGCTGGCGGGGCCAGCTCGGCAGCGTCTCTCAGCCAATCACGGCGGCGGAAAGCTGCCGCTCGCCGCCCGCCTGAGATCTCGGAACCCACTCGCTCGGTGGTGGGCCCTGTTGACTCAGCGTTGCACGTGAGGCGCTATCCGGGCCCACCTGAGAAAGTAGCTGAATCATAATACAAGCAATAAAATATAAATAAATATCAGGGAATTACCGAATTACTGATCGGGTGGTGATCACCCGTCCGATTTTCTCCCGCCGCCAAATCTACTAACCCGGCGGCCAGTGGATCGGACAAATGTCCATCGTCCGATTTGATTTACTTCCGATGCCATTTAGGGCCCCACCGTGGGAGGGCCCAAGGGATCACTGGATTCGATGTCGATCGGCTGATCAAGACCCTCCGATCTCGTCGTCATCTTCTCCCTCGCCGGCCGCCGGAGAACCACCTCCGCCGCCGCCGGGCGCAATAGTAGTGGTAGACTCTTGGATTCCCTCTAGGCCACACTGGCGTCTAGAGTTCTTGATAAGCGGCATCTTGTCTTATTCATGGGAACACATTACGTTAAGTCCAGAATGCGACACTCCGGAAACGTTGGAAGTTATCCTACTACCCAATATTCGGCGGAGCGGTGGTCGACGGCAAGGGCGGCGGTGATGAAGAGCGGGTCGTCGCTTGTAGCACGTTGAACAGGTGGATCAGTCAACGAACCCCGTCGGTGCACGCGGCGGCGGCTGCGGACTGGACCGGTCGCCGGCGGGGGACGAAGGGCCGGTGGCCCGCGAAGGCGACGGAGGAGCGCCGGTCAAGCATCCACGAGGAAACCTTCCTCACCGGCTGAGACCCGGCCTCTTCCATGAAGCTTCTTCCTTCTCCTTCCTCTGACGTGATCCCTTCTTTTTCCTCTAGAAAGAGAAGTATAGAGAGAGAGAGAGAGAGGAAGAGATAGACAGAGAGAGAGCTGGGTCTACGACCCAGATGAAGATCAACCCACGTCGGGCCCGATTAGTTTCAAAGATTAGGGTTTTCTACGTCATGGTGAGGGAAACTATGGACGCTCAGCTGGGTCGCACCTGAAGAGCAGGTCAAAACATGTTACCGCCGAGTCAACGTGCCCTATTTTCTTACAAGTTATTATTCTTTAATGTATTAATTATTTATTCGGCTCTCTCTTCCCCGTAATATTTGCACCCATTTTATTTCTTTCTGAAAAAAAAAACTGCCCTGGAAAACGAGCACAAGAGGGCGGCTCTATTTTAAAAGCCCAGCCCGGGCCCGAGGCCCGAAAGTTTCTTACTTGGTTTGGCTTGATCTGGAGATCTAGTCTACTCAGTCCCACGTAAGACACTGGCCGGACCGGCCCGTTCACAGCTACTTTATTTTTAGTTTAAAAGAAAATAATTAGACTAATAAATAGCTATTAATCGGAGAAAAGTCTCATACTCTTTCAGCGACCCCTTCGCCTTTTGGTCAGTGCACCCGCGTGGTTAGACCCAGCGCAGTGCCGAATTCAGTTGCCTCGAAGTTCCCGCTCATTCATTTCGCTGACGTGTCACAAAAAGGCTGCGCCTTTTTATTCCCTCCTTTATTATTTTTCAACGAATCTTTTTTACTGAGATTTATAATTATTTTAAAATATTTTCCTGCCAACGAAGGAATCCGAGGTTCGCGACAAGCCGGAGACAGCCCGGCTTGCCCGGCCCCACCGGCCGTGTCGTATCCTCACCACTCGACCGGCGGGGGCCGATGATCGGACGGCCGTGAATAATCAGTAACTTGCGGTAAGAATACTAGAAGGAAATGAATATATTCTAAAATGTATGCATTTTTATTTTTAATTAATTAATATATTGGGGAGTATAGGAAGGACTGACAACGGACGGAAGCACAGGTCGATCGAAATATATCGGAAATATGAGTTTTATAATCCAATAAATAATAAAAATAGCTCCTTTTTGGAAGCTCTGGAGACTCAGTATTCTTAAATATTTTTATAATATTTAATTATATTTATTAATAAATTCCTCGGAGAATATAAGAACTCCTCTCTACCAGACGGTGGGCGGCTCTTCCCTTCTGCTGCACAGAACTCTAGCCACAGCTGCATCGTAATCCTATCTCTCTCTCTCTCTCTCTACCCTTTCTCTCTATACAATCTCTTACAGTCTGTCTGTACAGTGCTCGCAGCCGGCCCTGCTTTTGACGGCCTCTCTCACCTCCATAGAAGGAAGGAGGAGGGATAGCGGAGGGGAGCGCAGCCATGCCGGATCCGATTCCTGCTTGTTTCAGGGGCGGCGCTGCCGCAGCGCCGCCCGGATCCGCCACCGCAGGGCCCAGCGTGACGACCTCCATCTACGAGACGCCGCTGGGGCTGGCGGCGCTCACCTGGTCCCGGACCGTCCTCGGGCTCTCCCTCCGCGTCGAGCTCCGCCTCGCCGTCGCCGCTGCCGGCGGGGGCGCCGCCGCCTCCTTCCGGTTCCGTCTCCGGCCGTGGCTCCTCTGGAAGCGGCGAGGCTCGAAGGGGTTCCACAGCCACGGGGTCGAGTTCTCGTGGGACTTGACGCGGGCCCGCTTCCCCGCCGGCGGCGGCCCCGAGCCCTCCAGCGGGTTCTTTGTCGCCGTGGTGGTCAACGGCGAGATGTTCCTGGCGGCGGGGGACATGGAGGCGGAGGCCTACAAGAGGAGCAAAGCTCGGAGGGGAAGGGCCGGGAGGGCGGTGCTCCTCTCCAGGAGGGAGCACGTCGTCTTCCCCGGTTCCGGTAGGATTTACGCCACCAGGGCGAGCTTCGGGGGGAAGGAGAGGGAGATTCTGATCGACCTCGGTGGCAGCGCCGCCGCTGGAGAGAAGGAGGCAAAGCTGTGGGTGGCCGTCGATGGGAAGAAGGTGATCCAGGTGAAGCGGCTCCGGTGGAAGTTCAGGGGGAACGAGAAGGTGGCGGTGGACGGCGGCGGGAAGGTGCAGGTCTCGTGGGACGTCCACAGCTGGCTGTTCAACAGGGAGCCCATCGACGTGGCGGCGGCGGCGGGGGCGGCTGCGCCGCCCACAGCCGCCCCCGAATTTGGGCACGCGAGCTTCATGTTCCGGTTCGAGATGGAGGAGGCGGATGAGGGCGGCGGCGGGGAGCGGTGGCGGATGTGGTCGCTGGACAATTTCGGAGGGATCGACCACAGTAGCGGGAGCATCGGCAGCGGCGGGGTGGTGGCGTTGGCGGGGAAGAAAAAGAAGAGCCTTCTGAAGACGAGCTCGTCGTCCTCGTCGTCGTCGGCGTCGTCGGGGAGCAGCTCGTCAGTGGCGGAGTGGGCCAGCGCCGAGGAGAGCGAGCTCCGGGGATCCGGCGGCTTCTCTCTCCTCGTCTGCGTCTGGAAGAACTAGAAATTCCCCCAATTTCTCTCCCCCTTCCTTCTCCGCGGGGTGGGTTCATCCGCCCGCCTGTGACAGCTCCGTTTCTCTGGAAATTTCCTCCATTTTTTCCCTTCCACCTTCGGCGCTCCGGAGAAAAAGAAGAAGAGGTGGTCGGCCGTGTGCGAACAATCTGATCCTCTCTCTCTCTCCCCCTCCCCTCGCCGTTAAGCGTCCGATCGAGAGGCCTCGGCGAGGGCACCCCTCCGCCGCCGCCGTCTTTCTCTCTCTTCCCGTTTCCCCCCGCCGCCGCTGCTAAGCGCTGCCGCTGGATTCCTCTCTCTCTCTCTCTAGGTCGTATACTCACATCCGTTAATTGACAGCTGCAGTGAGCGCTGTAGCACCGTGTCGGAGTACGGCGGAGAATTGTTTCATCCCTCTCTCTCTCCTCTCTCTCTCCTCTCTCTCTCTCTCTCTCTCTCTCTGTATCTATCTCTGTGTGGCAAATTGTGCCGCTGACTGCTAGGTCTGTCATCAGTAACTCGCCGGAATATCCATCGCCGTTGTTCCTCTGGTTGCCGGAGCCGGCGGGTGGAAGCTTCGAAATTCCCAGGGCCTCAGCTTTCACGGGCGGCCGCGGCGAGCAGGCGAGAGAAAGCGCCCGGCCCACTAAGACCGGCCTATTTGGGATATATGAAGCCCGACCCATTACTTCCGGCCCAGAGGAGGGGTGGGGGGTGGGTGAGGCCCGAAAGCTGCTCGGGTGGGTATTACAGCTGGCAGGTTCCAGACTGGGATTCTTGAATGCTCCGTAGAATATGTCGGCCAGATCACTGACGCAACTGCTCCTAGAGTCAACCTTGCCGAAGATACCAGGACGAAGGGAGTCAACGGCTTCACTGAGGTACGACGGCGGAGAAAAGAAGTCCTTTCCACAGGGTGTTATCCACAAATGGGCCTTTTTGTTCCTGCTACATAAAAGTCGCCGGCCCACGGCCCACCATCCGACGCGGAACCGGATCTCCGCCACCGCCACCGCCACCGCCGGCGGCGCATTGACGCAACAGGGCGGACGGCAGACGACAGAGACAATGAATGCCGCAGCTTGGTATTGGGAGAGTCGTCCCTGCAAAGGAGGAATGCCACGGTCGCCTGTTCCTCCTGTTTCTGGTTCCTTTTCCCCCTTTCTTCTTCTGGGGGATTTTACTGCAGATCTTCCGAAGTGGTGATCGGCTACACCTTCCAGATGGCCGGGAAGGAAGCAGACTGCTGCTGCTTGCTTCTCCTCGCCCTGGTAACGGAGGTTACGTCCGCATCCGTCCGGTCGTCGGAGGGGGAGGATGAACAGGAGGAAGAAGAGGAAGACACCATGTATCTGACCGACCTGGTCCTGAGCTTTTGCCTTTCCGCCCTGCGAGGGGCCCTCCGGCCGCTTCCCTCGGCCGCGGCGGAGGGGGGAGCGCGATGCCTCACCCCAGCCACGTGCAGGCCCACCGGCAGCACACAGTTGCAGAGTAATCCTGAGAGAACAATCAGCAAGCAGGGGACACCATCGGAATTCAGATCCAGATCCAGATGATTCACAGAACCTGGAGGGAGAGCGAAGAAGCTCGTACCGATGTTGGCGAGGCGATTCACCCAGCGTGGGATCGGCGTGCCGACGAGACGCAGGCAGACGTCGTTGCAGAAGTGGTTGCAGTTCTTGGAGATGAGGTGGTACGAGCAACCGGTGTACGACTCCGCCATTTTCTCCATGAAGATCCTCACCTCCCGCGGGCCGAGGTCCGTCCGACCGATGAGTATCGACTTACGGAAGCGGAATCCGGGGCACTGCCGTGGCTCCCCCTCGAATATCCCCGTCGTCGGGTGGTCGTGCGCTCCATACGCGTACTCCACCCCATGCACTGCTGGATCAAAGGGGGAAAAACAGAAACCCTAGGTCAGACCTGGTGAGATCTAGTCCGCCGGCGATTGGAGCAGGGACCGATGTGAGGACCTTGCACGCCGGAGTGGTAGATCCCCAGACCGAACCAGTACGCGTAGCCGTTGATTGGCGTCAGATCGTACACGTTGAGGTAAACCGGGACGCTCCCCGTCTTCCGCCTACAGGAGATGCAGAGTCCCCTGATGAACATCCTCCTCCGCCCCCGCCGCCACCGCCACCGTCTGCGGTCACAGGGCGACGTGGATCAACTCGGAGCCAATCAGATCAGGAAAGCCACACATCGAGAGAGAAAGAGAGAGAGAGATTGACGGACGGACAGAGACACGAAAGCGAAGGACGGGGAAGACGGCGAAGACGGCGAGGGAATTCTGGCCGGAAAAGGACGAGAAGATGAATATCGAACGCACCTTTTGCGCTGTACTCCCGTCGTGTTCTGCGACCACAGAGGTGACCTTCCCCCCTCTCTCCTTCTCCTTCGATTCCTCTGCTATCAGCACTGGCTTCTGCTCTGTTCTCTTCCCCCCCTCCCCGCTGTCTTTTACGCTGCTCTCTCTTTCTCTCTCTACTGACACTAGCGAAATTCGAAATTCCCACTTCCGGGAATGGTAACAATTGGCACGATTCAACTCCCTCGGGAAAATAGCCACCTGCCGGACCCACTGATTTGCCACGTGTACCCCCCCGAGCCCAGCGTTTCGTCTCCCGAGTACCGGCCTAGCGGTTTCGGCTCGAAATCGGGCGGGTTTTAAACCGGTCAACCCGCTAGGCCGGGCCCGGTCCGGACACATTATCGATCGAGGATGAATCGCTCGTCGCCGTCCGATCTATGATGGCGGCTGGCTTGGCCGCCACTCCGATCTTGATGATAATTATTTTATTCTTTCCAATATTTTAGCTCGTGTGACATTTATTTTCCTTTATTTATGGGGAGAGAGAGAGAGCATTCTATGCGCCGGTCAACTTGCTCTCGGTGGGCCACATCTAACTGGGCCGTGTGCTCTAATGGGGCCTTGGGCTTTATGTTAAGCCCGAACTGTAGAACTCGGGCTGGGCCCTTGACAACATTGGACCATGATAATTATTATAATAAATAGTAAATAATAATTATTTAATAATTAAAATGGACCTAACGGTTGGGCTGCGGTGGGTTTTTCAGTTTGGGGGAAAGCATATGCCCCGTCTCCGGAGGTTGAGGGAGGGCATCAGGCGGCGCCACCGGCATCCCCCCCGCGGATCCCTTGCGCTCTTCGCCGGCCCGCTGGGGGCGGCTTTGGGTCTCTGCGACAGCCTGGCGGAGTGGAGGGAAGAGGTTGGCGCCGTTCTTTCGATTTGCGCCTTGATTATTTAACATTATGGCATTCTCCGAACTAAGTTCTGTCGTAGATTCCCCGTTTTCTCCATTGTTTTCTGGGATGATGATTTTTTTTTTCACTGATTTTTTTATTTTTTATTTTGTGTTTGTATGCGTGATTTTTCATTTCAAATGTAAAGGTTAATCTGCCCGACGGTCAATGATCTTGCGAGAGGCATCGGCATCGGAGAATTTCCGGCGCTCCGTCTCCGCTCCTCCCCCTCATCTCTCTTATAGATTCAGTTTTGAGGGGGTTGATCGATCAGAGGTTCAGAGCCGATCCATGGTTTTTGCACCCGTGAAATGAGAACCACGTGGCGGTTCATGCGCATGGGTTCTACTCCACCGCCGGATTCCTTGGCAAGGAGATGGGTCTGGCTGCTGAGGAGGAACCCCAGCACGACTCTTGCGCTGCTGGGATAATTCTTCCCATCCTGCGATCGAAGTGTGCGGACGAGACCCGATTCTGCCATCTTTTTTCCGTTATTTCAATTCATTGCTAATAATATGGGGTCATTCAACTGAATAAATCCTTTTCATCGAGATCTTGGCCATCTTCTGCTCGAATAATTTGCATTTTTCTTGTCTTCTAAGTTTCAAGCCTTAATGGTTTCAGATTTCGTTCCTTCCTGTTAAGACCTTGTTGTTATCTGTTCTAGGAATTCTTGGGGATTCCACAGAACCAACCAGTTGCCAGAAGTAGGTATCCTTGACAAGAGGAAATGGGATGAAAAAGGAGATTCGGGGTATGATCAAGCCTCGGTAATTCCTTATGTGCGGGGATATCTTTTCAATCCTGGAGATGGGCTGCTGCGGCTGCTTTGGGTTCATGAGGAAAACGCACAGGTCGCTTGTGTCAGTCAGAGGACCTGGCGGGCGGTTCTCTCAGGAGATTTTGTTACCTGACGAACCAGAGGATAACGATGGCTTTTTCATGTACAACGGAGAAGGCGATTCCTTCCTGAGTGAAGGCTTTCGGGGGTGCAGCAAAAGGTCTGAGGAAATCCTCCAGTCAAGAGTTAGGAGGGGCTTGACTTGTAGGGAAGTTCCCGTCAAGGAAACTCTCCAGGTTGTTCGTTCTGAGGTAAGCTAGAGCTTCAATCAAATATTTTCATTCACGCTTTACTGTTTAATCTGCTCTTCTTTCTCAGCCGTATGCTGTAATAATATTTTCATAGATGCTAATTCTACAGTTTATTTGTTGTATTAACTAAATAGACTGAAAAGCATTTAAGTGGTTGCTTTAGGAGACAGAATGTACAATTATATGAACAATATGTGCATTCGGAGGACCTTGTTCAGGATTTCAAACTTCATTGTAATCAAGACATTGAGAATTAGAACTTGGAACTTAGATACACCATTTATTAGTTCCATCCCCATGGTTATTAAGGTACAAATTCTCAGACAGCAGGATAAGTTGTTTTATTCTCAAGTGATGCATGCTAAGATTCATCAGGAGAAATTAAGACTTCGCTGAGTTCTGGGTACTAAGCTGAACAGAACTAGTCGATGGTCTATGAATTTAACTTTTTTTTAAAGATCTTTGTCTAGAAGAGCGCTTTTTTTAGAACTTATGCATAGGCGGATAGAAATTGTGGCATTGTGGCTGTCATCTTGCGTGATTACTAAATGCATACATCTAATATTTTGATGGCATGATCTCATGTCTTAAGATAATAATATATGCTCGTTTTAATCAGTTCTCCACGGTTCCTAATCCATGACCAGAAAACTTAGACATTTCTATCCTGATTGCCCAATCTGAAGATCGGAGTCTGGTTTCAAAAGGGACACCTTTCGTAATCTTCTTGAAATAGAAAAATTGAAAAACTAGAATAATTGGAAATAGCACGGTTTCGTAATTTGCATCCCTTCACTTGGCTTTTACTAGGTACGCTAATTTTTTTCCTTTTTCTTCAAATACCAGGACGAAAATGGCGATAAAATGGTTAACGAATATGTGCGAGAATGTAAAATTGGTTCTGGCAGCTATGGCAAAGTGGTAGGTTTGGTGCAATCAGTTGCTTCTCTCCCCCCCTTCTTTCATCCTCCAGCCTCCTCTGCACACACTCGGACTCACACAGCCAACGATCATGTTTTATTTTCGAATTTTTAGGTTCTCTACAGAAGTACTAAAGATGGGAAGAAGTACGCATTCAAGGTGAAATTTCTTTCCTAATATCTTGTTGCATTTGCTTACATGTGGTAAAAAATAATCCTTTTATTATTATTATTTTGGCAAAAATACTGAAAGGGATTCCTGACGAATTCACCATTTTCTCCATATCAAAAATAAGAATTTTATTTATAACAGCCTTCACCAGTTTCGGTCAACCACTGCAAATGATTCCGTTTTAAGTGGTGGAAATAAATTAATTTGTCATATTTTCTGTATTTTTTTCCAAAATAGGTTGTAATCATGTTCATACTTTTTCTTACGGTGGTTGTTTACTTTCATACAGTTCATGTTCTATGGTTATTACAACCAAGCGATATGCTGCATTGCAACAATCTGAAATTTTTTTCAATCTTAAAAGCTCAGGTTTTTCACAAGTCTCATTTAATGAAGCTGCGAGTGGCACCGTCTGAGACAGCCATGTCTGATGTTCTGCGTGAGGTTAGTCTTTTAATACTTCTTGAGAGTAAAACAAGAAAAATAATATTATATTTTCTTAGTTTTCGTATGGTTTAAGTGCTCCTAATCTTTTAAGGCCACCTTGCTCGATCAAAACCTTCAGAACTGTTGATAAATAATAATAATAATAATAATCTATCATCAGCCAAGAAAAAAATATGTAATCAATTTATTTATTTTCTGAAAAAATAATATTTATGTCTTGCATCTAATTCTGGAGATGGCGAGCATCATCGAATTTCTTCACATGCAGGTGTCGATCATGAAGATCTTGGACCATCCGAATATAGTAAAACTTGTTGAGGTGATCGATGACCCGAACAGCGACCACTTTTACATGGGTATATTGATCGATCAAGCTTTTCTTCCATTTTTGTGTCATTATCAGCTGCCATTCAAAGGCCATGGTTTTCTATTGTTGTTCTTATTTTTTCCGCTCAGTTCTTGAGTACATTGAGGGCAAATGGGTCTGCGAGGGTTCTGGTCCGGCGAGTGGCATTGGCGAGGACGCCTCCAGGACGTACCTGAGAGACATCATTGCAGGGCTCATGTACCTCCACTCTAACGTAAGTCTCTCCATACAGCAGATCTTATCTTCTTGCTTCATGTGACTCCTCGACTCCCGGACTGCGAAATCTTCCTTTTTTTGGCAAGCGGGTTGACCAAGAATCGATCTTTCTTGAATGGTGCTATCAGAAAAATGTGATTTTTTAATTTTATTTTTGGATCTTTTGGGGTCCCCAGAACATCATCCACGGGGACATCAAGCCGGATAATCTTCTGGTGACGAGCAGCGGCAGGGTGAAGATCGGAGATTTCAGCGTCAGCCAGGTTTTTGAGGTAATTAGTGGCTAATCTTCTCTGTTTTGACTCTTCTGGTCCGTGGAGAGAGGTGAAGAGAGAGAAAGAGATCCCCTGGGCATTCATTTCATCTGTTCAATCGTACGGTTCTCGATTCCTCCTCGTCCCCAGGATGACAATGATGAGCTGCGGAGGTCCCCGGGCACGCCCGTATTCACCGCTCCCGAGTGCTGCCAAGGTGAGAGAAACAGCCCAGAAATGGCAAAATCTTAAGATTTAATCTCTCCTCGAGCTGAAACGTCCCTGACGTTGACTTGGGCCCTCCTAGGTTTGACCTATAGTGGCAGGGCCGCCGACACATGGGCCGTCGGAGTCACCCTGTACTGCATGCTCTTCGGCCAGTACCCATTCCTCGGAGAAAGCTTGCAGGACACCTACGACAAGGTGAGCCGCCGGCGACACGGCCGCCGCTTGACTTTTCTATCGGACGGTTCTGATGAGTTGTTGGGTGATTTCCCAGATAGTCAACGATCCCTTGATGATCCCTGAGGGCGTCAGCCCTCTCCTGAAGGACCTGGTTGAAGGGCTCCTCTGCAAAGGTCAGTACCCCTCCCTTTTTTCTCTCCAAGTCAATGTGTTGTTGTAGATTCTCCCCGGTGGCGGCTTTCTCTCTCCTCTGACCGGGACTTTCCCGCAGATCCCAGGCGGCGGTTGACCCTGAAAGCGGTGTCAGAGCACCCGTGGGTGGTCATGGGAGACGCGCCGGAGAAGGGGACCGGCGAGGAGGCGGAAGCCGGCCAGCTGTAACAAGAGGGGCGCTTGGGGATTTGCGGCGTGCTAATTAGGATGGGGTGGGGTTTTGTGTTTATCCGTTGTATCTTGGTGTTGACTCTTACTGTGGAGGTTAGGAGTTGGAAAGTCAACGCCTTCATAATGGGTAGGGGAGGAAGGATTCTCCTTGTCGACAGGCCACTTGAGTTTTAAGAGGCTCGGCTTGGCCTGGCACCCGCCCAACCGTTTATTTATTTTCGTGCCTTTTTGAGAGAGAGAGAGAGAGAGAGAGAGAGAGAGAGAGAGAGAGAGAGGGAGGGAAATGAAAACTTTAGAGGTATGAGGATTTATATGATTAATATAAGTATAGTTTAAGAAAATGCGGCTCCTGGATGGGTTCAATGGGCCGGACTGAGACATTGAGATTGAGCCCAGACCAAGACGATAATGGGCCGTTCCTGCCTAGGATCACTAAGCAGAGACCCCCACCCCCTTCACCTACGTCATTAAGTGCGTACATTTCGCAGAAGTGGTGAGGTGTCGCAGGAGCTGGCGGCGGTGGTATTCCGCCATTTCTCCCGCCGCCTCGACCGCCGTCCGCTGGGAGAGGTGAAGATCGGGGAAGTTCGATGAGGGGGAGCAGGTGAAGACCAACCGCTGGAGATCGGAGTGAGGAAGGTAGAGGTGTCGATGGAGGCGGATGAGATGATCCTCGCTCACTTCGTATCTTTTTGTGGTTTTTTGGTTTATGCTCTCCGAATGCGTCAGTGATTTTCACGATCGGCTGTGGTGCGCGTGGTTTTCTTAGTTTGAATTTCTGCAGATTTGAAATCGACCGGCGATGGAGTGCTCCGATTGGAAGATTTGTTTTCCTTTTGGAGAGCGGGGTGGGGAAAATTAGGTCGCCTATTTAGTGCGGGATCTGTGGCCATGGCGATGGATCAGAATAATGGTTTTGGGATGCCAGGTGGGTAGGCTACCAGTCCCCCCTCCATTCGAAAAATGAAGGTTCTCGGCTTTCGGTAATGGTCCCGTTTTAGGAGGAAATTGCTATCAAGTTGCTAGGTATCCTCATTTTAGATGGCATTCTCCTAGGTGGCTCAGAAGGTCAGCTGTCGAGGTTCTTTAAGCCTCGGCATTTTCATCAATCGTTTCCATTAGCTAATTCTGGATTTCAAATGGTTTTTTTAATGTTAATCACCCATAAATTTTCCTGTTCTAATATCCGTTGTTCAGGCTGTCATATCTCCAAGTAGGATTCATACTGCTGATCTAGTTTTTTGGGGAAGCAATAAGAGATGATAATGAATTGCAATGCAGAAAGAGATCTCAAGAAACTTATTTGCAAGACGATTAAGACAGACATTCGATTCATAATGAGATAGCGTAACTCAAAAAACGCTTTCATTATCCTTGTTGTAATGATCCAAATTAAAACCAATAGGGCATGCTACCGCCGGAATTATCGACATCAGTGTATCTCGTAATTCAAGATATGTCCACCGCATGCATATGAAATCCAAAAGGATAAAAAGTCCAAGAAATTTTCCACATTTCTACTATTCGAAATTTTGTTTATTTCGTTAAATACCGTTCTCATCTTGAAATCATGCAAGATTAATCTTAATTATTGACCTTATATGTATATATTTTTTTCATCCCACTTTTGGTTTTCCAATGCCTGGGTTTGTCTATTGATTATATTTTCTGAGGATACAGGAACTATCTTGAAATTTATAAAGTTGAAAGTATTTGCTCTTTAGTTTTTCTGGAGACCTAATCTGTTCCAGTATCCTAGTCCATCAGATATGCATCAGTTTCCATCAGTTAGTTTTGAATACCCAAATTACCTACACATGGGCAGTGAATCAGGCTAGAGAAAACCTTCATGTTTCGTCATTTTGTATCTTTCTTTCACGAGTACGTAATGCTCTTGCTCTCTGTGACATCAAACTTCTGACTGGAATGCTCCAGGATATGTCAGACACCAAAACTCTCTCTACCACATTGTATCCTCACATTCTCTTGGGCTTGTGAATGAACTGTGCTCCTCAGCGCGTTATATTATCTATTTTACATATTTCTTGATGATTTTGCCATCCATGTTGATTATTTTACATTATGAGGCTTCCTACTCAAAAGCCGAACATTTCAGGGGGGAAAAATTTATGTGGGAATTTTTTCTTTTAGTTTCACTGTGCCAACTATTGCTGTTCTTGGATTCATGATCATAGTGAAAAATACCTTAGTGCAATTAATTTACAAAGCATCTTCGATCTTATTCCATGATGCACAGGAAATATCTTCCAGCTAAGAAGATGAGATGGCTCCCAAGCTTCAGCTTTCCGGCCTCCAGAAGCAGGTCTTGGGACTGTACAGGGGATTCTTGAGGGCTGCCCGCCTAAAGGCCCCCGATGAACGCCGTAAGATCGAGGGCATTGTCTCTGCCGAGTTCCGACGGAATTCCAAGGATATCGACCGGAAGAATTTCCTGTACATCGAGCATCTGATCCGACGAGGGAAGAAGCAACTTGAGCAGCTCAGCAGTCCTGTCACCGTTGGGATATCCACTCTTCAGGTTGGTTGACTTTCTGTATTGGAGCCTCCCTCTTATAGAAACTCTCTTTCAAAGCTAGTAGAAGAGGTCTTTCAAATCATGAAACAAGGTCAACAGAGATGCTACGTGTAATGAGATCACTGTGGCTCCATGATGCTCCAACGTTCTGAACCATTTATTCTAAGAAGAGTGTTCATCTGGATGGCGGGTTTTCAGGTATCTTCTTCTCCAAGAACAAGCAGAGATAAGTCATTGGCTTCACTATCAGATCAAGCTGATGGTGAGAACCCTGAAATCGCTCGATGAGAAGCTGGGGGCTCGTTCAATCTTCTAATGAATTGATGATGAAACAAAGAGTTCCTGCTAGTGACGGTGTGGCCATAAAATTCTTTGGTGAAACTCTTGAAGTTTTATAGATATTCTCCATTATGATTTTCAGATCTTCACGTATACTCCGTTATAAGTTATGGGTCGTCCTGGATTTTCGTCATTCTAATGGGCTAATGTTTCTCTCTCTCTCTCTCTCTCTCTCTCTCTCTCTCTCTCTCCCCTCCCTTAGAAATGGTCATTCCCAGAAGTAAGAACAGAGCATCGGGAACTCGACCTACCGTTGACTAGGCTAAATCTCGTGCCGGCGGGCGATTCTGTCGTCGAGAATGTTTCGTCCCTTTCTAGATCAAAGTTTTTAATAGCAGATCGTGTGGTTGCTACCTCACGTGTTTGACGTTGACCGTGGAGTTGTTAATCTTTGAAAATAATGATAATTGTATGGAGATTTTACAGGTTGTCTCACTTCGTTCATATCATGCAAATTGTCATTTCTCTCTCTCTCTCTCTCTCTCTCTCTCTCTCTCTCTCTCTCTCTCTCTCTCTCTCTCTCTCTCGATAAGTGTCAGTGAATTGTGCTAGCTCAGAATTCAGATCTAAGCATGGATCTTAGAAGAAAGTCTAGAGAGACACACGTACAACCTGATTACAGGCCGACGGAATCCCGGCTTCGACACCGTTGAACTTTCCTCTTCCTCTTCATATGATCTCTTTAGTCGGAGACGGTTTCATAGAGTCCAGCCCAGGCTACTAACTGGCAAGAGAGAGAGAGAGAGAGAGAGGGAGGGATGACCACTGTAAAGAGAGATTTATTGTCATCCCCTCCATATAGAGAGAGAGAGACCCACTGTAGATAAGGAGATGTTACTTGTCATGTGCACTGTAGACAGAGAGAGAGAGGGAGAGAGAGAGACAGAGATTGTCATCATGCCCAACGTTGCCTTCTCGGCAGTCGTCACCTCCTAGACCTTGGAGACGCCGAACTGGGTAGAACACGCAAACGAGGGCGATAAGCTCGACGTCGCAACAAGGGTGTTAAGTCAAACCCTTCTACCCCAATTCCACCTCCCCGAGAACACGTTCCGATAGTTGTTTAACCTTAACTTCCCCTCACCCGTCTCAATCCCCTCACCAACCACTGATGAAAGATTACCCCCAGCGAGAGAATGAGATAGATAGATAGATAGATGGGGCGAGAGAGAGAGAGAGAGGGAGAGAGGAGGGGGATTGGATCTCTTTGTTGACACGAAAGAAGAAGTGACGGCGACATCTGGAGAGCTGATGTAATGTTCTTGTCGTCTGACGTTAGAACCCTAGAAATCATCAGCACGGTGACCTCAGCTGATGCTGGAATCTCATGTCCTCTCTCCATCGTCAAGGAGTTCGGTTGAAAGGATGCCCGAACAACAAAATTATTTCCATTTTTTTGGAAGTCGATCTCTGTCTGTTTCTGGCAGCTTCAATCGGCCGGATTAGCGCGCGACCATCGGTAAATAGTAGTAAATATCCCTCGGCCTGGTCTTCATCCGGACCGAGTCAGGCTTTTAATCGGGTTCCTACGCAGACTCCCACCAGCTCTCTCTCCCTCTCTCTCTCTCCCTCTCTCTCTCTCCCTCTCTCTCTCTCTCTCTCTCTCTCTCTCTCTCTCTCTCTCTCTCTCTCTCTCTCTCTATCTATCTATCTATCTATCTATCTATCTATCTATCTATCTATCTATCTACCTCTCTCTCATACGGCGGGCTTGACGGGGCCAAGTACGTGGAGAGAGACGCGAGCCCGGTCTGAATAGGAGGTGAGTTGACTATGATTAGCAGCCTCCGCGTTTAAAAATCTCACCTTGGAGCGATGTGACTGCACTACTCGAATCAAATCCTTCGACACAATGACGAAATAATTCGCTGTTATTTGGCTTGAAAGATGAAAAAATCTCGAATTATCGGAACGATTTCCATTTATTACTTTGACTCTAATATTCAACAATGTTGGTCAAACGGAGGGCGATAGTCAACGTGATATGGACGATTGGCGGCAGGCGTCGACTGTGGCACATGTCGGAGGAGGGGGGGGGGGGGTTCAGTGGAGGACCTAAGAACAGTTGCTGACTCACGTTTAATGCCGGTTGACTGGGAGGACGTCTGGGGAGGCTGGAGCTGAAAGTTTTCCTCTAGGAGATATGGTGGAAGGTTGACCGGCGAAGATCCTGTTTTCTCCCTCTAGAAATTGAGGGGAGAGATCCAGTGAATGGCTTCATATTTCATCGAAAACCAGTCATGGTGACTCTCTCTCTCTATCTCTCTCCTCTCTCTCTCTCTATCTATCTATCTCTCTCAATCTCTCTCAACATCTAACATTCGCACCACACGTCCGAAAGTCAGAACGACGAGAAGCCCGCGACAGAACGGCAAATCGTCGAAGCCAGATTTTCTTTGAAGCCAAAATTGTCAAAGACTACGCATATAAGCTGAAACGTGGAAATAAACTCCTCTGAACTCGTCAAACTCTCCCTCTCTCTCTCTCTCTCTCTCTCTCTCTCTCTCTCTCTCTCCAATGAAGGTGCCTTAACTACCTACCCCGTCAAATCAACCAGGTGGAAAAGACGCCACGGCCTACCCCACCGAGTTGAACGGGCTTCTAGATGCGTTGACTTTGAAACACCCTTGGAGACACCTCTGGGTTTGAGGAAGCTTTGAACAGCAGGGTTCGTTTAAGTCAACTGGGAAAACCAACCAAGTCCAGGGACTAGACTGAGTTTATGGGTGAGTTTCTACGGCATTGCTGACTCCAAGAGATGACAACGTCTTCCCATGGACCGGGCTCTGAATGGAGCCATCCCGCTCTTCTATATCCACCTGTTCTAGAGAGAGAGAGAGACCTAGAGAGAGAAGGTAGGAGGGGAGAGATGGAGACGGCCTACCTCAGGGGTTATCGCAGCGCAATCACTCTAATAGACGCGGCTTTGAAAGGAGGTAGTCTATTTTCCTTCCACTTTATCGGCATGTTGACGCATCTACGGTGTTGGAGTAGATAGATAGATAGATAGATAGATAGATAGATAGATAGATAGATAGATAGATAGAGAGAGAGAGAGAGAGAGAGAGAGAGAGAGAGAGAGAGAGAGAGAGAAATGGGATCGTGTCGGGTCCCACTCGATGTCTCTCTGCTGCACTTTTCTTCGACGAAAGTCTCCCGGCATCTTCACTTGTCCAAGAACTGTCATGGCCTTTCGGTGGACGGAAGAAAAGTGGGGTGGGAGAGCTTGAGATCTCCTCAAGATACGGTGGAACGAGTAGAATTGGTAAATAAAGGGGAAGATAGAGAGAGAGAGACGAGGGGAAAGCGGGATTGGTTGGAGAACCTTTTCAGATCTGTTCCCAGAGGGGCTCTCAAAGGCAGTTTCGAATGCCAAACCAGTCTATCCCATATTGGACAAACAAAGTAGAGAGTGAGAGAGAGAGAGAGAGAGAGAGAGAGAGAGTGGTGGCCAGTCATTCCTCTCCTTCACCCTTTGGGTGGAGGACAATGGTGGGGCTTCGTCAATGGCACAAAGCTTATGATGACGACCGAGGATAATGAGAGAGAAGGAGAGGCGGCTGTTTCTCTCCTACTTCGGGGTTGACTAAACGAATACCCCGCATGACTTTTTCCATATGCCCAACAAGAGTTGGTGGTGTGTACGGCGGCACTTCCAAGCATCTCTTTTAGCCCCCCTAAAATCACAATGACTTAATGAATCTAGATACAAGATACACGTAGAGAGAGAGAGAGAGAGAGAGAGAGAGAGAGAGAGAGAGAGAGAGGAAGAGGATGATACTGCTAGTAATAAAATAATAATATGAAGTTTATGGGTGTAATGTTGTATCATAATACAATTACAGAGCTTTCCTTGCAGAAATACCATTCAAGACAAGCACCAACCCATGATCCGCCATCTTGACAAAGTGAGCAACATCTTATCTCCATGATTTTTAACTGCATGCGTTGTAAAAATCCAAAATATCCATTTCTTATGAGCCGCGTCTGAGAAAATACCAAAGATGCGTTCGTTTATAAGTGGATCAGGTGCTGCCTAGTGGCTCCCCAACTGCATAGTAATGGCCATAGAAAATCCTTCCTTTATAAGTCTCACGGAGTCCTTGGGCACCGAGAATTATGGAAAGATGGCTCCTTTTTTAATGGGACAAGCTGGTTTTCTTTTCCTTTTATGGCATGAATTGTTCCTGACCATGATCGACCTTGCTTCTTAAGTTCCGTTTCATTTGGCTTGCCACGTGGCTAGTAGTGTGCGAGATTGAGGATTCCCCAAAAATAAAAATACCAGCTTTAGGGTTTGACTTTCTATGGAGGCATTAGATGTAAATGCTCTCCTCATAGGAACTTAAAATGGTATCTAATTACAAGAAAACTCAAAAGTGGGCAAAATTTCCTCTGACGGTCAATTTGGGTGTTCTCAAGGTAGCTTTCACATCTTTAGAAGGGTTCTTTTGCATTAAATGCAATATTTCGTAATTAATACAAAAAAGACACATTCAAGGTTAATAATGCAAACCATAGATGAAGTTAGGGTAATGATGTCATTGATGTGTATACTATTTTCTACCTGAGTGAATATCACATCCCAAATATTTACTTATTTGGTGTAGATAAACAATAGAAAAGTCATCATCGTGACCCCTTCCTATTCAGAACAAGTTCCCCGTTCACTCTTTATCTTCTTCTTTCCGAACAAGCCGTAACCTGCATACCTTTTCTCCACCCAGCCACACGTGTGAAACACCTTCTATCGCCTCTCTCTCTCTCTCTCTCTCTCTCTCTCTCTCTCTCTCTCTCTCTCTCTCTCTCTCTACAATATATATGCCATACACCTCAAGCGACCGCAGAAGCCCAACAGAAGTAACTTCCGGCCAGATCCACCAAGCACCCACCGCCCCCTCTCATGGAAATAACCCCCTTCGCCGCTGCCGCCGCTGCCGCCGCTGCCGCCGCCGCAGAGGCCTCCCTATCGGAGACGTCCACCATATCCGCGCTCGAAATCCCCAGTCACGATAGCAGCGCCAGCATGATCGTTGTGGTGGAGGAGAAGGAGGAGGAAGAGAAGCGAAGGAAGATATCGCCCTCCGTCGTGGAGCTCAACCTGCTCGGGAACCTCGACGGCGGCGTGGAGGGAAACAGATGGCGGAGCTCTCCGGAGCCGCCGGGTTCGGAGGCGCGAGTCTTCTCTTGCCACTACTGCCGGAGGAAGTTCTACAGTTCTCAGGCGTTGGGCGGACACCAGAACGCCCACAAGCGGGAACGCAGTCTCGTCAAGCGCGGCGGCGCCGCCCGGCTGGGCGGCGCCGCTGTCGGCGACAACTACTACCCGCTCGGCATGGCGTCGCTGCCGCTCCACGGGTCCTTCGCCGGTAGGCCGCTGAGCATCCAAGTGCACTCCATGGAAGCGGCATGGCCGTTCTCTCTACTCGCCCAGCGTGCTCCGCTGGGCAGGTTTCTCGGATCCGATTTCGGAACCGGCGGCGCGGCCGGGAGAGGCTTCTGGTGGGGGAAACGCGAGGGGGACAACCTGAAAGCCACTCAAGATCTGAAGAAGATAGACTTGAGCCTCAAACTTTAGAGAGAGAATATCTACCTTGTACAGAGATTCTCCATCTTCATCCTTCCGATTTATTTTCCGCACGAACTGTAGTTGACGGGATAATAATGAAGAAGAGTTGTTCACGGCCGGCTTCTCGCCCCCTTCTCCCCCGTCCCTCCCGGCTACGCATAATCTTCAACTGAAGAAGACGACAGCCTGCGATGAGATCAGACCCACATAAAAAGTTTGAATGCTTCCATGAAACCCGCGACAGCGATCACGGAATTCTATACTTCCAAACCACTACAGCCTTCGTCCGACGTTGAAACAAATTTAAAAAAAACCCTAAACCCCTCCCCCCATTCTCTGTAAACTTGACGTCACCTCTCTCTCTCTCTCTCTCTCGCTCTCTCTCTCTCTCTCTCTCTCTCTCTCGCTCGCTCGCTTGCTCGCTCGCTCCCTCTCGGCTGTGTGGCCATCTTTCAGGTCAAGTGTGGCTCCTCCCAACACTCAATTTGGCAATTAATGGCCGTATTGAAAGTTTCCGATCCTCCAAATCCCGGACTCGAATATCCTCCCACCGATCTACCGGGACCAGCCGATTCCAGACCGAGGGATCGGAAGTTATCACATCCCGCTGACCCTCCGAAGAATCAGGCTCATCGTGGACTTCTGACCAGCGCCCACCTCATACTGAGCTTCACGGACGCCGGAGAGATCCCAACTTTTCGTGGCTTTCAAGAGACCTGGAATGACAGACTCAGTGGTTCCAGCCCGGGCCTCCTCAGTCAGAGAGAGAAAGAGAGAGAGGTCAGTGGGCTTCCTTATGTTGACCTTACCACAGCTCGGGTCCGGAGAGGGTAAAGAATAGGTTTGACTGGCTACAATCAACATGAATTCTGGTGTCCAAGATTAAATTTTTATAATAATATCTCAACCCGTCGGTGCCTAACTTGACTTGGGACCGACTCCGGTAGAGCTGGAAAAATGTGCCAATTAATATCGGGAAAATACATCAAAAATCGAGCACCTAGGGATTCGTTCGTTGCTCAGCTACCAGTCTAAATTGGGCAATTGAGAATAATTCGAGGCAACAATAGATTTCCAAAAATCCTGGTCAAACCCAGTTACAACATAGCTTCGAGGTCCCAGATCCATTCTCGGTCCGATGCCTTTTCATGAGTGCTACCCAGGTGGATCCATCTTCATAAATACCATCCCTTCACTCCCTCTGAAGAAACTCATCACATAAAATAAGAGATTAAAAAAACCACTTGATTAAAGGGTTATTTACTTATACGCCCATGTAAACCACTAGACTCACCAAAGAGTCTCTCCTATTTTCACTGGGGACTGGAAATTATTCAAAATTTAAGATTGTCCCTCTATTGATATTCATAAGTAGAAGCAAGTTAACCATTGTTAAGAGTGCTTGATCTCCACCTGATTTTAAGATATACTGACGTCTCAAAACCCTAAATCTACTTGCCATGTTCCCTCCCAACTTTGTTTGTTTGTCTATTTGTCTCTCTCTCCCTATGATGACACCTCATCCGTGATCCAATGAGCTAAAATAAAATTATTTACCATTATTTTTAGTGTAGATAGATATTATGGAATTAAAAAAGTAGAGTAAATAAAAATATTACGAAGTGTATGATCTTGAAATGAGCTAAACAAGCACTTTAGTTTACATAATTCACAAATCAAGAGAAATCATGAATAACCTCAAATGTGAAATGTTAATATGCATATTTTTTCATGCAGCCTATTAGTAATAGAACCATCAACAAACATTATCCTTTAAAATATTATACTAAATAACTATATAACCTATTTTTTACTAGTAGTAGGTTTAGTTTTGTCTTAAAAATAAACAAAAACTCCTCAAACAAAAAAAGAAAATTTCAGTGAATAGTCTTCATATTCAACCTATTGACAAAGAGAGTAGAGAGAGAGAGAGAGAGAGAGAGATTATCATATGAAATTATGTATAACAAATTAAGATCATATGAAATTCTATTATAGTATTATTGAATCAACTAAATTTGGCTCTTTGAGATTATTTTAGATCATAGAGAGACTTCCACAATTGACATACCAAATTGAATTCTTTTAGATGAATAAATCTAAGTGATTGTTGCATCTAAATTTAATATTAAAGATCATTATAAAAGAAGACATTCTTGATATCCAACTAATGAAGAAGTCAAGAAAATCAAATGGTAAATGCTAAGAAGATTTATATTGAAGTGACTTTAGCAACATAGCCTTCACCATAAATCTGAGTAAAATCCTCTAGCCACAAGATGGGCCTTCAATTTATCAACAAAACCATCAAGTTCAACCTTGATGTTGAAGACAATTGCACCCAACAATAGATTTCTTAAGCAATGTGAAATCAGATGACAAGTAATTTTCTACTCTATGATAATTATCTCATCTTGCATAGTTGTATACAACCTAAGATAGCCAAGTGATTTTAAAATATTCTTAAGAATAAGTGTGGTAGACAAAGTAGAGATAAATACAAAGTAAGAAAGACATTTTTGAAAGAAACAAATGAGACATGAGGTGACAGGTAGAAGACTATTTTTCCATTGTAGGGTAATAGGTATATTTCGGTCACTCAAGATAGTCATTTTTGGAGAGACCATTAGACATATAAGAGACTTGTTGTGAGTGGAGCACTTCAATAGTTGCCGAAGCAAATATGAAGAGTTCTCTACCATGTGTATGCCTTCACAATGAAAAGTTGACTGTACTTGACACATTAAATTATTCAACTATAGACTCAACAGTGGACTATCTAAGAATTTTACATATAAGAAAACTACATATTAAGATTGACTCAATAATATTAGTAGAGGTATCAACAACTCTAAAAATTTAGTCAATTTAAATTGAACAAGTAAGAATATATTCTTAAAAAAGGTGACATTGACAAAGACAATGTATTGATGAAATGGACAATAATATTTGTACATTTTTACAAGACTATCTTGAAAATTTAAATTTTATAAATTTGGGGCTAGGTTATCTTGAAATATTGCAGCTTATAGAAAAAATAGACACATCCAAATATTTTAAGTGAAATATTGTACAATAGGTCACTCAAATAAATAACAAAGTAAGGAATCTTGTTGTCTATGATAAAAGATGACATTATTAATAATGTAAGTGTTAGTAAGAACAACATCTTTCTCATAATTATGTGGAAACTTACATGTGCATAAGGACATAAGTAGTTTCAATAGTATGTATGTTTTCAAACTGTGACTTTATTTTGTTACGAGGGATGAGGGTGAGATGACTAATAGATGACTATATGATGGGTTAAGTATTATGTAAATGGAGAGTTGAAGTGTTATTTTGCATTATCAGAATATAAGACATTGATATACTATCTAAAATGATTTTTAATTTTAGTAAAAAATGAACAAAAATATAAAACAACTTATATATGTCCTTTATGAAATAAAATCACGTAATACATAAATGGTCATAAATAGATGAAATAAATCAAAGAGAGTTTTGTTCAATGAAGACCTCTTGACTCAAAAAAATATATTAGTATTTTCTTAACTATCACAACTTATACTATAACACCTCTAATAACTTGAATTTCCCAAGAGACACAAGACTCAAATGATTGTGAATCTGAAGAGATGAAGCATGTGTACAAATACATGATTATTATAATTTATTATAATTATATATGTGCATGTAGACACATACACGCATATGAATAACTATTAAGACCTAGTTGATAGTGAGATGACTCAGTACTTGAAAAAATAAAGGTTGTTGATTAAAAAATAATCATCTGATCTTGTTTCTTTCTCTCCCTTAGCGAAAAGAAAGGAGTCTATTTATCTATATAGCAACACAAATAGTAGAAGAAGCTTTATCCAGATAGTTCAACCCTCCATACTCATATACTTAATGAATCATCTTTCATGTCTTTATGTCCTATGTAAGATTTGGATGAGTAAAAAAATTTACGACATAATGAAGAGAATGAGTAGTTTTAATAATAGAAATAAGATTTAAATAAATTGGACATATAAAGGACTATATACCTAGAACATATGTTCTAGATCAAGTTCATTTATAAGACATTGATGATGAAGAAATGACTTGGATGACAGATACATTGTGCTTATACCTAGGACATATGTTCTAGATCAAGTTCTTATATAAGATATGAATGAGGAAGAAAATTTATGAAATAATAAAAAAAAGAGTAATTTAACTAATAGAAATGTGACTAAAAAAATTAGATGCGTAAAGTATTAAGTTAAGAGATGATTCAAGTGATAGAGACATTGTCCTTATATATAGGGCATTTTTGTAGATCAAGTTTACATAAGACATGAATGAGAAAGAAATTTTAATCACCATGAATAGAATTGAATAATTTAACTAAAAGAAATAAGATTTAAAAAATAGATACGTAAAAGACTGAGTTAAGAGATAATTCAAGTGGTAAATACATTATCTCTATATCAAGAACATGTTATAAATCAATCAACTAAAGTATCACTAAAATATTTATCAGGAAATTTACCAAAAATATGTGTTACGTAGTCAATGGTATATGATTCAAGATGACAATTCACCCTTAGAGTCACAAGATGTATGTGAGAGACTATTGGATATCACAATCTAAATTAGAGATACAAACACTAATGACACATGCTGGACAACATGAGATGGAGTCATCTAGGGTTCGATTCTCTACCTCTTCACTTGATATAGCGAGATGGATTGTCATAGAGATGACTATAAAGATCATAACATAAATCTCTAGTGTGTCATTTTCTCCCAAATTAATTACAATCAAGTCTCTAAAGACTGCCAATAGTCATGGCTACCCTCACCCCATGCTAGAATAACCACCATAACTATGAGAAGATGAGGTCTTCATAAAAGAAGGTAATTCAATTCTAGATAAATTTGATTATGAATTTATTCATTATCAACATGAAGACTATTAAAAAACTTAAGAACTATCATCTAATCAAATTGTTTTTACAACATCCTAACATTATTAGAGATAAAAAGTAGGACATAGAGATCATCACTGAGTTATGTCACCTCTCCAAAATATTGACTTCGACTTTTCTCTTGTTATTGCAGTCTTTAAATTTGAATAATTATGTTATATATCCATTAGATGTATTAGTGTTGACATGATATAAATTTGACAAGATGAACAATTTGATTGAGTCGACATAGGAGTTACAAAATGTTGAAATCTCATCCTTGAGTTCCATAAAAGACGATTTATGTGAAAATACTTCACCTTGAACCCCACATAATGAAGAAACCTTAACCCTCAAGTCCACAAGGGTTTGATCTTGAGTCCACAATGATCAAAAAGGTCACTAATTTCACAAAGGATGTTAGAATCCACCTATAGAGAAATGAAATCTCAAAAAAGGAAATCTTCATATATAAGTAAACTTGAAGGCTACTATGGCTAAAAAGGAGGCCTTTTTCTAAGTCAAAATCTAGTTATAATTAACCTAGAAATGAGGGGTTCTGTTAGAATGCTCCTAAGGAAAAGGGAGAACCTATTAAAATGCCCTAAATAGACTAGGAAGATTATTTTGAGAAACTTGTGTCTAAATCTCTTACTAGGTCATTTGGAACTAAGTTTTGGGCAAATTGTTTCCTCACAATATCTTGGGCTTCAGTCTACCTTAATTAGGCTGAAATTGAGCTTCTACTCCATTTCAGCATGACATTAAAAAAAAATCAGCTACCTAGACTCATATCCTACTAGTTTTCACCACTTGGTCAAAAACCTTTCATCCTTGTATTGATAGGTTTTCTTAGGCTACATCATGTCAGATGATTCAAGCCTATATTGTAAGTATCAAGATGACTTACTAGATTAGTAACATTAGGCTACATCGAATTACATGAAAAATTAAAAAGTTTACATCTTGGTGCTCCCATAACATCTTTTTAATGATGTAAAATGATACATCATCTATAAGATACATTATTTTATCTTAACCTTCTAAGTAGATGTTGATAAATCTACTCTACTAGTTGTAATCCTTTTTCTTTAGTCTCTATGCATTAATAATATGATTATGCACTGACCAATGGTTGCTGAATTGTTATAAATTTGGATGCATCACTCGTAGAATAAACATGCTAGAGAGTGTATGACTATTGACTATTGATTGTTGATTGTTGACCATTGACAATTGACTAAGAAGCGAGGAGATGATTCATGGAGCAGTGTAAATCAACAAATGGTCAATGGCAACACCAAAGATAAATCAGCAACAATGATAGTCAATGTTGGACAAGATGGCAGATGACTAGAAGGATGTCGATTGACTCAGTGAGATGATGGTGGTGACAACAACAATGATAGTCGATGCTAGTTAAGACTAACTGCAACGGAGACTTTGTCAATGGTGGATCTTTGAATGAGAGAGGCAGAGGACAATTGTCTTTGACCTAACAGATGACAAAAGTGCGAATGAAGAAAAGCCTTCTTCCACAACAACTGTTACCATTCCAACAACATGTCGACAAAGAGAGAGAGAGAGAGAGAGAGAGAGAGAGAGAGAGAGAGAGAGAGAGAGAGAGAGAACTGTTACTTGTAGCGGCTTCCCCTTTTGGTTTAATTAGGCTTAACCCTAAAGGGGCGATCACTAGATTAGCCCTTAAATGGGCTTAGCCCTTAGATGGGCCGATATGAACCACTAAGTGGGCATATTAAATGGACCTTCACAAAAACCCCAAGAGAATAAACCTAATGATGGGGCAATTTACAAGGAGCCCAAAGCGTTAATTCATAGATCATGGTGTAACTGTTCTCATTGGAAAAAAATTTCATTATTTTTATAATCAAATCTAAACACATTTAGTAATCCTCCTTCATAAGTTGTCCCTCAATCACATCAAAAGATCCAGAACGAGCAAATCTGTATTGATTATTTACCAAAATCCTAAATGAAATCCCCCCATTGATAATCCATCCAGCATCAGGTAATTATTGGCGTTCTCACTACATAAATCCCTCTTTCCTTCCTCCTATGTAAACAAATCAATGGGTTCTTTGAGCTGCACCCTGCAAGGTTCTTCTTAGCCCTCTCCTGTAATTTGGCCCTCCGATATAGACTCAATGCCTCAGTGGATTTGGTTCCCAACTTTCCCTTATTAGGCCACCGACGGCTTGAAGATGTGATGCGTTCCTCCCCCACTTCCTCCAGCCAATGTTTCCACAGCACTCTATTTCCCCTAATCAGCAACGGACAAGGTTTTCCTCTTGACTTCTCTCAGCCCTTGCAACTCTGCTTCAGACATGGTAGTTCCTTGAACTTCCTTTAATCTGAACCACCTCAGAAACAGAGTTGCAAGGGCTGAGAGAAGCCAAGGCTTCAACCTCTCCTCTCTATGACGTTCAAAGAGCCTGTAATTTGATCCTTCATGATTGGTACCTCTGTCCATGGTTGGTTCGTCAACTTATCTGTGAAGAGCTCACATGCTGCCACAGCTCCTTACAGTTTTTATGGTCTGAGCCATGTTTCTTAAGAACCCTAGTTCCTGCTTGAGGGACAATTTTGTTCCAATAGTAAAAAGTAAAAAAAGCATCCCCATATTGGACTGGATAGGCTTGTCCAGAAAGTCTAGAGAAGTATTCATTTATGTTCAGGGTATGCAAGCATACGAGCTAATATCTACCTGATGGACCGTCCTTTTCTCCCCCTTTACCTGCTTGTTAGTATCTCCATTCCATATGTCAGTTTATCCACTGTCATGATAGACTGTTCATCCAGTGGTTGCATCTAAGTCTTTTGAATAAAATCTAATAGATTCAATATAAAATCATAACTGTGGACTGAAAAACTGATCAAATGGTGTAGTAAACTCAAAGTTGAGCTGACCTTCGTTTTAAGTTTCTTCATGGACTAACATTCTCCCAACCTAGAGAATTAAAATTACCAAATAGTGAAAAATCGCCGTATTATGTCCCAAAGTAGATATGATTACAGACACATGTAACAAAGCTCTCAAGAACATTCAGCTTGGCTTATAGTAAACAGCTCCAAAGAACATTCAGCTTGAAATGCAATCCATTACATTATTGCAAGGAAAGATATGACAGTTGTTGAAAGTCAAACATTCCTTTACGTCAAGGCCACTAAAAACCAGCAAGACACAAGATCCAAATAAATAAAAGACACCATATGACTTTTCACCATAATGAACATCCCAATTACCCTAAAGTGTGAAGGAAGAGTCCATGTGATCATAATTAAAATATAAATAAAAAATTAGCCTTTTTGAAGGAATATCAATAAGTAAGAAAGCTGTTTATATGCACCCCATAATGTGGGCGGTAACATTGTCTTCAACTTACAAGAAGTGAAAAACTAAGGCTGGTATTGACAAAATGTGACTAAGTCATGATTATGATCGACCCGTATTCTGATAGAGCAATAGTACGGAAATAAGCCAGGAATATGAGAAGAAGATGCAAAAAAATCATACGGTGAACCTTATCCTACTTCTCCACATAGGATTTGACATTCCCCATCCATCGAACAAATTCTCTCCTGTCCTTGTCCATCATGTACTGGTGCAGGAACACAGCAAGTTCAGCATCCACACTCCTCTCTTCCAAGTACTCTAGCAGAGGACGTTGAAGTTCCTCCTCCAAATTCCTGCTCCACCCATCACATTTGAGAGGCATATCATCGAAATACACAAGCAAGAATGCAATGTGCAAGCACTCACTTGAACCTCGGCCCCATGAAGGGGCATGATATTCTGTGGTCATCCTTGACCGCGCGCACGTGCTGGATCTCCAGAGCATCAGGCCACGCAGAGCAGATGAACTGCAAAACGGCATCGCTCTCGACGCCCTTGCGCACATCGACGACGAGGCTAATGTGTAGCCTCATCGTTTCCCCATCGGATTCTTTGACCTTGGCGTCGACCGTCGTAGGAACTGCGTAATCAAACATCGTGACATCAGCCTTGATCTCCTCCTCCCCATACTTACTCTTCAGCGTGATCCACTGCTCCCCGGGTCGGTCCTCCACCTCGAAGTACTTGAACCACTTGACGGGCTGATTATCATTTATAAGCAAGGCAGTTCCGATCAGAAAAATGCCCCACGGATAAACTCAAAAGGAAAAATATCTTCGCGAGGGGACGTAAGGAGGTCGGAAACGGAAGCATCGGAGGGGGCTTTATCTCTGAGACGGATAGGATTGTCACCTCTTGTGGTGGTCTAACGTCGACCTCATAGTCTATCTCCGTGCGAAGTATTCGCAGGAGATTCTCCTGGAAGGCCGACCAGCGCATCTCAGAGATGTAGCTTCTGGCCGGGGAGAGACTCGGACACGAGGGAGAGAAGGAAGGAAGGGTAGGTGGGGTGGTGACGAAGGAGACCGGCCTTGGAGGAGAGCGGAGAGAAGGGGAGAAGAGGAGGGCCCTCCGAGCGTGTTGCAGGAATCGGACCATGGCCGAAGGCGGCGAGGTCGAACGAAAGAAATGAGGGGGGCTTTCCCCGTTGAGCTTCGAGGGTTTAAGCGAGGAACCTCAAGAAAAGAAACGAGGCACATTTCTGATTAACCCCTAATTATTATTATTATTATATTTATATCCTGTGAAGGCAAGAAAATGGAAACTGTCAGGTTATCTTTAAAATTGAAAATAAAATTTCTTTCTAAAATTGTCACGGTATCTGATAAAAAAATATTTTAATGATTTATATAATAGATGTCACAACGCTGAAGAATTTTTCTGTTAAAAACCCCTTAAAAGATAGTCTTGGGATTTGGGTCTGATAAATTTTTATATCTCTTTTGTGACAACGGATTGTTTCGTTTTTGTTGATCCACCCTTCCTCCAAGGGCATCTTTACGCTTTTCCTCCATAAAAAAAAGATGAAAATGAAAAGGCGAAATCCTTTTTCGTATTATCATTCGATCGACAACAGTAGCATATTGCATTAAAACATTGATAGTAAAAAAAATATTCGTATAAATTTCCTTTTTCTCCTAAAAAAACCTGATATATCCAAAAGCCCTTGTATTTAAAATTATTTCACAAGAGGTGGAAAATTAATTTTAAGAGAAGAATCTTTCGGTTCCATTAAACCGGATACGGACCCGATTAAACGGGCTTTATCGGACATGGCGGTTGTTCGGCCGGCATCCTGCGGCTGTTGGTCATGTTGCAGCATTGCGTGGCCGTCGGCGGCCATCCTCCGCGCGCCGCCGCCCCCGCCGCCGCTTCGACTTCTCCGATCCCCCTCTCCGGCGGCCTCATCCGTCTGCATCCCTGCTTCCTCCACTGCTGCTTCGAGGTCCGACGGTCGCTCCACCATGTCGCGCCACGTTCGAGTCGCCGTAGTTGGAGACGTGGTACGTGACACTCATAACCTCCGTCGTTCTCTCGCCGATGGGTCATTGGTACTGTAAGAATATGTCGTGATTCGTGGAGTTTCCAGGCTGATTGTTATTTGATGAGAAATGAAGCCGTTGTGCCTCAATTGAGGAGTATGGAGATTTATTCTGTTAATTTTTTATGTCGATAGCAAAGACATGTGATGAATCGTCTGTAGACAGGGTTCTGACGGCTGAGGGGGGGGGAGCGCCGGTGATTCTATGAATCCCTCGGGAGGTAGGGACTGCGATGGGGTGTAGTTGGTATTATGATCTCGTTCCGACGACCTGATTTCTCTGTCGGATTGCCTGGTCACGGTGTTCTCGCCTGCCAACGGTTTCAAGAAAGCCTCGATCTGGTCCCATGGTCTGAGAACTTGAAATTTTGTTGCATCCTGGTGGAATCGCATCCCATTGGCCCGGAAACCGCTCATATTTAAATTCCGAACGTCTTCGAAGGGAAGAATTTTCATATTTCTAGTATTTCTCTCTGGCTTCTCATTTTCTCATAAATCAGACTTTAATACGTATGGAAATGCTTGTTCATTAATGCCAAAGACTATTTGTTTTTATAAAACTAATTCACTTCCCTACTCAGATTTATGTAGGATCATCAGCTCCGCTGACTTCTTTCCAACTTTTAATATATAGTCAGTGCACAATTGCCAATAAACCAGCTTTCTTGGTAGCTGGGAACAAGCCCCACTTCTTGCTGGTTTCGAAGATTAAGATCCATCCATCATATAACAATCGCGGTTGAGTTCATGGTTCCTGCTCATTTAATGTATTTGGATGATTATTCTGTGTGGGCATCTTTATTGTGCTTGATATAAATTATTGTTCATTGGATATTTTCTTCGGTACTAACTGAACTTTTTTATGATGAAGCATGACAATTGGGACTTGGAAGAAGACGCAAAAGCTCTCCACTTTTTGGGGGTATGTCTTCAAAAAACAATCTCCAACAAATACCAAAGGGATTTTTTTTTGTAAAAGTCAAATCAATGATCGAAAAGATCTTCAGAAGATCTCTTTCATACATATGGAAAACCAATGCAGCACAGTTACGCATGTAACCCACAATTATTTCTATATTATTTCACTAATACTATTTTTGATATTGAGATTTTATCTTGAGACTCTGTGGAAATACTTATCCACCGCACCCTCCTATCTTCAGATGCTCTGGAAATGTTTATCTATCATAATTTATATTATCATTTGGTATTAATATTTTATCTTCAGATTATTTGTAAATATTCATTTTAACTATAATAAATTATATTTTCTTTCTTGATATTACGATTTAATCCTCTGAGTTATTGGAAATACTTATCTTCTCTGCCATAAATTTTATTTGCTTGTCTTAGTCCTTTCATTGTTGTTTCTAATTCTCATATTATACCAGCCATCATGACTTAGAAAACTTTCTTCCATGACGTTGCAGGCTGATTTGGTACTGTTCACAGGCACGTGTCTCTCCCACTAGATGCCCTTACAGCAACTTTCCCTTCGATTTGAATACACGTTCCATTTCTCAGGTGACTTCGGGAACGAGAACGTTGATCTTGTCAAAAGTGTTGCCAAACTCAATCTCCCCAAGGCAGCCATATTAGGGAATCACGACTCCTGGCACACGTCCCAGTTTTCGAAGAAGTAAGTCGTCTTCGTATTTCTTTCTCTGGAGATCCTTATCAGCGAAAGTTAAGACCTTTTTATATAATTTATTTCGATAAATCATGGAGACGAAATTTCATTCGTATAATTTGGTGGATAGAAATGTATTTCATTCGTATAGAAAGTAAGTCGTCTTCATATAACTTCATTCGTCTTTGAATGTATTTATGCTTGCATAAATTGGTGGATAGAAATGTCTTTTTTCCCAGTGAAATATCTCACGAAATAAATCTGACTTGAGATGTGTAAGTGGGCCCACTCATTAGCCATGGCCGTGTTGAATGAGAAGAACAATGCTGATGGGAAACTAAGCAGTGCGTAGGTCATTAATGATTGGAAGCATTGAAGCTTCACTAATCGCCCTGCGTTGACTTCCAGGAAAACAGACGGCGTCCAACTTCAGCTGGAATGGTAAGGTTTCATTCTCTCAAGACACCAATTTCTTCGCCATTTTACAGCCTCCTCTTCGTCACCATTAAAATACACGCATTTTGGGTCAACCGTATTCTGATTGATGGTGTTTGTTGGTGCACATTTTTGTTTGATTTATGGGAAATTTTAATGTCAAAAAGTATTTGCATTCATTATTATTTTGTGATAATAATTTTTATAGGTCACTTTTTTTCTTCTTCTTTTTTTTGTATGCCAACCATGCATCACTAAGCTGTAAGAATTTCAGTTTATAATTCTTAAAAATATTATATGGCTGACTAAATTTGGGTTTTGGGCATCAGTCTTGGAGAACAGCATGTTGGCTACCGCCGTCTAGATTTCCCATTGCTGAACCTCAGTGTTGTTGGTGGCCGCCCATTTTCCTGCGGCGGGAAGAAACTATTTCGGGAAAAGCTTCTGTCTGAGAGGTTAGTCATTTACAGTGAATTATGGTGGGAAAAATCAATCTTAATTCACCTTTCTATTTTTAATTATAATATTTGAATGTTCCAAGCATCACATGGCCCAATGGAAATCACTCCGGAGCAATTTCTGGTTGAGAATTTTTTATTTAATTCATTCTTTCTTTTAAAAACCTAATTCTCTGATCTTTAATCGATCATGACTTGTAGCACGTAGAAACCTAGACAAGTAGGAAGATTCACGGTGGATAATAAAGAAAATAAAATTTATTATATTATTTAAAAAATAGATGGGTGGACCAAGTAAATAATTTTCGATGTAAAGCTTGAATCAATGTTAATGAGGAGGACCTGAGGCTGTTTTTATGCTGCAATCATCCACAGGATACTAGCTTGAAGTGGGATGAGCATCAAATAAACATCATTCATGATGCTTTCAAGAAAGGGAGGGTGGATCTTATTTTTTTATTATCAAATATTTCAACTTTTCTTTTCTTGAAGCAATTCATGAAAGTAGAACCCTACAAACAGAGAGCATAATAATAGCTTGAAGTGTGATGAACATCAAATAAATGTCATCGATGTGGCTTCCAAGGAGGAGGGAATTCTTTTCTCTCTACAAAATAATTTCATTTTTTATTGTTTGGAATCCGCTCTTGAACGTATTCCTGAAGTGGGATCGTTGACTTTTAGGTACGGAGTCAAGGACATGGAATCGAGCGCGAGGAAAATCTTTGAAGCAGCTGTTGGGGCACCAGCAGGCCATACCCTCATACTTCTTGCCCACAATGGCCCGACAGGTTCTCCCAAATCGAACCCAAGTCTTCCCCCCTCATTCACACGAGTCAAATACCTAAGTCAACCCCTCTGTTACCTCCTTCCTATGCTTCTAGAACAGGGCTAGGTGACCGTGCAGACGACATCTGCGGCAGGGACTGGGTCCCCGGGGGCGGCGACCATGGCGACCCAGGTGCTCCCTCCCTCAATTTCCATTGCCTCAGAATTATGATCCACCGTTGACCTCAAGCTGCCCCGCAGATCTAGCAATGGCAATCGATGACCTGAAGAGGGGGGCCCCCCGGCCCATCCCATTGGTCGTCTTCGGCCACATGCACAAGGAGCTGGCCCGTGGCGGCGGCCTCAGGAAGATGATCGCCGTAGGAGAAGGCGGAACGGTCTATCTGAATGGAGCTGTCGTTCCGAGAGTGAGGCCAGCTGGGGAAGATCAGAAGGAGCTCCGAGGGTTCACAGTGGTTGAGGCTGTGGACGGGCGGCTGAGGAAGATCTCAGAAACTTGGGTCCTCGTTTGTGGCGAGGAGGCCATGATTGCAGAAGAAACTGTGATATTTGAGGGGCTCTGAAGCGGATTAATTCTCCAGCTTATTTGGAAGGATGATTACTTGGGCTCCTCAAGAGGAGTAGATCGATGTAATTAATTTCCTTTGACTTATTTCTTCAGTTGACTTCAGATCGACGGCACTTAATGGTGCTGGTGGGATGAAAATATGGTTTTAATTTGACAGAAAAAACTTATGAATTGTAGACGGTTGTGATATGGTACTTATTTATTCATCTCTTGAGTTGACTTTAATATATAAAATAATGTGAAATAAACCATACTAGATGGTATTTATTTGACAGAATAATCTACAAAGGATGATCATTATCTGTGGAAATATTTGGTGGTGGCAGTAAAGTGCAGCTTGATTAATCTCTCTAGCTTAGTTTAGCACAAAAATAATCTGAAAGCAGGCGATCCTCAACGATGATGGCCGGATCAGTTTTTTCTCTGAAGAACTCAAGAGAGAGAAACTAGACATGGCATTGACTTGGAGATGCTAGTTGTAAAAACATTTATTCACGTTGACCTTCTTTGGAACCGAACACCTGAACAATCTGAACATAAACATCTCAGCCCAGATGCCCAGTTTCTGAGCAGATTCATAACAGGCATGTGGAGAGAGAGAGAGAGGGAGAGACTAGGCGGTGGCCGGCCAGCCGAGCTGCCGGGCGCGGAGCTCCCAGGCGGCGGTGGCCTTCTTCTCGAGCTTGAGGGCCTGCTCAGCGCGCTCTCTGGCCTCCTCGCAGGCCTCTGTGGCGGCGTTGCACTTATCAGCCTCCCTCTGATACTGAGAGCTCTGCCTTCGAGCCTCTGAGATGGTGAAGTTCATGTGGTGGCGGTTCTCCTCATCCACCACCGCCTGAAGCTTCAGCTCCTCCTTCAGAAGCTCCCCCGTCCGCTTCTCCATCTCCCTTCCGAGCTCCGGGTCGTCCCTCCCGCAGTCTGCCAATTGGCCGTTCGTTCAGAAAGTCAAGCCAAGGTCAGCGTTTTCCACAATGGCGGCGGAAGAACAAAGGGGGTTGACGAGGCCTAACCTGGAATCGAGAGGTTGACTAGTCCTGCAATGTCAACACAGGAAAAGAAGGAGAACGATCAGCAATATAGGATTTAGCCCAATTGGGCATTGATTAAGAAGAATTAAAGAAACCACTCCTTTTCGGGCAGATTTGACCAACCCGAGGCTTTGATCGACGCTAGAAAGTCAAAATGGAAGACCCTCATGGCTAGAAGATTGACTTTACAAGGAAATCATAGATCACGCTGTTTGAGTCGTGCCCCAATCCAAGATACCATCTTTCCAAATCGACCCTACTTCCAAATTTACATGGAGATGGATAGAGCATCGAATCTCTCCGGGTTGAGGCAAATCCCTGTTTTTTGGTCAACGGTCACAATCCTAACCTAGATTTGGTTGTAATCACAGGAGGGGAAAAGAAAAGTCTCAATGGGCCAAGAAAACTAGGGAAAAGGGTGATGTTTCAGAGCTCGAAGCCAAATGTGAATCTCTCTGGATCTCAGAGGAAATTGGGACGAACGAGGAGCAGCTGGGTGAGTGGGCTACTCAGAGATCTACCCCCCTTCTCCTTCCCCTGTGCCAGGAGCAAGGAAGGTCAACGCTTGAGGCGTTTGAGATGGAGATCTATTCAATCCAGCGCTCTCAGAAGCTTCACAGGAAAACCAGTTCAACTCCCCCACTGTAACTCAGATGGGTCTCTCCAATTCTCCTCATGAACACGCAGCAGATGCGCAATCCACTGGGTTACGAGCATCAGAGAGAGAGAGAGAGAGAGAGAGAGAGAGAGAGAGAGAGACGGAGGGGGAGAGAGGGAGAGATAGAGGGGGGTTGCTCACCGGGGGCGATCTTCTGGAGAGAGAGACTGGAGGGGCAGTCGCAGACGCAGGTCGGGCAGGAGGAGGAGGAAGAGGAAGAATATGAAGAAGGAGAGGGCGGTTTCGCCCCAAATCCGTTCTTGAATTTCCAGTAGAAGGCAGGTCCAGAGACGAAGAGGGCCGATGCGATGGCGAAGATCACCAGGCAGCACTTTGCCCAGTCCCCCGCCCCCCTCGCCCCATTCGTCATCCCTCTTCACCGCCGCCGGCGAAGATCTGGTTTCCCCCAGATACACTGAGAGAGAGAGAGAAAGAGAGAGAGAGAGAGAGAGAGCTCGTGTAGGAGGAGCCACTTCCCCGGAGAGAGTCGCTTCGGTGCCGGGAGGAGGGGGGGCGGCTAGGGAGAAATTCCCACGTGGGGAAGAGGCTTGGAGAATCCTCTTTGCGGCGGCGCCGACACTGAAACTGGGTTGATAGATCCACACCTCTTGGTCCCCTCGACGGTCAACGGTCCTCGGATCCCAGACCCACACTCTCTTTTCTCTCAGATGGATCAAATCCAGTGGCTACAATTAATCTTCATTATGTTCTTAAGGAAAATGGGAAATATTTAAATAATGAACAATTTTATCCCCATTTAATCGAGAAAAACATGGGTTACCCAAGGTCAACGTAAGGTCAACTCTCCAGGATGACGCTCAAGAGGGTCATCTAGTCGTAATTTTTTATCAGAATATTCTGCATTGACTTTTTTTCATCCGAGTTGAATCGATTACTTACGACATATTCACCTCTTTTTCTCTCCAACTTAAGCATAAGAAAATTTACGAGACCAAGAGCTATAATTTTCTGCCCATCACCTTTCAGAACAAAGTCAAACTTGCATTCCCTCTCAGAGGACAGATTTAGGAAGATCTCTTCCTACCTTGCTATTTTTGATCTCAGAAATTTAAACCGGTTACCGTAAAATAATTCGTTATTAATTTCACTCAGGTCTGTACATTTTCAAAAACGGTTCAATATTATTAGAGAGGGTTTTCCAAAAAACAAAAAAACAAAAAAATCGTCGACCAGGGTTGACTTCGTTCTTTTGTTCTGAAAAATTGTGTCCCACTTGGGGAAACCAGAAGTCAACTTTCTAGAGAGAGATTTCTTCCTAACTTGCCATTTTGTGCTCTCACCAAAATTGAATAGGTGGCTGCAAAATAATTCGGTATTAATTTCACTCCAAGTCTGTATATTTTCAAAAATGGGCCAATATTAAAAAAAGAGGTTTTTCAAAAAAACCAAAAAACAAAAATCGTGGACCCGGATTGTGTTCATTCTTTTGTTCTGAAATAATTCTCTACCCCGCTTGTGAGAAACCCGGAAGTCCACTCTCTCTCGTTTGTGAAAGAATGGCTGCGCCGCCTCTGTCGTTGACATTTGACTTACTGGGTCTTTCAACAGCTGCATGGGCGAACACGTCAGCAAGTCCATGGAGGGGGAATTATAATCTAAAAAAAGTCACATTCTAATCATAATCTAATTGACAAGTAGAATTAAGTCTAAAAGATCTCTCATCATGCGTTTGTCAAAACCCAAGTCCATGAATCTAACCCACACTCTGAGCACATGCTGTAGAAAGTTCACCACGGCCTTTTGGTCTTTAGGGCACTTTAGGAAAGTAATAGGAAGTTCTGCTTCCTCCAAGAATCTATAAATAGAAAAGGGAATGTACAGAGATCCAATGGATTTCTCTAGTCCACATGATTTGATTGAGATTGATACTTGCCCAACCCTCCTCACTGTCTCAGTGATCTGTCATTCTACGTCACAAGAAAGCATAGCCTATTCACATTTGACTTCTCACTGCCTTTGCAGTATCCAATGGTTTCCCCAAATGATGTAGCACTTATGGGCGAATATGATTTCGAATAAAAAATCAGCGGTTTTCAGCTCAACATGCCTAATTTGATTTCGGGTTTCTGAGCTTTCTAAAATAAAATGCTTTGTTGCCCTTTCAATGATCATAAGAATCAGTCTAAAATGCATTCATGTCAATTTCTGTTAGCTATAAATCATACCAAACGTGCCCAGTTAAGATGTGTTTATTTAATCTAGTGAATCGAAGAGAGTAGGCGACCTGCGTCAGAAGTCAGAATCCGTGAGATGGGAAAAAAATGGGGGATTTGCGTCAAAAGACAAGAGCCAGGGGAAGCAGAAACCTGTGCGATGCCACAACCAGCTGCTCATGGGATTCCGATCGCCTACTCGGAGCTAGGAAGATAAGGAGAGAAGCGGAATCTGTCCAATGGGGCTGGTGAACCCTGATTAGGGCATTGCTCAATCCATCGTCGCCCGGAAATATCGAAAGAATCCACAACAACAAAAAACGTAGTAGGAACGAACGATGAATGCCCGAGTTGATGGAAATCGAGCGCTAGTGGATCGGATCAGGTAAAGCGAGGGAGTAGCATAGAAGAAAGTAACGAAGAAGAAGAATGGCTACTGTTGGGGGACAGCTCGCGCTGCCCCATTCCAGAAAGATCACGCGCAGATTCATATGCGAGGAGAAGTAGGAAAACAATTCGAAATCAAGGATTGCCGAGAAAACCGAGAGAAAAACTGAAGAATCGCGACTGTCACTGCGGCGGCGGAGAGCGGGGGAGAGAAACGGAGGCTCAGATTCGCCTTTTCTCAGACACGTAGCTTCACCACAACCACACCCCAACAGCGACAACTGGTTGCCCAACCTCTAGGGTTCAGGCCATCCACGTCGCCCCCCTCAGGAGAATAGCAATGGAAATCATCTACTAATCCCTCCATCTCAAGAGAGAGGGAGGAAAGCAGCAGAGAGACTAAACCAGTCTGCCACGGCAACGCACAGACGACCACGGTCGATGCGTTGGTTCTTCCGTCCATCACCGCCTCTTGCTCTCCCGAAAGAGAGATTGACAGATACATAGAGAGAGAGAGAGATAGAGAGCGGGACCGATCGCTTAGGCGCCGATGCAGAAGAAGCAGACGAAGGAGACCGTCTCAAGTGATCATCGGCGGCGAGGGGGTTGCCGTTTCCGGCCGTCCCTCCCTCGCCGGCCTCATACTTAGACTAATGAGTGTCTTCCGAGAGGTAGAAGAAGAACCATTTTATACGGTGATCGGGGGATAAATTTCTAGGGTTTCAAAGAATAATTTCTCTCTAATTAAATAATTTATTTAATCTGCTTTTTAAGTGTAAAGAAAAAAAAATTGATAAATTAATTATCAAATGACATTTTTCTAAATTTTATTTTTCTCCCTAAATTAATTGCAGAAGGGAAAATATACAATAGAAATCCCCATTCCTTTTGCACAATTGTAATTTTTCAAAACCAAATATCATCATTTTAATATAATATAATCATTTTATTGAAGAACTTTTCCACATTTCAGTCATTAATAAGTGATAAATTGGTCGAACCATATTTTTTTAATACATTAAATTCATAAAAACTAGTGATTTAAATAATTTTGATCCCTTAATAGCTACAAAAAAACCTAAAAATGTAACATTGTCATTCCACTTTCCCAAATTAAATTCTGAAAAATGACAAAAAAAATTAAAATCTAGCATCTCCCCCATGAAATAAAGCTATCCATTTAGGAGTTTTTTTTCTTTATATCACTACAGGATAATAAAATGATAAAAAAAGTAAAGCTATCTATTGTCATGATCTTGGTGCCATAATCTACCAAGAAGAGAAAATAACACAAAATATTAAGATTTTTTTTTTAATTACATTTTTCAAAATAACGACAATTTTGTAGCTACCCCCTCCATTTTAAAATAATAATATTTCTTCAGACAGTACAAAAAATTCCATCTGCATACACCTGATATTAGCCAGAACTAGTAATTAATATGATGTTCGTCTTGAAATTAATCTCAATAGAAGAATATGCATAAATTACTTGCAATGAAATTAGGCATAGTCAAAATTTTCCAATTGACTTCAAAACCAAAAAAAAATAGAGATATTAGTAAACACATAGAGAGAAGTTAAGGGGTAGTGAGGGAGAGAGAAACAGAAGGTCAACACCAAAGGGACAGATGGTCCTTTTCAGCAAGTATAAAGATAAGAAGAAGTACACAGAATCGATCAGATTTACTCTTTCTGTACATAATTCAGTGGCATACAACGATAGTAAAGCAAGAAGCAAATAAAGATATCAGCTATGAACAGGATTCTCGTCAGCTGGATGGAGGCTGCCAACACTCATCTGATCAGTCTCCAATGCGATGTATCTACAGCCACACGATTGGGAAAATTGAATGGATAAATTTGCACAGAATTTGTAGGGTTTTTCATTCCAATGCCAAAGGAATGACGCAATTCCCCACAGAAATCTGTCATTCCCTTTATAAGAATAGAAGCATGAGGAAGCATAAATACGGATAAGCAGGCAGTCACTCCTATTCAGAAATAGGGTTCATTTCAATATAAGCACCTCATAGCAGCCAAACCTATAAATTCTTCAAGTCTCTTCATAGAAATTTCATCATTTAACATTGCTGAAAGCCTAAATCCATCACCTGTGAGAGGTGGGTCAAAATGACCCTGGGTCAAAGCTTACTCCCATGAATTCTTCAGGATCAGTCATGGTTGAGGTAATAGAACTCGTCTCTGTCAGAACCCACAAGAAAACCTTCTTGTAATGTTCATGGAAGACCCCCCAATAGATCAACGGAACTATGGGCAACATGGAAACAGAGCATACTGTTACTGGATTCAACCATTTGCAGGGAATTAGATGAGCATGCACACATTTTCCAAACAACAGCACAGCTAAAAATCCAAAGATCAGCTGTGCCACGAATAGAAAAAAAGCAATCCATTTGAGTTATTGGGGGTTGGACCCTCCTGCCCCTTCATCTCGATGGAAGTATCATGCCATAATATGCAGAACAACGAATGGCGGAGAAGAGATTCAGTTTATCAGAAAATAAATAGGGAAAAAGGGTAAATGTGCTTTGTGAGCTACGATTAAAAAGGTGTAGGAAGAAGCAGATCAAATCAATGAAGTCGAAGCCAAATAATTCCTCCGGAATGTTCTCAAGTGAGAAGTGCTGATGAAGGATTTTTCAACCCCACCACCACATATAATTAGATATCGAAGAGGTGAGGAAACCAAAAGTACCAAGCAGCCCACGTTTTCTGAGAAAAGTTATGCATGCTCAAGAAGAAGGAAGTCAGAGAAGGTCATACCCACGCGTACCAAACAAGCATTTTTTTTTTTATTGTTACTTATTGATTGCTCTTTCTAATGAGTGTTGATTCCATTTTCAACAGCAAGACCGTACAATACACCGGTGTATCTCTCGGTTGACCCGTTGAAGAACAACTCCTTCATCTTCCTGAATGCAGCGGCTGTGAGCAAGCTGTCTGAGCCCGCCTGGTGACAGATGCCAACCCTCTCCACCTCCAACAGCTCAGCAAGCTTGTTCAACCCTCCGTGGAGGCTGTTGCAGAACTTCATCAGGTGCTTTATGTCATACAGAGTGGGGAAGTATAGGTTGATCAGCTCAAAGAATCCAGCCTGGGTCTCTGGCAAATTATGGCATGTGAGCAATTTGAGGAGGTATCCGAAATCATAGCCGCTGTGGAATGTGACCCAGTGGACAGCATCGTTGAGGACAACACCCGACGACATGAGCAGCTCCCCGAATCGCTGGGCATCGACCCCTTTCTCGATATTCTTCTTGAAGTCGATACCCGACTGGCGGAGCAGCTCGATGGAGTCGTTGGCGAAGACGTCATCCTGAGGGTTGAACTCGCGGAAATTGAACTGCCAGATGCACTGGAGGCCGGTGTCAAAGGTGGGCAGGTTGCCGTGCTCGTCGGAGAATGTGAGGCCCAGCTGGATCAACTTGAGGAGATCGACATTGGACTTGAGCGTCTGGTAGTTATATTCCGCGTTCGTCTTGAAGCTACCGACGGGGCGGAGGACGATCCCGGGGAACTCCGTGTCCATGGCGACATACGGATACTCGTCCACGATCTGGCGAATCAAGGCGAATTCCTCCTCCAGGTTGTCGCTCCACACTTCCCTGATCTGGATCGTATCGCCGCTCTTGGGCACGGCCGACATATCTGCTTCCTCTTTGACCTCTCCGCCGATGGGCCGCGAAAGATCATCCGCAACCGGAACGAGACCAATGAGAGGGACCGACAGCGGCGAAACCTGCGCAGGGACCTGAAACATGAGCCAAAACGATCGGGAGGTCCGCCATTAGAGCGACGGATCGGGTAATCTGAGGCGGCGACATACCTTACTGCTCTGAAGTATCCCAGGAATCAAAAACAACCGGCGCTGGGCACGGAAGCCCTAGAGGGGAAACGAGGGGGAGCGAGATGGTGGGATCTTCTACCTCAAACCAGAGAAACACCACGAGGAACGGAGATTGGAGAGGAAGGAAAGGGAGGGGGGAGGGGAACGGCGCTAAGAACAGGGCTCCCGCCCTTCCCACATATCAGCCACCTCCATCTTCTGGCGAAGAAGAAAGGGGGACATGGAAGAGAGAGGAGGGCGAGAAAATCTGAGCGGCGAGAGGAGAGGAGAGGAGCGGAGAGAGAGGCGGATAGCGAGAGAGAGAGAGAAGAGAGAGAGAGAGAGAGAGAGAGAGGATGGAGACGAGGGTTTCTGATAAAAGGCACCGCGGAACGGGCTAGAGTTAAATATCCTGAACACGTGGCGATTTATTAATGGCTAACCGAGGTGCATAACGCACGGGGCGATTCCCAGGGGAGCTGCACCGCGGTGGGCGCGGCTTGCCAACGCTTAAGCGATCGACTTTTCTCTGGCGGCACAGCGGACAGGGGCTGACGGGCGGTCCATCTCGGAGATGGCGATGATAAAGGACTTGCGGTCCGCTGTGGTTCCCGATTCCGCCCTCTCTCTCTCTCTCCTCCTTTTTCTTTAAATATTTTTTATAGCTTCTATGTCATTAAAAATTAATAATAGTTGAATGCCTTCCATCCACTCCTCAACTCCAACAGTGGCCGGCTGCGGACTAATTAATTTATGAATTTAATACGAAAGTAACTCATTAATTGAGTGAAATAATGAGTCTTTTATGGGACCCCATTTAGGAAATCCATGCAGCAGAAATTACGCTTAAATGTGTCGTCGTGGTAAATGAAAAAAATGTTTGAAGTACGGGGAAAGAGGAGGAGGCAAGAAAGGACTTTGGCTGGGCGGGGAGAACTGACCTCGAGACGATCTTGACAGGAGCGAGGTCGCTGTGAGAAGGTGAACAGCCCTGTTTTGATCGGTGGTCGACGGGGCCGGAGACGACGATGCATCTGCCATGGTTGGGAGAATGGATCAAATGGGGGTCGTCGGCGCCGGAGGAGGGGAGAGAATATGATGTCTGAGCCTTGGGCCCGCTGATACGGCCAACTCTGAAACGACAGAGGCTGAGGGTTGTAGGAATCTAGATGCAGGAAGAGGGCACCAAGCGGGCTCCATTGAGCACCGGGGTGACGTACCTCCTCGTCGTCTTCTACCTTCCACCGTCGAGATGGCGACGAACGAAGCAAGTGAAGAGCATGTAGGAGCATCCTCCTGTCTCCAAGGTTAGTTGGTCTGTTATGGGCATCTCCCGGTCTCCTCAAAATGGTAGGCTCTTGGAAACAGTGGAGTGGACCGAGGGCGCGCAGAGATTGCCGGACGGAGACAAATCCGGCGGTAAGTTTGCCCGCCGCAGGATTCTTCTGGTTGTGTCTAGCATGCTCTGCTGTACCAGCTGATTTACCGCTCGCCTCTCCTCGCACATCCCCGGTTCCTCTTCCACTGTCGTCTCTGGTGGCCCTCCCTCCGCCCGAGTGCCCGTCAATGGCGCGGCGACGGCCGGAGCTCCGGGAAATCCTTCGGAGATCTGTTCCTCTCCCTCTGCTCTCAGGCATTCCAGTATCCCTGCCGCTCGCTTCTGCGCCAGGGCTGTTCCGACCAATGTGAGCTCGAGGAGAGAGGACACGATTCCGGCCTCGATCATCCCCGTCCTGTCGCTGTATGACTTGTGAACCATCACCATTAGCACGTAGGCCGCCTCCTCCTGACACCTCGGCGAATCTGACCAGTTGAGAACATCAACCAGGATGTGGAAGGCCTCCGGTGTGCGGATCACTGCTGTCCGTCCCTCGACGGTAGAGACCACGCTGGAAAGCACGGGCAACACCTTCTCTGAGACGCTCATGTCACCGATGGCCGCGAGGAGATCGGGGACCAGGCCTGCGTCGACAAGGCAGGGGACGTTCTCGGGAGCAATGGCGAGGTTGAAGAGCGCTCGGATGGCGTCCAGCCTTGCCTGTGCATGGAGGGGATCGACGACGCGGAATGTCTCGACCAGGAATGGCACAGCGCCGGAGGAGCCGATGAGGTGTTTGTTGGCGTCTAGGGCGCTGAGGGCCAAGAAGTTGGCGACGACAGCCTCTGATACGGACCAGGGGACGGATCCCCTGCCAATTATCTTCACCATCTTGTGCACGGCCCCCACTGCGACGATGGCGGATTTGTTTCTGAAAATGTGAGGAAATCCAATCAGCCACAGGCGCGGAGGAAGAGGACGACAAAACACAGAAGAGATCCAAAACTTGAGCGAGGTGGATGTACGCGTTGTTCCCGATCCCGAGGTTGAGAAGAGCATAGAGCGAGGCCACCTGCAGTCCGACCTCGTCGGAATCTAGCATTTCCACGAGAGGAGGAATGGCCCCAAGCATCGCCAGAGTCTCGCGCGCCGCCGCGTCGTCCTTCGCCAGCCTCCTCAACTCCATCGCCGCCTCCTTCCTCAGAGCATCCCTCTCACTAATCCCCGCTCCTTCGTATGAATGCAATCTCCTCACCACTCCCTGGAGCTCCGCGAGCGCCTCCGTCCTCCTCCTCGTTTCCTCCTCCGTCGCGCACATCTCGTCCAACTCCAAATCCGACATCTCCGATTCCAGCACCTCCCACAGCCGCTCGAATCTCATCTCCATCTTCGACTCCGTCGGCAACGGAGGCGCAGGTCCGACGTCCCCCCGCCACTTCCCCTTCCCCCTCTTCCCCCTCCCACATGACCTGTAGACGCCGCCGCACATTAGAACGCCGATCAGTTTCCTCCCGAGCGCCGCCGCCGAGAAGAGAGTCCCGCCGCCGCCGCCAGCAGATTTCCCGCTGAGCTCGACGACCGATCTGCCGGAATTCTCGTCGAATTTCCCCATTCACCTCTCAAGGCCTCCGCCGGCGACGTAGGGGACAGCGGCAGAGACAGATCAGAGCAGCAGAGTTCTTGTGGATGAACTCCATCTAGTTATGGGCGCGACTCCGGAGGCGACCACGACCGCTCCTACCGGTGAAATTAAATAAGCTCTTCAATTGCTAATAATTCTCTCACTTTTTGGAAATTACCTTCATGGCCATATACAAATATTAACGGTAAATTCCAACGACATGTTCAATGGCCGCCACTGAATGGCAACTTCGTTATTATGTGAGTATGGGATGACTGAATCGTCTTCACACAGGAAACCCTTGTAGTCTGTGGCATTAACTCGGAGCGTGGGGCAGGTGACGTCATCTGGCGTGGGAAAATTATAAAAATTTCGGGGCCACCGGATCATCAGCAGTAGGCCAATCTCTGCCGTCCACTGTATACAATCCTGATATTACAATCATGTCCCTCCTCGACTCGGGCTTCGAGGGGGACGAGCATTCATCAGTAAAATGGTCGCGAAACAATGCATTCCCTAGTTGTCAGACGAAATTATGTGTATGCACATTTGGGAAGTCGTGGAAGATGGACCGGACGCCACGTGGCAATAAGGATACACCCGAGATGGATGGAGTGTGACAGAGAGAGTACGAGGTTATAAATAAATTGAAAATATAAATTTACAGCGAAATCAAAAATCTGAGTTTAGTGCCGCCAAACGTCGCGTTGGGCACGGTTTGCGTACGCACGGGTTACTTTAGTCTTGATGTGCCACGCGTTCAATGTGACACGTTGCCACGTAAAAGCGCCAGATCTTTGGAGGGTTACTTTCGTAAATAAAGAATGAGGCGGACTTGGGCAAATGGGGAGGTGGATTGAATAGAGGGGGTGGAATCCGGACAGCTGGGCTATGTTTTACTACTGGAGAGGGGAGGGGAAAAAAATAGGGGAATTACATTTTTCTGTTTCGAGGAGAGGGGGGGAAGGGAGGGAGGGAGTCGAGGGAAGAACAGAAGATCGAGCCCTAGTCGATCCGAGGTTTGTTGCCTTCGTCAGCCTGATCTTCACTCGTTTCCGGCTTCGCGGAGCACGGATTCGCCCCTCCCCCCCAGGGCTGTTCTGGAGTGTGCTTAACTAGGGTTTCCATGCCGTGGATCGCCGTGCGGGGTTGAAGGTCTTGGGGGGGGGATCTCGCGCTGCGAGAGATGGCGGATGCGGAGAAGGAGCTGGAGGAGGTTCTCCTGGGAGTAGGAAACAGGATCCTTACTCCGCCCTCTGCCGTGGACGATCTCCTCCCGCTCCTTGATGTGAGTGGGTTCTGTTGTTCTCTGTCCATTTCCCCTCATTGTCTACGGCGTGTCTGGTTTTCCGCATCCTTGCCTGTATGTGAGCATTGGGCGTGGTTCTTTGAGACTGTAGTTTCCCTCTTCGATGATGGTATTTCTACTTGCATTATCCGTTTTTATTATGCAATTATCGGTTGTTTTGTTTGCAAGAACGACTTCCTATGAATGAACGATTGCGTTTTGTGGGTCTTGTTAATTTGAAAGTTGAATATTTTTATCCTTTTTGGAGTTGTCACAGTTTTTGAATTTTGAATGGCTTATCAACGTTGAAAAATGCCATATCAGTGCACGCATTGCCACTATTTCGTTATCTAGATCATTAATTTGCGTCTTCAGCGGATCGTCTGGGAGTTATATAGGCCATCCGGTGAAAGTTCATACTGTCTATTGTCCATGTGTTGAAGATGATCCAGTTAAAATCAACCTTTAAACAGATCAATTCTCATTCCTTCTGGACTTTGATGCCAACTTTAAACAGATTAAAGTTTCGATTGGAATGGTAATGGCAGTGCAAATCTTATTGTGTTACATGACGAGCGGGTTGTGTAACTCAAAGGGCTTGAAGATTCAATGGTTTGAAAAACTGCTATTGCGGTTGGGGATTTCCCACAAGCCAGTGTAAAACACGAAAAAGACCGAGAAATTGCCACTTGAAATAATTGTAAATTCTGACGGGGAAAGGCTACTGGAAAATACTGGTGCTAATGTATGATGGCGTCATGATGCGCTTCAATTTTTTCCAAAACCTATGAGTTGTTACGGACTGGGTGAATTGTGTCAGAATGAGTGACATTTCGGTGATTATCTGCGACTTTGTGGAACTCTATCAGACATTGAAGCTGTATCTCAAACGAAAAATCGATCCTTCTCTTGTGGGACAAATGTGGCTACTTCCTTTTGAATCTGGCGGCTGTTTGCCAACTCGCCAATTGATTATTGGACATTGTCTCATCACTGAAAAGGGGCCATTGGATGCCCACCTCTGGGTTCCAGAGATAGTAGGAAGACCCGTATTCATTAGCGCCTGTTTGGGCAGACATAGTTCTGCTGCCTTATAAATCAAGAATTTCTGTGTCTTTGGTTCCACTTAGGAGGAGATATCGAGGCTGGTTAGGCATGTTTGGAAAAGACTTTCTTGTTCATCCCATGATACTTGGAAGTCGCAATTTTTTTGTCTGAATCGACGTGATTTTGGTCAATTCTGGAGGGGTTACTCGATCTTGTGGCTCACTGACACTGATGTTTCTCAGATCAATCAGTTTAAACAATACTACTCAAGGATATGGAAGCGTGAGACACCAGAAAAGGAAAGAATGAGGACAGGAAGAAGAAGAAAAGGAAGAAAAGCTCACCGGTGGTACTGTCAATGGTTGGTTGTGGGGTGACGAAACAAACAGTTCATAGTCATAATTATTCATCTCTATACAAGTTTAAGGTTTAGGTTCTCATACTCTCCTTCCATTAAGATAATCGCGTACACTTTATAAATAAGACATGTAACCTAATTTGCTTTTTATTTCGTGAATTTTTTTTATCCTGTTCTAGTTTGACTATGATCCTGGTTGATCTGATCACCCGATGTGATTTTTCGGGTATTATAGTCCATCTTGCCACTTCATATCTTTCTTGATTGGAAGGCTGTGATTTTATGCTGTGGTATCAGGATTATTTGATCTCGAATCGAAGGTAAAGGCAGTATGTGTCTTTGGAAAACTGGCGGGGTTGGATTTTGTAGCCTCGTGTGAGATCAATTCGATTACTCACTAAATGAGCCTGTGTTGACTTGTAAAGTGTAAAGCTGGATGTTGGAAGAAAACCATCCCCGGGTCAATTGTCACCTTCACTTGTGAAAGGTTTTCGAACTGCTAGTGCAGGATGAAATCAGTGCAGATTTCACTGGTATTGTCTTCGTGTTTCTTAATGACCCTAAGAGAGGCGCGCTCTTTAATTCTCTTATCCTGCATAGCCTAGTATAAGTTCTTAATGGCATGCTTCGCTGGGAAAATGCCTGAAGAATGTATCATTTAACTTTTCATTATGCCACCAGCTATGTACACAATCTGAATTCTCACCTGAACCTTGTAAACTGCTTTTATAGCTCCGGATCATATATGTGAAATAGGATGGGTTGCATTATAGCTGCGTTGTTTGATTCTCGTACTGGTTCAACTTAACTGACAATAGTTTTTTATTAGTCATCCATGCAAAAAGGCTCACCCTCTCTTATTTGTTCACTATTTTGCAAGAATTTATTAGTCATTTATTAGTTATTTTGTGTTTGATAAGTGCTAACTGGCTATTGCTTTCTGTCAATGATTTCCATTTGAAAGCAAGCTGAGACTTTACTGTCGAGAGTGGAGCAATCACCTTCCCAGTCAATGTCTGCTGCACTCAATCCTTCAATGAAGGGATTGACTGCCAAGGAACTTTTGGGACATCCAGATGCTGATGTGAAAGTCTCTGTTGCATCTTGCATCAGCGAAATTACTAGAATAACGGCACCTGAGGCTCCATATGATGACGAATTAATGAAGGTTTGAAGATATTTGTTTCGTTACCAGTGCTAGCTCTCATTTTTTTCTGTTGGTATTGTTTATTATCTCATCTTTATATTTTTATTTACTTGAATTTATTCAGGATATATTTAGGATAATTGTTGAAGCTTTCGAAAAGCTGGACGATATGGACAGTCGTTCTTACTCCAAGAGGGTTTCAATTTTAGAAACAGTTGCAAAGGTTAGGTCGTGTGTTGTGATGCTGGATCTTGAGTGCGATGCTCTGATTCTCGAGATGTTTGGTCACTTTCTGAAGACAATAAGGCAAGTGACCTTGTCATTGTTATTTTTATGCTTCTACCGTATCATTTAGGATCCTTTTTTATTCTAACTTCGTAGAAGAGTTTGATGTTGCTGAAATTTTCACTACACCATATATCCTTTCGTTCTTTTTAAAATTCAAGATCCCTCTGTTGATAATTCAGTCTGTCTGTTGGTCTCACTGTATCTTGGAATGTAGGAATGACAAGCTTTCGTTTGATGGTATTAATACATTTTGACAAGCTTTCGTTTGATGTATTGCAGTCATATCCTAGATATTTTTGGAGCTCAGACTGTCTTTCATTGTGGTTGAATAAAAAACTAGTGAGGAAAAAGTAGTAAAAAGTTTGGTGCATGTAAACAATGAGAGCTTGTGTCCTCTGAGGAATATCAAGTCTGGCTGTGATTCTTTAGTTCAGTTCGTCATGTTGGTGCCATTTCTTAGCCATGATTTGGATGCAATCGTCAACTTTGTGATTTACTCTATTTTTGCAACGAAGCAAGGATTTTAGGGGGAACTTGAGTACTCTGTGCAAGCTCGAACTGTGTCTTAACTCGTCTGTTAAATATTTTTAAAAATCCTGTTTCCATTGTGGCTTCTCTTGGTAACCATTGTTTTGGCTTTTCCTTTGTAGTTTATATTCATTTTCATTTGTTACTGCTTATTGACAACCTGGGTAATGTACAGGGATAACCATCCTGAGAATGTATTTTCTTCAATGGAGATGATAATGACTGTTGTAGTCGAGGAAAGTGAAGACATCTCATCAGATCTTTTGTCGTGCCTATTGGTAAATGTGAAGGACAATAAGGTGGCTTTTCGCCTGAGCTTCCCTTGTCACGTTTTGCCTTGAGTCTTTTGCTGTATTCTTATCTAAGATGTTCTTGTTTTCAGGATGTTTCACAGATTGCGCGGAGATTAGTGGAAAAAGTGATAGGAAACTGTGCTTCGAAGTTAAAGCCCTGCTTAATGGAAGCTGTTCGATCTCTTGGTACTCCATTAGAGGGTTACAGTGAAATCGTTGTCTCACTATGCCAAGAGAATTCTGATGTGGTGGGGCCTCATGATCTGAGTATCTCTGGCAAATGTTTGGTGAGTGACCATTTACTCATGTTTTAACTGAATGATTTGATTATGCGGCATATGTCGAGTACTTGACATTTTCATTGTTATCCAATTCATTGAAGGAAGCATAGATTTATATGCTCTTTACACGTTCTACTTATCTAGAGGTTCAATCTTGACGTCTCTTTCTTTAATAAATTACATTTAGGTGAAAGCCTTGTTGTTTCAATTTTTAACGGCTGAATTTTCCAGAAGCTTTCAATGGTTTGCATTTTTTTCAAGAGTTTGATGGTTATAGGAATTGATATAATAAAATTAAAATCTTCAATTTGTCTGCCGGACTTCCTGCTCTCGTGTGAAAATTATCTAATTTCTTTTTAGGCCTCTAATTTAAACTCAAAGAAAGTTGGAAACTCGGATATTTTTAATATCTTTGTTGGGATAAATATGTTTTGTGGTTTTCTCGACTCGGAGACTTCCAAGTGTTTTTAGGGTGACCAAGATGTGAATCCTCCGCATCCCTCCACAGTTAGGTGGCATTTTTCATAATAGCTATTATATATATATACATGTATTAGTCGTAAATTTGATATAGAATAGCGAAGAAATTAGATGATGTGCACGTGCAGAAAATGTTGAGACTAATATATATATATATATATATATCGTGAAATCTTGTAATAATTTGGATAAGTTGTTATTTATTAATTGAAGATCAGGACATCAGCGAATGGAAGGACAGCAGTGTTTTTTGAAATCCTATCAAGTTGTTCATTGTGTTTTTTTTCAATGTCAATCAATCGACTTGTCTTTCTCCAGCATTAATGTTTGTTTGAATCCACACCTCCCCAAATGAAAAATTCTTTTATGATTATGAAGTCTTCCCCGGGATGAAGTTCTTACTAATGGTGCAATCACTGTGCTCAGGCAGATGATAGCATGTTATCTGAGAGGACCATCTCTGATGAGCGTCCCAAGGTAGTTGGTCTTCCTAGTTGACTTTTCTTTCACAGAATCGTTGAGGGGGTTACCTCTGAATAGGTCAATGCTTATCAGGGTTCTGGAAAGCGAGAGCCTGAAGTCAATCACCCAAAGTCCTCTGCAAGCAGCGGCGCCGAACAACAGATTGTGAAGGATGATTCTTCAGCCCGGCCGTCTCCGATGGACAAGAAGGTTGAGAACTCGGGACGAGCATCGAGTTCTGGGGTAGACGTTGCCTTGGATCAGAGTGCCAAGAAAGCTAGAGGAAAATCATCGGAGACCACAGGCACTTCCCAAGGTGGTGTTAAGGGCAGAGAGGCCGGGGGATCAAAGTCCGCTAGCTCTAATGGCGACAGAGCTGAAGCTACTTCACGGGGGGCTCACGGCAGAAGGTCTGAGCTCGAGGACGCTTCTGAAAAATCCGCCGTTGGTGATTCATCCGCTCTCATCGATGACAAGTCTCCCGACGCGGCTCGGCCCAGGAGGGGACGGCCTCCTGGTTCTAAGAGCTTAAAGAACAAGGTGAAGACAAGTGCGGCGGCGTCTGTTCCGCAGTCTGGCCCTCAGCCGAGCTCGGCCAAGAGTATCAGATCCAAGAAGCAGATCGAGGGGCCTAAAAGGGAATCAGAGGCAGATTTGACTGGTGAATCAGAAGGGAAGCAGCGTCTGGGTAGAGTCGGCAGGAAGCGGGCGGCGGACAAGCCCGGCGAGGGTGAGATCTCGGAAAGACGACGTGGATCCAAAACCAAGCAGCAGAGGGACTCGAAGGTATCATTCCTATTCCGGCATGCATCCTTCTTCACGCAGTCAAATTAATGAATACTTTTCTTTCTTTCTCCTCTTTGTTATCTTTAGGGCGAGGATTCCGAAGCTGGGGCAGAAACTCCGAAAGCAGGTTCTCGAAAGAAGCAGCAGCGCATTCGGGAAAACGAGGTGCGCGTGTGTGTGGAGTTTCCATCGCCAGATCGTCATCTGAAAGTGAAGCTTGCTGTGCGCGATCCATCGCTCCTTTGCTCTGCCCAGATCTTCTTATGGATATTCTTTGTTGATGCTACTCAGGAAGAAGAACAGCAGGGATACGACGGCGCCATTGTTGGGGCCAAGATCAAGGTCTGGTGGCCCGACGACAGAAAGTAAGGACTCCCCTTCCGAAAATATATCTTTGTTCCGATTAATCAATACATAAATTAATTAATTAAGGGTTCAGAAATATTTTTTTACTCCCCCATCCAAAAAAAAAAAAAAAGGAAAAATAAAAGAAGAACTCGGACCCTCTTCTGATGTCGTCGCGATTCCTTCCCTCCAGGTTCTACCGTGGCGTCATCGACTCGTACGATCCAGCTTCAATGAAGCACAAGGTACTTTTCCTTTATTTTTATTTTTTTTGGGGTCCTCCAAAATAGATATCTCCTCCAATGGAAAAAAAAAGCCTTTTCAGATTTATTTTTATTTTCTGTTTCCCCGGCGTGGGTAGTCTCTGGCTGGGGCATCACTCTTTTTGGTCCCCATGAATTCAGAAATCAGTTGATTTATATTATTTTTTATTTTTTTATTGGAATTTGAAATTAAAATTGTTTTTATTTTTTGGGCTGGGGGTCCTGACGGCTGCTGGATCATCGGCAGGTTTTGTATGTCGACGGCGACGAGGAGGACTTGCTTCTCAAGAACGAGGTCTTTAGGTTCCTCAAAGACGGCGGGCCCGCCAAGGTGAGCTCTCTCTCTCTCTCTCTCTCTCTCTCTCTCTCGCTCTCCGTCTCTCTCTCTCTCTTATCTATCTACTGTATCTGATGTGGCCGTCTGCTGGAACACTCTGAAACAGGACGATTCGACTCCTGTGGCCACTGCTGGGAGGTATGCGCCTTGTGGACCAGACTGGATCCCCTTTTCGTTGCCTGATTATTATTATTATTTGGTTTCTCTCTCTCTCTCTCTCTCTCTCTCTCTCTCTCTCTCTTTCGCTGAGATCACTTCTTTCGATCAAACCCAGGTCGAGGAAGAAGGCGGGGAAGCTCCCAGACGCGCCGTCGTCTTCTTCTCCCCGAAAGTCAAAGGCAGAGGGGATCGTCTCCTCCAATGGGTGAGTGACCTCCACCCCACCGCCTCTCCAGCTTACCAGACGGACCCTTCTGACCGGCAGCGGCTCTCCATCCTCTCCTCTTCTTCTTCCAGTGGAGATTCCTCATCGGGGAGGAAGAAGATAGTCGGAAGGGGAGGCGGCGGCAGGTCAAACGGGCACGGCGGGCGGAGGCCGGCGGTCGACGCCAACGGAGAGCCGTCCGGGAAGAAGCAGCGGAGGTCATGACCGACGTGGGCCCACGGGGAGGAAGAGGACCCGGCGGCCGTTGACTTTCCCCCCTCCCGCCCTCCCATCAGATCCCCGCGTAGATGTGGCGTCAAATTTGTGGGTTGAAGAAGGGGGGGGAATGGGTGCGGTCATTTTGTTTGGATGAGGGGGGCGTTAAATTTAGGGGGGGGGGGATCTGCAGGGAAGAGAGGCTCAGGTCAACGGCCGGAGTTCTTGGGCTTTGTAGTTGTCATTGCTCGATCGCTTCCTTTTCCACTAAGTGATTGCTTAGGGAGGGTTTTCTCTGGTCGGCCCTGATCCATGCTGGCGGGTTTTCCCTCCACCTGCTGCCTTCTTTCTTGAAGCAGAGTCAGTGAATTCCGGATTGGATTAGGAGATAGACGGCGACGCGCAGCCCCAATAAAATGGGGAGGTGATTTCAGCCGAGCATGGAGCATTGGATCGTCTGGTTTAAGTAAACTAGCAGTGAGTCAGTCGTCTTCTAAAATCTGAGGGAGTGGTCATGGAATAGCATCTCGAGTGACTCCGGTCTCTCTCTCTCTCTCTCTCTCTCTCTCTAATACTACGTCTACGTCCTGAAAAAGGTGAGTTCCGGCCTGGAACCCTGGGCTGACAGTACGCAGAGTTCGGGTTGACTAGACCCCACCCATTCATTCCCCCGTCCGCGTGGTCGTCATCTCTCTTCTTCATCGCCAAGGACGACGGGGGTTGACTCTCGCTCTCTCTCTCTCTCTCTCTTTATATATATATATGGCACACGGTGAAACGCATAATATAATAATACATTCATATTGGGGGGATAAATATAATTAATATATAAAATATTATTTACTGATACGTAAAACAGACGGGATCCCCGCGGCCGCCGGCCACGGTGGGGGGGAGTAGGAAGAGGAGGAGACGGGAAAAGGGAGGGAATAAAAGAGGGGAAGAGGACAGGATAAAAAGAGACGCGTTGCAGAGGAAAGCGGCAGAGTCGCTTTCCCAGCGGGGAGGGGAGGAGGCTTTTTCTAAAGGCTCCCCAGGTCAGGGCTTGGAAACGGAGGCGGCCTCTTTGGAGGAGGAGGAGGGTTCGGAGCCGGCGGCGGCGGCGGCAGCGGCGGCGGCGGCGACTGTGGAGTGGGCGGTAAGGGCGGAGAGGGCGCTGGGGGAGGGGGCGGGGGGGTGGCAGGTGGCGGCGGAGATGGCGGAGGCGAGGGAGATGGGCATGAGGCAGAGGCCCTTCCCTTGGAGGTACTGCATAGCGGCGCCCATGTCCTCTTCCATCAGTTTCGCCACCTGCTGCTCCGCCGCTGTCATCCCGTCGCTGCCCGCCGCCGCCTGCGCCACCACCGCCGCCAGCTTTATCAGCGCCCATCAAAGTTGCGGAGCAGGAGGGGCGTGGCATCCCTTTTGGCACGCGTGCCTCCTCCTTTGTCCTCTACCCACCCCCCTCCCCCTCTCTCTCGCTACCTCTACTATAATAAGCATTATTAAGGGCCCTCACCCACCGCTGGCTCTAGAGCGGGACGGGGATTCTCTCTGGGAGAAGAAGGGATTAGTAAGTAGTACCTTAGAAGAGACGTCGGCAGGGAAGGGGGCGCTGGAAGCTGCTCCGCCTAGTCTGCTCATGCTCAGCACCTGGATAGAAACCCGGCAGGAGATGGGGTCAAGAGTGATGTGACGCCGAGAAGGGTTCGGCGAGGTTAAATTATTTGCTAGTAAAGGAAAGTGGCGGCGAGTCTGCAAGCAGGGGGGGCAAAGGGAAGGGGGAGGGGAAAGGGGAGGGATGGATTGATTGCCTTGACTTGGAGTTGCAGGAACTTCACGTAATCGATGATCTCGTCCAGCATCGAGGCCTTGTCCGTCTGCCACGCCAATTAACCAGAGATATATCAGTAGGTGCATACGGTGAAATCTAGGAAACTGGTCGATATCAGCATCCCTCCTCACCTTCTATTCCCCCCAACCTCCCCAGTGCTTCTCACTGCCCCTACTCTGTGGTAGACTGAACGATAGGGGGGGGGGGGGGTTGCGGAGATATCATTTATTAAAGAAGAGAAACATTTGAAAAACTGAGAAGGGGGGGATAGGATTCTGTTCTCTCTAGGGTTCATTCGAGTGCAGGTAGGTGACGTTTCGTCCTGTCCGCCTCTTCCCCCCCCCACCGGAGAATCATCGGTTTCCCGAAGGCCAGAAAATATCTATATTTTGATCGTCTATAAAAGGAGAGAGAAGAGAGGGGCTGCGGCAGAAACCTTGTTGGCGTTGGGCACCAGCTCTTGTAGGGCCTTCATTCTCTCTGCTATTCGCTCTCTGCGCAGCTGCATGTGAAGAGCATTCATTACCGGGGTTGAAGGGACAAGATTTCAGAAGAGAAAGAACGCCACCCCCGGGAGAAAAGAACAGAGACGACCGGAAACTTATGCAAACAAAATACTAGCAATACCAAAGGCAGTTGCATTTATGAAGCACTGACTGGAGCCTGGGTTGGAATCTGATAGATATATTAATAAAGTTCAGGTAATAAATGAGGCCATAAGGGTTTGGTCTTCGTTCGTCGGTCTTACCCTCTCGGCAATGCTGTGTGGATCTGTGGCCTGCCCCCTCCTTGCTCTAACCCTCTGCCTGGGAGGAGTCGAGCCAACCCCGGCTGCCTCTGTGGCCGGTTGTTGTCCCACGCCCACCGCAGAAGCGCCGTAGTTCTGAGACGGCAGTACTACGGCCTGTGCAGATGATAATTTATTTTCAAGGAACGCTTTGGTTTCTTTCTCTCTGAATTTCACGCGAAAAGGAGCAAAGACTTCGTCCACCTCTCAGAAGACAACTAATATTTGCAGTTCGAAAAGGAGAGAAAAATCGAGGTGCTGTGGTTTGAAACCTGTTCATAGTTGAAGTGTTGCAGATTACCCCCAGGTAAATGTGACGTCCCTTGAAGAGGTCCGCCGAACCCGTTGTACAGCCCGTCTCCACCCTTGGAAATAAATAAAAGATATGAGAGAATTGGTATAGAAGAAATGGTATGTCGTGCGAGATAGATAGAGAGATAGATATAGATATATATGCATATATATAGAGAGAGGGAGAGAGAGAGAGAGAGAGAGAGAGAGAGAGAGAGAGAGAGGCGTACTGAAGAACCGGGAGGTTTGAAAGGAGGGTCAACGTCATTTCGAGATCCGTCCACAAGAAGCCTAGAATCAGTCGAATCGGCGTTGCCCGGGGATAGAGGTAGCGGGAGCAGTCCCGAGTCGCCTGCCGCAGCCGTGCACCCCATCGCGGAGAGCAACGCTTGCTGCTGAGAGACGTGATTGAGTTGAATCTCGGAGGCACCTCCACTCCCGCTGATCTGGTTCTGGCGCAGCCGAGAGGCGAGAAGCAACGACTCATCGTACAATTGAGGATAATGAATCCCCTCCGCTCCCTCCAACTGGTGGTGCACCGAAGGCTTCCCGGACAGCGCATTGAGGAGCTTCTGGTTCTGGCCGTTGGACGGTGGGACGATATCCCACGGGGACTTAGAGTTCCCGTAGTTCAGGTCCGCCCACGGGAGACTGAACAGGATCTGATCGAAGAAGTCGTCGTGAGAGGACTCCAGAGAGTCATCAAATTGCCCCATACCAGAGTTCTGGATCTGCTGCTGCTGCTTCTCCAGCGGCTTCCCTCTATCCTGAAGATCCTGGAGCGAGATTCGCGACCCCGAGCCGTTCAAGCACGAAGAAACGGAGGAAGCTACACCTTTCATTTCTCCACTTGTCGGCTGCATGGTGCCTCACCGGATCCTCTTCCCAGCTTCGCGATCGCAGCTCCACCGGAAATCCTGAGAACCAGGCGGAGAAGAGCTCCTAGAGAAGCAGACCTCGCCGTGGAAATGAGGAAGAAGACGACTGAACTGACTCTCTCCGCTCTCTCATTTTATAGGGAACCAGGTGAGGAGTAATTAATCACCCCCTATGATTAAGAGATAACTAACCACGGTTTAAGCCGTGGTTAACCTCTCGTCCACTCCGGTGGCCCATCATGTCCGTCAGATCACGCGTGGACCGTCAGATGCCCGCCTCGGAGGCCCATCTCGGCCCAATGATGCCCACTTTGACCCGCCGGTAGAAGACAAGCAGACCTAACTAACAAAGTCAAAAGTGGGCCGGAAAAGGCAGAGTCGTTGGGCTCTACAGAACTCCAGGCCCACGGAATATAAGACGGGATTAGTTGGGGAATCCCCTTCAAAACCTTGGGATTACGGTCATTAATCATAGTCCGAAGAAGGCGCGCATCTCCAGATCGAAACGTTGACTTTTTTCTTCTGTGATCCCACGATCGGCTGAGTGGGCCTAAAAACTCTCACGCCCCTCTGCAGGTGTCCAGATTTTGCGCCACGTGGAGGGAGAGAGACAAAGAGACTTAGCGTGTTGCGGTGGCCTATCTAGGTTTTGGCGGGAGTATGTTAAAGCGGATATAGTGACCGGAGAGAAATGATTCTTATAAATATTATAAGTTAGGAACCCCAATAGCTAGAAAATTCAGATATTTTTGTAGTCATGAATTTTCTTTTTTTTCTTAAGGAATTCAGATATTTTCTAATTTTATAAACTTTAAATTTGCAATATTTTTTATAATTTATAATATCCAAGGCTTCACGACTGATAATATATATAATAAATTATGCAAAATTTAAAATTTTAAAATTAGAAAATATTATTATTTGATTTTTAGATATCTTTCAGCACAAATAAATAAATTATAATTATTACAAATATGTCAAAAATAATGGTAAATTTCTATGCCAGTAAAATGTATGTAAGATAATGTCTCGTAATATTTAATTCTTTTCTCAAATAATAGGATTTTTATAATGTTTACTCTAAATGATGGAGATAAAATATATTTCAAAATTCACAAAAAAGGAAAATTGGAGTGAGGATGTCAAAATGACATCAGCACCTCTGACGAATACAATTCGAGGGAAAATAGAGTTCTATCTTGTAATTCTTACATAAATGATTAATAATGATTTAATTGATCAAATTAAAATTTTTAAAATTCAAAATAATCTGAATTGAATGAAGAAGATTTTAGAGATTTTAAATCACATATAATATCATTAATTTAGAAAAAAAATAAGTTTAAATTAGGAAATATAGAGTTTCAACTTTGCAGTAGGGATTGTCGGAATTATGTATGTTCGAAAGGATTATCAAGTAATGTTTATAGTCTCAAAGGCTTTACTTGGATATGAAAGACATGAGAAATCTCTATATCTTTTTAAGAAGTCTTAAAATTAATAAAATAGGTCGACGAATTATATTTGACAATTGTTACACGACAAAGATAAATTTGATGTAAGTAAGGTGTGTCTTAGTGAGCTTAATACTCAAGTTCGTGCAACAAGAGGAGGCTCTCTATTGCATCTAGTATGCTCTGAAAAAGTGTTGACTCATCTCCTCGCAGATCATCTTTTTCATGCCAACAACTTATTTGTTGATCAATCGGAGATGATTTCTTTGAAGAATATGTGATTTTTGTATTCAAAATATTTAGTCAATTTCTAATGATGATCTATGAAAAGTGTTGACTAAATGTTTGTCAATGATCAAGTGATTTCGACAACTAGATTGTTGATCGGTGTTTTGTAGAAAAATCATAATTCGATTAGATAAAAAAAAAGAAAAGAAAAGGGGCTTTGGAGAGATTCAAACCTTTGCCGATCGCTAGGCTCCATGGAGAAAATGATAATTACCTACATACCCTTAACTAATGATGTCAAGAAGGTATTCTTATTATTATAAACTAGGGGTATTTTAGGTATAATAATAATAATAACTAATAGTAGAAATTAAGATTTAATACTTCATCCCCAAATTTAAAAATGACATTGTCCTCAATGATACAGAAAAGTTGAAACAAAATGTACATAAAATAATTATATTTAAATTAAATATACATATTTGTAAATTTAAGCACTAAAAATATTGTCATAAAGGTTGAATTTCAGAAAGATATCACTTCAACTTCATTTTTGATTTTCCATTTCATCTTACACTCTTATTTATGCACTTTTATTTACAAAAATAAATACAAAAAATACTACAAAATTCTAAAAAAATAGAAGTTATAGAAAAATAATAATTAAATTAATGAAAAGGAATAATTATTGTTGGCTAGAAAAATAAAAAGTGGCAACTTCAATAGCAAGAGCAAAATTATGAATTCCACTATCCATAGGATATCAACTAACATAGGAAACTGAAACCTTTGTTTCATAGGATTCATAAGATCAATATGATTTCAAACAAGTAGATATCCTTACGTACACCTTTGCTTCTGTATTATTACTTAGACCTTGATCTATGTAGGAAGTCAGTTGTGATCTGCATGAGAATGAGAGTGATATGGCAATAGAGTCATAGGCTTAAGCTTCACAATGCTGAGCAAAAAAATTTACTCAGCCTTCATTGATCCATATATTTGAGATCATTTCAAGCATTGTCTTTGTAATTCAAAAAATCTCAATATGGGTTTCCATATTCATCCATTTGTGCTTTGGATAGTCCACTTATCTGCTAGAATCGGCTTATCTACATCTATTTTTCTTCTAATTCACTTGATTAAGTAATGTTTTCTGGTCATTGGGAGATTATGTGATTACCTTTAATCCCAGATCTTTTATATTCTGGGAAATATCTTTAAATCGATATTTTATGTTAATTATTTTAATAGAAATCAGCATATATCGATTTAAATGACGGTTCTCCAATCACATGGAGGCATTTCCCAATTTAGGATTCTCAATTGCCCGAGATCCACATTTCGGATCTGATAACCAGGCATTTTGGGCCTATAGTGGGCCTATCCGAGTTTATTGGGGCTCTACGGGGCCGACCTGATGTATTGGGCCGTAGTAGATCCCATGTCTGGCCCAAGTAGTCTCGTTACGAGGAGAATTTCGGGCTCAAACAGATTGGGCCCCCATATTCTGCTTGTCGGTTGCTCTCTTTTAAGTACCCCGACGGGCCGGGGGAGACGTGGCAAAGATGGCGTCTTCCTCCATCCTGAGAGCAGCGGCGGAGAGAATCGCCCCTTCCGCCCGGCGGCAGGCCCTCACCCTCACGGACGCCGCCGCAGACAGGATCCGCCAACTGCTTGGCCTCCGGCAGCGGAGCTTTCTCAAGCTCGGGGTCAAGGCCCGAGGCTGCAACGGCTTATCCTATACCCTAAACTACGCAGGTTCGTTGGTTTCTCGATTCCCCAGACCTTCTCCTCTTTGATTTCGGGCCTTTGCATTTGGTCATTGTTTTACTCGCGGGATTTAGGAAATATTCTGTCTCAGTTCACGGGAATTGATTCCGCGTGAGATTATTTCTTATTTCCTTAGAGGGAGACTCTAGCAAGGGTTCATCCAAACGTTTCATCTGATTTTTGAATTTTTTGATTGGAATCAGAAAATCATGGGCTAGAAGGTTCCGTGATTTTAGCCCCTTATATTCTTTTGACGTGTTTTTGAATTTCGCAGAATGGATGAATAATTATAAACCGGCCGCATGATTTTTCTCCCTCTTTGTGGGAAAATATATAATTCTGGCATCTCGTGCGTGGGTGAAGAGCCAAAGTGCTCCTTTAAGAAATCATGGGGAATTACAGCTCTAGTTTCAATAAATGAAGGAGTTGAAAATGTGATCAGGCACTTTCCCCATTGGTAAGTCATTGTTGGCAAGTAGACAGGACATAATGTTTCAGAAACGTGAAGAGATCATACATCTAACGATGATTAGAAATATTTTCTAAATGGAGGCATAGAGAGTCATATGGAATTGCTTGATTATGAACGAAGGGTCAAATGCGAATTCATGCGGCCGGTCAGAACTTTCATGAGAACCTAAAAAGTCTGTGTGTGTATATATCTATGCTTGCATGTGTGTGTGTGTGTGTGTGTGTGTGTGTGTGTGTTTGTGATTTCTTGTATTGGTTGAATGGGATCTATCAGCCACTGTTCTCAGATATGTTTAAATCAAAGACCAGAGAGCATTTTTCTTTGCCATATATAGCTCAGCCGGATTTGTGGAGAAAAGATGCTCAAAAAATGTTTTGTTTGTATGCAATTTTTTGCTAGGTTTCATGCTTAAGTGGAATTAATGATGTCAAGATCCTCAGGAATGAATGCTTAGACAGATATTCCCGCAGATCAGCTACTCCCTTGGTTACTCTGTTGAGTTTTCTTCCTAAGCACCTCTAGGAGGGTGTGTAGGTGTTGGGCATTAAGATTTATGCTTCCTTCTTCTCTCATATAATTCATTTTCTCTCACACACAGATTGAATCTCTGACCCACTGTTTACTTTCTAAAGCAGAGAAAACAATGTAATTCTCGTACAATCGACATTTTTCGTTCTTAATGATGGTTTTTTTCCGGCTCCCTTATGTAATCCTCTTCTTTGCACCCCGATCCTTGGTATTTCCAATAACCTATAAACTGGCAATGATCCACACCTGATCTAGCCTTTGATGCTGACCCTTCTTCAGATGAGAAGGGGAAATTCGATGAGCTGGTTGAGGACAAAGGTGTCAAAATACTCATTGATCCCAAGGCTCTCATGCACGTTGTTGGGACCAAAATGGACTTCGTGGACGACACGCTCAGGTAGGTGACCCTACGAGTGAACTAATCAGAATGGATTTTCCCCCGAATGCATAGCTTTCCCACGACGATGTGGGCATCTTCATTTCTGATCGTTGGTCCTTTCATTTTAGGTCCGAGTTCATATTTATCAACCCTAACTCGAAAGGCCAATGCGGCTGTGGAGAGTCATTTATGACGTCAGGCAGTCAACCAATGGCTGCCGGTGACTAGAGGGGTCACCAAAGCGAGCAATGACCAGAGGCTTCTCACTGATTGGCAGACCTGATCTCATTCTTTGTGGGCACTCCAGATCTCCGTGCATATCCCTGGTTCTCGGGAAGAAACAGGTGGAGGAGAGAAACCTTTGAATCACCCACCGCATAGTTCCTTGTGATCTCTAGAGAGAGAGAGAGAGAGAGAGAGGAGCTTGCGATGATGGGTCATTTTCAGGTGTGATTGTCATTTTTTTCTGTGCTAATGCGGGCCTCTGTTTGATAAACATTTTTTAATGTAAATCTTCTCCGATCCTCGTTATGAAGTCATTTGCCCCAAATGGGTTCTTCCCATAATTCGTTCCGTCATTTGCCCCAAATGGGTTCTTCCCATAATTCGTTCCCCAATGATATTCGCAGCAGCCGTTGACATGTTCAACTCTCTTATTGACTTCACCACTTTCCCAGCGCCGTGATAGCTCTTCAGATTCTGATGAATTCACTGCACAGTCTTTCGCTTTTTTGTGTCTTTTTTCCCAAAAAGGAAGCATGCTTTTATGGATTATATATAGAATGTGCTTCGAAGTAATATTTTAAGTAACATAAATCATTGATAAGATGTCTCAATCAACAGTCACACCAAAACATTGCCGGATTTTGAGTGAGAAATAGGTCTAATGGGAACCATCATCTTATGAATGATTGTGAAGAATCATGTCACTGATGCGCAAACATCCAAGGCAGAGTTCCTTTTTTCCCTATATATTTTCGTTGCTGGGATACTCGGCAGTGCCACCAGCTGACCAAGGAGCCGTTGCATAGAACTCCACCAGCTGTCAGCAAATGATGAGGCCACGTATCCAGCTACAGAAATTACAAATCGAATTTTCAGCTGTGTTCTCTTCAACCACAAACTCTCTGCTCTGCAAGAGACATTGACCGATGTAATTATTTTGCCGTCAGGAGCTGCACCTGTCCAAATCAGACCCTATGGTCGGTGATTAATTCTCTGAATTATATGGTTACGATGTCAATTTTTATTTGTGTTTATGCTTTATTTTTAAAAAATACACATTGATATAATTCTCAGAAAAATAAAGATTTATGCATTTACATTGATTTATTTTTATTTATTTTAAAATAGAAAGATAAATGTGATCATTAGTTGAGACTTTTTCTAAATTTTCTGTAGTTTTTAGGATGTTTTCCTGAAATTTTGTGAGTTTTATTATGATACAAATAAAAAAAATAATATGCATTTACACATGAAAATAAAAGGGGGGGGCACTGGTAAGCCAGCACTCGACGGGGGACTGCTCAAGCAAGAGGACCCAAATCGGGGGTGTTACCAGCTGGGCTCAATTGGTTAAGGAACCCACGCAGAGCATGTGTGCGTCACTCTCCTTCCACATCACCGGGGGCCAATAGGGCGTGGGACAAGGAATGGTGTAACAAGGATGTCGGCTGCTCTACACGAGATCCTTGGTGAGCTCTCGAGCTAATACGCTGAGTGCTCAAGTTCTTCAAAATATGGAGGATTTGGACTTCTTCCAAGATGATCTTACATGGGGTCGAGGGTCCTTCTTTAAAGGTCCCTTGGTGGGTCCTCTCTTTAATTCCGATGTGGGATTAAGGTTTGGGTCCTACCCCTTTAGGGTAATTGTCTTCCTCCATTGGCTGATGTCAAGCTCGTGACATCATCCTCCATTGTTGAGCCCTTGTATTGGGTGCCGTGCTCTACGTTGATGCCGTGCCTTGTGCGGGAGCCATGCTGCACATGGGTGCCATGCCACATGCAAGCACTAGGCCTTGTGCCAGTGTCGTGCCGTGTGTGGGCGCCGTGCCACGTGTGGGCATTGTGCCGTGTGCAGGCACCATGCCTTGTGCAGGCGTTGTGCTGCGTGCAGTTGTCATGTCAGTTATTGGTCCCGTGTAACATTCTTCCCCTCTGCTGAAGTCTGGCATCTTCGTTGGATGGTGTTGCTAGTAGGTCTGAATTAGCACCTCAAGCTGTCACAAGTCTACCTCTTTCTCTCATGTGGCAGCCTCCCGAGGTTGTCCTGCCCATTGCACTAGATAAAATGTGTTGTGGTGGACATGGTTGCACCCTCCTTTGTTGATGACTTGGTGATCCAAAATGGCAATGACTACTTAGTATAGTGTGCTTGTACCGTTGGTGGGGGGCGGCAAGGCCAATTGCGGTCTAAGTCGTCCACATTTGTATTGTAAGCTTTTAACAGAGAGACATGAAATACTGGATGGATTGGGAGTCATGGGGGGAGTCATAGATGGTACTCCAGGCGGCCTATGCAGGCGATGATTTAGAATGACCCATCATATCTAGGGACCAATCCGTTATGGCGCTTCAATCTCTGTAGATTCTTGTGGGTAGGATATATGCGCAATAGTACTCAATCCTTGACGTCATATTCAACCTCTCGTCGGTGGCGATCCGCATTTTTCTTCATTTGCTAAGCAGCTCTCGCAAAGGCTTCACGAGCTTCCTCTAGTTGGTCATGACAATTCTTAGTAAACTAGTATGCAGCCAGTAGGTACCCCAGTCCTCATTGTTTCACCAATTATGGAGGCGTCAATGGCTGCCTTCATGTGACCAGTTCAAAGGGGGAGTGTCCAATAGAGACACATTACTGAATGTTATGGGCAAACTACGCCACATCCAAAAGCTCCACCCAATTGTCTTATCTAGAGGTAACATAATGCCTCAAGTAATCTTCCAACATGCCATTGACTCTCTCTATCTGTCCATCGGTATGTGAATGGAATGCTATAGAGAAGCTTAGTTCAGTGCCCAAGAAAGTAAAGAGGGCTGACTAGAATCTTTCAGTGAAGTAGGGATCATGATCTGAAACAATGTCTCGTGGAAGGCCCCATAGTTTGACAATGTGTGTCAAGAATAAGTCAGCCACTTCTTCCACTTTACATTATGAGTGAGTTGGTATGAATATGGCATACTTAGAGAACTTGTCGACCACCACTAGAATGGTGTCCAGGTCCCCCACTCGTCGTAGTCTTGTGATGAAGTCCATTGATAGAGATTCCCATGGTCCTTTTGGGATAGGTAATGGCGCCAATGTTCCGACTAAGTAGCATCGCTCTATCTTATCTTGTTGACATATTAGGCAAGAGCGGACATATGTTTCCACATCTCTCACCATGTTTGGCTAATAAAAATTAGCTGATAAGAGGGCTAGTGTCCTCTGTTGCCCCGGGTATCCAACAAGGGACACATCATGTGTCTCTCAAAGTAGCTGACACTATAGTTGTCCCCCTTGTGGGATGAAGGACCGTCGGTCCTCTGTATAAAGGATACCTTCCTCCATCTAGAATCGACATGTCTCACCAGACTCTATCTATTGAATTAGTTGTTTGACAATAGGGTTCGTATTGTATGCTGCCCAAACCTCCTCTAAAAGATCCCCAATACTTATCGATAATGCTGCCACTTCTGTTGTGGCTTCTTGACGGCTTAATGCATCAGCGACCACATTGGTCTGTCTTAGTTTATATTTGAGTGTGAAGTTGTACTCTATCAAAAGATCTTGCCATCTTGTCTATTTAGGTGATAATTTTTTCTCGGAGTTGAAACAACTTGTTGCCACATTATCAGTGTAGATGGTGAAGTGTTGACCAAGTAAGTAATGCCTCCACACCCGCAAACAGTGGACCACTGTCGTCATCTCCTTTTCATGCACCAAGTACCGTTGCTCTGTGTCATTCAGCTTTCTCCCCTCGAAAGCCACTAGGTGTCCATCCTACATCAGCACCCCTCCGATGGTCATTTTTGAAGCACCGTGTATCTTCAAATGATTTGATAAAGTTGGAAAGCTATAAGATTGGTTCCCACATGATTGTTGATCGAAAGTTGTCAAAGGTTTGCTGACATTTATTCGACCATTCCCATCATTGATTTTTCTTCAAGAGTTGTGTCAATGGGGCTGCTATATGAGAAAAATTCTTGATAAACTTACGATAATAATTAGTCAACCTTAAGAATGATCTTAACTCCACCACTCCTTTTGGTTCAGGTCAATCTTTGATTGCTAACATTTTTTTGTGGTCTATTTGCACTTTCCCACCTCCATTCACATGACTCAAAAATTCTACTTCTGTCATCGCAAATGTATATTTAGAGGATTCAAATATAGTTGATGGCATTTTAATATCTCTAATATTTGACGTAAGTGCAGTAGATGTTCTCTTAAGTTGTCATTGTATACTAAGATATCATCAAGGTAGACCACAACAAACTTATTTATAAATAGATGAAAGATGTGATTCATTAAAGCACAAAATGTGCTTGAGTATTGGTCAGCCCAAACAACATGATTGTGAATTCATATGATCCATAATGTGTGACACATGTCATTTTCTACTCATCCCCCTCTTTGATGTGGACTTGATGATAGCCACTCTTCAAGTTCAATTTTGATAAGACTCTTACTACTCCCAACATGTCGAACAAGTCTTCCACATTAAGGATCGGATACTTGTTCTTGACTGTAATTTTGTTCAAGGCTCTGTAATCTACACAGAGTCTCAACGTTCCATCTTTCTTCTGTTGAAAGAGGACAGGGGCCTCAAATGGTGCATATGAGGACCATATATATCTTGCCTCTAATAGCTCCTCCAATTATTTCCTCAATTCTTCCAAGTGGGCTGGTGGCATTTTGTATAAGGATCTAGCCGGTGGGCGTTCTCTAGGTAACAATTCAATCATATGTTCTATATCTCACCTAGGTGGTAATTTAGTAGGTAATTTATCTAGCATGATGTCTTGAAATTCATTAAGTAAAGATAATACATGTGGATGTCTCACCTTTTGACCTTCTCCCTCAACTTCTTGAAGAGTGACCAAGAACATGTCCGCTTCGTGCCACATTTCATTTTTTAGTTGCATGATTGAGATAGTTTGTGGTCTTGCTCCTTCTTGAGCAGTCCTTTGTACAAAGTAGGAAAATTCCCCTCCACATATCAATATGTCATTGTAGTGGAGGAATATTCTTACTTTTACTATGGTCGTGAAATTAGCCCTAAGAATAACATCAAAATCATCTATTCGTAACACAAGGAAGTCCAATTGGTCTTCGCATGTGCCCATTTGTGTCTTCACATGTTGGGCTAGTTTGATCGAGGTTTGGGCTTCAGAGTTGATAGCCTTGATCTTATTGTTAGTGTGGACCAAACTCAGCCCAAGGTTGTGGGCTTCCTTCTTTGATAGAAAGTTATGAGTGTCCCCTGAGTCTATCAATACTTTTGTCGGAGTGGAGTTGATAATTGCCTCTATAAAGAGTAATTTTCTAAGAGCCTCTTGTATGGCCTTCACTTGTACCACATTTAGAAGCTGAATGATGTTTAGATGTGGTACCTCTTCAATTTCCAGTGATGACTACTCCTATGTCAAGACGAGATTGAGCTGAGCTCTCACCATGCGACGATCATCTCGGTCAAGACAATCTACACTTCGGTGAGGGCCCCCACATATGTGGCATCCTATCCACTTGGGTCCCTCAATTTGTAAAGGGGTCTCATTTTGACCTCGGTTGTGGTTGCCTTGACCCACTCCCACCTGGGCCGGTCCTCCTCATCCCCAATTAGCATTGCGAGCTCGACCCTCTTGAGGTGTGTCATTGTCATTTGATTGTTGGTGTCGATTATCTATCAGTCCATCCGCCACCATCATTGTTCCTCAAATGTCACGGACTCCTTGTCTACAGATTTCATTTTGGGCCCATATCTAGAGTTCTTCTATGAAATAGTGAAGCTTGTCTTCCTCATCCATCCAAAGTACTTCTAGTACCAACATAGAGAATTTTTTCACATATTCTCAGATAGACTTGGCATGTTTGAGTTGCCTCATCACGGTCCAAGTAGCTTGGCCCGAGTTTGACGGGTAGAATTGATCTCAAATTTCCTACATGAATCCCTCTTAGTTAGTGACTAGTGGCCTTGAGAAGTCTTCCATTCAGAGTCTCCACCAAGTCTTTGCATTGCCAGTGAGGGATAAGCTTCTCACAAATACTTTCTTCTTCAGATATAATGTTGGAGTTGACGTACCTTTGGAGATCCCAAATGAAGTTCTTGATTAACATGGTATCTCATTCTCCTGAGTAAGTCTTTGGTTCTAGGGCTTTGACTCAAGTTGAGCTAGGGTTTGCTTCCGAGTTAAGGGACCTCTAGAACTTACTTGTCAGTTCCTCAATCCTTCTGAAAAATTTCTCTCGTAATGTTGATATATCTTCCTTCTGGGATTCATAAGCAGTGGCCATAGCTCTCGTTTGATCATAGATCGGCTATAGCTCCTCATTGAGTTTTGTCGAAAGTGCTTTGATTGCTACCTAATCTTGCTCCTCCCTTAGGCTCAATTGAGTTGCTTCTTCTCATAGGCGACTTAATTCAATCTGCCATTGTTCCATTAGAGTCTCTACATCACGAGTTGTGGTCTCTTGTTGCTTTGTTAATCAAGTAATTCTTTGCCCCTGGGTACCACTCGTACCCAATCTATCCTCCGTTTCCATTATCTATGGTAAATAGAAAAAAAGAGGATGTAGAGAATCCTAACCTTACTTCGTAACTTGGCTTTGATACCACTGTAATAAAGATGTCGGCCGCTCTGCACGAGATCCCTAGTGAGCTCCCGAGCTAATATGCTGAGGGCTCAAGTTCTTCAAAACGTGGAGGATCTAGTCTTCTTCCAAGATGATCTTACATGGGGTCAGGGTTCCTTTTTTAAAGAAGGTCCCCTGGGGGGTCCTCCATTGGCTGATGTCAAGCTCATGATGTCATCCTTCATTGTTGAGCCCTTGTATCGGGTGCTGTGCTCTGCGTCGATGCCGTGCCTTGTGCGGGCACCATGCCGCACATGGGTGTCATGCCGCATGTAGGCACCAGGCCTTGTGCCAGTGTTGTGCTGTGCACGAGCGCCGTGCTGCATGCGGGTGTTGTGCTATGTGCAAGCGCTCGTGCCTTGTGTGGGCATTGTGCTGCACGTTGTTGTCATGTCAATTGTTGGTCCCATGTAACAAATGGTCCTGGCCATTTTTATTCTAGAAGAAGGAAGTCGGCCATAAAGGTAAGCCCAAAGTTATATTCATAAAAACCAGATTGATGTGGGATTAACTTTGATTGATCCACACCGATGGTTCAATGGAGCACTAGTTGGCCGTTGACCTGCTCATTAGAAGAGCAACTCGGGTTCTCGAATCCTAGGTTTTTCCAAGTTAATATATAGGTGGAAGACGGTGGGAAAAGCCCAGAAAACCCTAGAAATGCTAGAAAAATTACAGGAAGCAGGGGGAACATATTGGAAAAATGCCAGGAAAAATCAGAACTAAATGAATGATGATCTGAAAATCGTGATTTCTCTGATTTATTTGAAATTTGAAATGAAGGTCTATTAATTATTAACAAATGATTATATGTGCTAAAAATGCCATTTTTGGCAGGAATTGGAGTAGAAACGAGAGTGAAAAAATGAAGACGGAAAAGAAGGAAAAATGTTTTAAATAAAAACTAAATGGGAGATTTTTGGAGAGAAGGAATAGAAAAGGAAGCTCCTCGATCCTTTGGAGGAGGAAGGGTGATGGGCTGGAGGCCAGGAGGCTAGGAGGCACGGAAGGGCAAGGGAATGAGGCTGTAGAGCAAGGAAGAAGGAGGATCTTGGAATCAAGGGGGCTATGATCATTAGAATTCTTCATGTTTTTAATTTCTATTATTGTCTTATTTCATGTCTTTTATGTTCTTTGGGTGACATACATTGATCAAAGAGACATTAATTTAAGTACTTCTTTCTTCTCATTTTCTTGGGTGACAAATAAGGAAAGGAGAAGACTTTCAATTTTCTTCTTTGTCTTCATCATTATGAATTTAGTTAAAATTCTGATTTTAATCACTTGAAATCTCTTTTCTCATCTTTGGGTGATAGACAAATAAAATAAAATATTTTTATTCCGAGTTATAAGATTTAATATATTTTATATTTTAATTAAGAGCTTTCATAGTTCTATGACACTTTGCTGTGTGACAAACATCAATGTTCAATTTAAATTTTAGAATTTATTTGTGATCAAAATTTTAATTATTTTATTTTATCATTTTTTGACAACCAAGGTATTTTTGCACTCCATTTATTTTTATCTTATTTTATATCTTAATTTTACTTATTTCAAAATATTCTCTATGTCAATAAAAGTCATTTATTGGCAACCACCCCTCTTATCTTTCCATTTTATAATCTTTAATTTATTTTCCTCTATTCATGATTTAATCATCTCATCATTAAAACCTTCTTTTTGATTATCTAGAGCTGATAAGAGAATTAAATGTATGAAATTAATTAGGGAAGGAGGATATTAAGTATTGAAGGGAAGATTATATCATTTCTTTCATCCCATTTCATTTTGTTCTTTTCTTTTTAGTTAGTATTTGTATTAAAAAAATTGAAAATTCATCAAAACTAGTTCTCACCATACTTAAGGATTGACTTGAACTTACACTAATACTATAATTTATTTTGAGAGTTCATTTATAATTTTTTTAAAAATTAAAACCAACAACTAATGCATGATCAAATTCCAAAATGTCAAATAGCTCAAATATTTAATAATAGATTGATGGAAGCTCATAAACATATAGTAGATTCATCTTGTAGATTAACTTTTATGGAGTTAGAGGAAGATGAAGCTCATTAAATTTTAGAAAATTTAAGTTGAAATTCTTTGAATCATAGATCATCCTCTTCTCATGATGACAACATAGGTATTCTTAAGAAAAATGGAATTTATGATGTTGGAACAAGAAATGAGTTGAAATAATAAATGAATGCTCTAAAAAGGAAGCTAGAAAAATTGATGCAGGTTTTATCTCGACAAAACCTTGAAACTCCTAAGCAGCCCATTTATTCTATCTTCTAGTGTTAATTATTTTGAAAATAAATGTCATATAAATAAATCTATAGATCATTTTCTAGATCAATTTTCAGTTGTGCAGGGTCAATCAACATTAAATTAGGATCCTTACTCCAACACTTATAATTCAAGGTGGAGGAATCATCTTAGTTTTTCTTAGAAAAATCAACAAACAACACGACCACTTGTCCCTCAAAATTTAAATCATTAGAGACCATTCACTTATCCTATTTATTAAAAAAAATATTTCCAGAAAAATCTAAACATGTATATGCTGCCCAAGGTAGCTGCACAACCAACTTATCAAAATTCATAATAAAATTCAAGACATCTAACAAGTCTTAGTTATCATGAGTTAGTACTTAATTAATAATATATTTTAAGTCTTAACTCATCATAAATAGATTGATATTTATGTTAAATTAAGAAAAAATATTTTTTAGTTGATTAATGAGATTTTTTAACTAATTATGTGATTTTATATGATTTTTATAATCATGTTTTTGAGATAAAATAAATATAAAATAAAATTAGAAAAAAGAGGGATCCATTGGCCAATTGAGCCTACATACATGTAGGAGGCATAGTCAAAGAGCCACAAGCTGGGGGCTCAAGTGACTAAGGGACTCACATAGAGTACGTGTACATCACTTTCCTTCCACGTCTTGGGGGCTAGCTGGTCATGAGGCAAGGAGTGGTCATACACATGTGTGCATGTGAAGAATGACCATTGGACTGGCCCTCTCTCTAGGTGGTCTTGACCATTTTTATTATGAGAGAGTAAACTGAAACATAAAAAATAGTATTACTATATATATGAGATTAAATTGATGATAATAGTCACAATTAATTAATATAGTACTAAATTTATTTATGAGAAATAAGTGTTATTATGATTGATAAATCTTTATTATCATAAGTTAATAATTAATTAATAAGAAGATGACTACATAGAATAATAAAAAAACATCATTAAGAATAAAAAAAGGTATATTATAAGAAATTAAATTATTTTATCTACTTTGAAAAGTAATTAGTGGGTCATAAATTCAATCTATATGAGAGAAAAAAAATGAATTATTTAAAATAATAAAGAAAAGTAAATCTTAATGCCAAACACCTACACACCCTCAAAGAAGTGGTCAGGAAGAGAACTCGATAAGTTAAAGAAGGGCATAACATTAATTCTTGAAGATCTTGATATCATAAGGTCCTCTTAAGCATGAAATATGAGAAAAAGTTGTAGACAAAAGAGAGATTTTTTAAGCATCTTTACTCCAAAAATCCTGGTGAGCTATTCGTGGCAAAAAAAAGCTCTCCGGTGTTTGATTTAAACATATATGTGAGCAGTGGCTGATAGATCACATTCAACTTACTTTCTAGCGGTGAGTGTAAGCGCTAGAAGTGGATATAGTGTCCGGAGAGAGAGAGAGAGAGAGAGAGAGAGCTTTGGGCTATCTTTCATCTCTACCGCCCATCCGATGATCTCCGTTTTCTACCATTCAGATAATCTCCCACGTGGAGGAAGATAAAAGCACCTCGTCCGCGTGGCGATCCCTGAAAGGGACGAAGCCACACGTGCAACAGCCACAGACTGGGATTGTCGCCTGTCGATCAGACATTTCCTGCTCTTGTAGAAGAGAGAGAGAGAGAGAGAGAGAGAGAGAGAGAGAGAGAGAGAGAGAGAGAGAGAGTAGAAGGAGATGAGCCATCCCGCTCTTGTAGCTCGCAGAGAGAGGACAAAGGAAATGGAGGGAAAGAGATAATGTGTGTGTGTCTGGAAGAGAGAGAGAGAGAGGAGCGCAGGAGAGGGGGGATTTCTTGAAGCGGCGGCAAAACCTTTTCTGTTCCCCGACAAGCGCCATTGCAGGCCAGGGGGGAGCCGAGGATATTCCCATTTTGCCCCTTGATGCTTTCGCTATTCACGTCTTCTTCTTGGTGTTCTGCTCCTTTGGCATCTGCTCTCGGTTTAATGTGGCGGGGCTAGGGATCGTACGCTTGCGATTCGACTGGTTGCCACTGCTGTTCTCTGAAACTGTGATGAATGCTGCATTTCGGGGCGAGTTCTTCCTCATAATTTGATCTTCTAGATGGCCCTGTTCCGCAAATTTTTTTACCGGAAGCCGCCCGACGGGCTTCTGGAAATCTCAGAGAGAGTTTACGGTATGTCTCTGACTAGATCTTGTGTTTTCATCTAGACTGGTCCATATTCATGTAGAATGCGCTTGGCATTGTTGTATCATTCTTTGCATCACGCCATCATGTTTCTCCTGTCATGGTATCCTTCGTATGTTTCCGGTTTCCTCTCTGACAATTTCCTCTGCAGAGTATTTTGCATTTGCACCGTCTGTGTGGGCGTTTCTGAGAATTGGGTACGAACGATTGAAAAACTTTTTTGCACAAGGCATCATGGACCCGAGAGCTTAAGAAACCAGAGGTCAAGAAAACATGAATACTAAATTATTGCGTAGTGATTTAATGTTTAACTGAATTAAAACACCTTACATTATATCCATGGAAGCAGGCGTGGATAAACAGAAGCTATGTAGAGCTCTCTCCCTCTCTCCCCCCCCTCAACATTTATGTGGTATTGCTGGAAAGTTGGAAATGTTCTTGAATGTAAGATGGTTCGGCTTTAGTTTATGCATTAAAAAAATTATCTTAATTGGGGTCTCCAACTAAAAAAAGTAAAATGTGGACGGAAACACTCCTTAATTGAGAGGGAGGGCTACACATAAATCAGCCAAACTGATGAATGCACCAGCCTTCCGAGTATGGCATGTGTTTGGGAAATGTTTTGCTACTTCTTGCATCGGAAGTGAATCTTGAGTTTATATAGGTCATGATATTTAAACGCAAATTGAATTTATTACTTTCCCATGTGTGGTTCAGTGTTTGATTGCTGCTTCTCAACTGATGTCTTGGGCGAGGATGACTACAAAGTCTATATGGGAAGCATTGTTCCTCAGCTTAAGGAGCATTTCCCAGACGCATCTTTCATGGTCTTCAATTTTCGAGAGGGTGAGAAGCAAAGTCAAATGGCCAATATATTGTCTGATTATGATATGACTGTGATGGACTATCCCAAGCACTACGAGGGTTGCCCATTGCTCACAATGGAAATGATCCACCATTTCTTGCGATCTTGTGAGAGCTGGCTTTCTCTTGGTTTGCAGAACATCTTGCTGATGCACTGTGAGCGAGGTGGTTGGCCAGTTCTTGCATTCATGTTAGCAGCACTTTTGATTTACCGGAAGCAGTATACAGGAGAGCAGAAGACTATCGAGATGATTTATAAACAAGCCCCACGTGAACTCTTGCAGTTGTTGTCGCCGCTTAATCCTTTGCCTTCACAGCTGAGGTACCTACAGTATGTTTCCAGGAGGAATGTGGCATCAGAATGGCCTCCACTGGATAGGGCTCTGACGTTGGATTGTGTTATCCTTCGAAATCTGCCAAACTTTGATGGGGAATATGGATGCCGGCCAATATTCCGTATTTATGGTCAAGATCCTTTCATTGGCAGTGACCGGACTCCCAAAGTCTTATTTTCTATGCCGAAGAAGAGCAAAATTGTTCGGCATTACAAACAGGTGAGCCAAAGCTTCTCTTTACCTCGTAGGTCTGCAATTTTTTCGTTTTATTTGTACATTAATTCTATAAATCGAACGAATTCTATTGTCTAGTGAGTGCCTCTGTCAGACTGGATTTTTGTATGCTTCCTCATTACTGCCTAAGTTTTATGTTCTGAAGCATAAATGGATGCTTCTCACATTTGGTTTTGCAGGATGAGGTGTTTAATAATGCTTTACACAGAAGAAACTTGGTGCCCTCACTCATTTGGGAATCCTTGCCCATATAGAGGCAGGATGCCTCTAAAGCACCTTGTTAACGTTTTTTACTTTATATTTTTTGTAGTATGTTTAGATGGAGATGTGTCCTTTTGAAGTTTTATGTAATCCTGTCGAAATTTTTCGATTCACTGTTTGCCTGATAATCTTAGTCTTTCTTTGATCTATTCCTCATAATTTCTTGACTTAGAACTGACGTTCATCTGCTGGAAACAGACAGATTGTGAACTAGTTAAGATCGACATTCACTGCCATATCCAAGGAGATGTTGTACTGGAATGCATCAGCTTGGATGAAGACTTGGAACGTGAAGTGATGATGTTTAGGGTCATGTTTAATGCAGCTTTCATTAGATCGAATATTCTAATGGTCAATCGAGATGAGATTGACATTCTGTGGGATGCCAAGGACAATTTCTCGAAGGACTTCAGGGCAGAGGTATGCATTCCTTTAATTATCAAACTCTCCCTTTCTCCCTATTTGTTGATTCACGTGGTCTATTCTGTTTCTCCTTTTTTGTGTGAAGGTTCTTCTTTCAGACATGGATACTAGTACTTCTTTTATCCCTGTTGAGCTGGCTACTGGTGACATGAAGGAAGGTCTTCCGATTGAGGCATTTTCTAAGGTGCAAGAGATCTTTAGCAATGTTGATTGGCTTGATCAAAAAGGAGATGCTGCACATCAAGTTCTTCAGCAGATAACATCCCTGAACTTCTTAGTAGACAAAGTAGATATTTGCTCTCCCCAGAAAGGGGGAATAACTTTGCTGCAAGAGGCAAGTCTTTCTATACTCAACCAGAGACAGCAGTCTGACGAATCTGATAATGAAACCAGGAAGTCGTCACCTTCCACTCGAAAGCAGCTGCTGCTACCCGCTCTTACCCACCCTACTGATGCAAATCTCACAAAACAGAAAACCCATGCTGCATTGGAGGGTGTAGAAACCATTGACACTGGGCACCCACCTTCTCCGTCTCTCTCACCTGTTGCCTCTTACTTACTCAAGAGTCCCCGAACAAATAACCATTCAGCTCAATCTCCTCCACTTCTTACACCAGCGAACTCTACCTCAAGACCTTTAGTTGTTTCTCCCCTTAATCTTTCAGGACAACCATCAGGTGTGAAGTTCCCTTCTTTATCAGTCTTGACACCCAATATCTCAATTGCTACTTCATCACAAACGTCGTCTCTTGCTCCTTCTCCCTCGTCTCCTTCACTATCACCTCTTTGTCCGCCTCATTCTGCACCAACGTTATCAATCCCTTCCACAGACATCAAACTAAACAAGACACCACCTCCCCCTCCTTCCACTCCTCCAATCGCCCCTTCGTTTTCTTCTCCCCCTCCAACAAAGCTTGACAACACGGTTACCACTGCCCCTTCCCTTCCTCCTCCACCACCACCACTTTCAAGTTCCAAACCTGGATCTATGGCACCACCTCCTCCTCCGCTTCCGAGTTCCAGGCCTGCATCAATGGCACCACCTCCTCCTCCGCCTCCAAGTTCCAGGCCGGCATCAATGGCACCACCTCCTCCTCCACCTCCAAGTTCCAGGCCGGCATCAATGGCACCACCTCCTCCTCCACCTCCAAGTTCCAGGCCGGCATCAATGGCACCACCTCCTCCTCCACCTCCAAGTTCCAGGCCGGCATCAATGGCACCACCTCCTCCTCCACCTCCAAGTTCCAGGCCAGCATCAATGGCACCACCTCCTCCTCCACCTCCAAGTTCCAGGCCGGCATCAATGGCACCACCTCCTCCTCCACCTCCAAGTTCTAGGCCGGCATCAATGGCACCACCTCCTCCTCCACCCCCAAGTTCCAGGACTGCATCAATGGGACCACCTCCTCCTCCACCCCCAAGTTCCAGGCCAGCATCAATGGCACCACCTCCTCCTCCACCTCCAAGTTCCAGGCCGGCATCAATGGCACCACCTCCTCCTCCACCTCCAAGTTCCAGGCCGGCATCAATGGCACCACCTCCTCCTCCACCCCCAAGTTCCAGGACTGCATCAATGGCACCACCTCCTCCTCCACCCCCAAGTTCCAGGACTGCATCAATGGCACCATCTCCACCTCCTCTACCTCATCTTGGAGCACATAATTCTGCTATTTTGTCTTCACAAAAATTATCCCACGTTCCACCTGTGCCACCTCCACCATTACCTTCTGGTGTGCTGGGTAGTCCATCCAATCCCTTAATAAGCAGGGGGAATACTGTACCCCCTGCCCCTACTGAATGCATGGGGTCCCCAACAAGTTCTACATGTATAAAGGGTCGTAGTTTGATGCGCACACCAAATCCAAGGAATGTGCTTTCTCAACAATCATCATCTAAGAAAACTTCTTTAAAGCCGTTGCACTGGATCAAAGTAACGAGAGTGGTGCAGGGAAGTATATGGGCAGAAGCACAGAAGCACGATGAATCATCTAAGTACGCAAAATTGATTTATTTTCTTGGTGGTGTATTCTTGAATTAGTAGCTGAAGAATTTTTATGTGTTATTCACATCTCTTTCACAATAACATTTGTGGTAGGGCTCCTGACTTTGACATGTTCGAACTTGAGAGTCTTTTCTCAGCAGCAGTTCCAGCAGCAGATATTTACAATTCAGCTGAAAAATCGAGGCGTGCATCAATTGGGTCAAAATCTGAGAAAATCCATCTGGTATTTTTCCTTTACTTGAAACTATAATGTGCTATTTAACTAGGATGCTATGTTGATTTTTTAAGTGGAAGCCAGTACATAAAATGGGTTCGAGCTCTCTTAAAAGAATACAGAACATTAGGGGGAATGCAGTATTGGATTAGGAGTTTGTATTGGCAATACTTGATCTCATAAGATCAGAACTGAATTGGCTGCTACTTAAACCCTGTCTAGTGTTGTCCAGACCTGCTTGAATTGGCCATGGATGGGCCTATCTAGGTGTGTTGTGTTAATGCTGGCCAGTTTCAGTCATAATTAGCGCACACACAATTGGACGAGCCTGGTCAAATCAGCCATCCCGATTTGATTTGGGCTTATTTATATTATGACGTATCGGAATCTTGCATACTTTTAAAAGTTGGATCACCTGAACAATCCCAATCTATATCAGCTGCCATGTGGACATGGATGATTGGATAAATGACAGAAGCATATTGCTGATCTTGACCACAAATTATCTATTTTATTGCAAAGCTATGGCCACAGTGCTGTCTTGTGGACGGACTATTAACTTAGGTTTCCTGTGGCATGCTGATTAAGCAACTGTCAGGTTTTTGGGTGCGAAATATCTAATTTATCCTTTTTGATATTTGTCAACAGCATGATTATTGATTCAATGAGGTCCGACATTATGCTTGATTTTGACTTCCTAATGTATTAGATTTTCTGTAGCTTGACTTTGGTGAGCATTGACTAATGTATTTCCTGTTGTGCATTTGTCTCCACTGAAGTAATATGTTTAACGTGGTCACTTGCAGGTTGATCTAAGACGGGCTAATAACTGTGAAATTATGCTAACTAAGGTTAAGATTCCACTGTCTGATTTGATGGTAAGTTAATGAATATTGTATGAATGTTAATTGCTTGGTGCTTGCTATGGCGATCGTGCCAATAGATTGTTACCGTGCTGCTTTTCCTCATCTCTCAGGGATGTTCATTTTTTCCTTGGCCGTTTATGCTTAATTTTTCTTCACCCTAGCGCTTATACTATGATGTCCATGGTTGTTCTGGCCAGAGAACTTCTGGATGTAATTAATCTGTGAAGGGTTTATTTTTCATTTTCAATTTTCTCAAATCTTGTGGTGTTTTGTAGATTTCACTGCTTGCTCTGGACGATTCTGTTTTAGATGTTGACCAGGTAGACAACCTCATAAAGTTTTGCCCAACAAACGAGGAAATCGAGCTGCTAAAGGTAGCTACTCAGATACCATTATGCCTGAGTTTTGATCAAGTAATGGGCGTTTATCACTACTTACATATATTTCTATCGAGCAGGCAAATTTTCGTCACTGATAATGTTCCGAGTTGCTTTTTACTTCATTCCTTTGGATTATTAATTGTGTTTAATTCTATATTTAGGGTTTCAGCGGGGATAAAGAAAACTTGGGGAAATGTGAGCAGGTCAGCAGACATTCGTCTCTTCCTTTCGTTGTTTGGTTTTCTCATTTGATAAGTATCACTTTTTATCTCTTTTATACTTCGATCAATGACGTTCGTGAAAATTCATTAGGGAAAAAGTCGTTCGATTGGCATCAATCTATTGCTTATTTTGTCTTGGATGATTCTTCCTTTGTTAATAATATAATCCCTTTTCTAACCCTTGCTCAGAATGTGCGAATGTCCTGGTATTTTACGATTTTCCTTCAGTGTTGATCCGTCCTTGATTGGATGACTTGGGGAATTGTCTCTTTTTATTTCTTTCTGATTCGTACTGCCCACTGTTTAAATGACAGTTCTTCTTAGAGTTGATGAACGTGCCACGGGTGGAATCGAAGTTGAGAGTTTTCTCTTTTAAGATTCAATTCCGCTCTCAGGTTTGGGGACAGCACATGTGGTTATCTTTGTTAACGCAAGTAATTTTTGTCATTGATCTTATTTAAGATCAATGATAGGATTTAATCTCTTCGTATCCTTTTTGGTTTTAGGTTGCTGATCTTAGCAAGAGTTTGAACACTGTGAATTCTGCATCGAATGAGGCAGGTTCTAGCTACTCATTGCAGGTTCTGCTTATTCAGCAAAGTTAAGATTTCTCACTACTCTGGCATCTGTGTTGTCAGATTAGAAATTCTACCAAGTTGAAGAGAATCATGCAGACAATTCTTTCTTTGGGAAACGCATTAAACCAGGGAACTGCCAGGGGTGAGCTGGATATTGTGTTTACATTGCTCTAATTTTATCGTGTTGGAAGTTATTAAATATGATATTTCAAGCGGCAACATTTTGCTATTATGCGGTTGTTGTGAGCGAGTTTATAGTGATGTAGTGCTGACTAGATAACTGAGCTCAACGCGCACTCCATGTTTAGTACTTTTTATGGAATGAAGCCATGAAGGAAAATATCATTGGTAAGGATGTGGAAATAACAAGCTGAAAGCTGGTTTTCAATCTCGTGCAATTAATGGTAACTGATTGTAATTCGCTAAGTTGTGATGCAGGCAGTAAGTGCTTGAATCTTCTATGCATTCGTGTCCTGTCCCGTTGCAAGCAGGAAGCTTTTGCTATTCGATTTTCTGATAGAAATAATCTGACGGAAACTATATGCTTGCATTAACGGGAGAAAAGAGGGGCATGGCAGCAAATTATATACTCTATCAGTTGGTGTCAAACTTTCTTCCTATGATTGTTGGAGTTATTTATTGAAACACTTTCATCATACTGTTGCTTTTTCCGCTATTTATATTCTTGTTAGCATGCTTTTCCGTGTACTCACTAATGTGGAAGAAATACTCAACAAGTTGCGAACAGAATAACCCCCGCCTTTAGAGAAGAGAATTCTTTTAGCACATCTAACTTTTGCTATTCGCTTTTCCCACAAATCCTACTAGTTTTGCATTCCTTTTTCCTGCTTTATTTTACACATTATATAGTTGCTCTGCTGGATTTGCAGAATCAGCTCAACGAAACTGATAAGAAATCACAATCTGATTTACTTCGTGTAGTTATCTTTTAATCTGCTAGTTTTCACTATTTTCTTCACCCCTCACTTGTTCTCTCTGCTCTTCTTTTTACCGTTGTCCTGTTTTATTGCAACATCATTTTCCTTCATTTGACCATGGTTAATGTAATAAATAAAAACCGGTTATTTTACTAGCTATTGCTATATTATGTTAGCCTTGTTGGGTTCTATTTTCTCTAGTGGGATGTGGGGCTGGCTCAATGAATTTTATCGGACATGTTCAAGACCCTTGGATTGTGAACATGCAACACAACGAATTAAAAGTTTGAACACTTTTTTTCCATTCGTTTCTATTTTTTTATTCATTTTTATCATCTGTGCGCGACGGATGGTTCATGATTCTTAAGAGCATGCACGGGTGGTTGAAGTCCCTTCTCTATATCTCATCTTAAGAGCATGCATGTGCGCGAAAGTCTCTGAAGATCTCCATCTCTTTGTGCTTTTCCATCTTTGTTGCCACATGAAGGGAGGGTGATGTGGCAATTTGTGTTTTAGTGGATGTGATGAGTGTGAGACGAGCGTGATGCAGTGAAAGATGTGGAGATAGCTGGTTTCGGGCTTCATGGGGCATGTTCAGGCGCATATCCCATAAATTGGGTAATGGCGGATGTTCATTGAGATCCCATGGACAAGTGAAATTCAGTTGGAATTAGTTTCGCATTCAAGGCAGAGTCAGCAAACATTGGGGTGAACGTGCGACCTAACTTCTTCCTTTCAGTTCCATCGTCACCCATATTGAATGTTTCCTCGATTGTTCAGGAGTCCTTTCTTGTAATAAACGTCGTGCTTTCTGGTGTGGGTAAGTAGTTTATTTTCTGTGCCTGCCTAGATTATCTGGCTCACTAAATTGCTCCCAGATTCTGATGAATTGTACTGGGCTTCAACTCTTAGTATTCCTCTTCTCTGATCTTTAGTCATGATTAAGCCAGACCACGAGGAGAACAAGATGCAAAACACATTCAAAATGTTGGATGTCAGATAGGAGAAAATGTGCTCAACAACCGACTCAAAAACTGGGAAAAGGAAAGTAGATACTGTGCAACCAAGAGAAGTGAGTGAATGAAAATATATACAGAACATAATAAGTATGCTTTGGTGTCAAAGTCCAGAATCCAGGCTATGAATCGTGGTGAATGTATTTATTTCGAGGTCATGTAGGCATTTGTAAATAACTGTGTGCAAAAAATCTGGTGGTATTTTTTAACACCCTTTAGTCCCATCTGTGGCAACATCACTCCTAAATCCTTGTACTCGCCTTTTTTTTTCCAGCTTCTGAAAAGTTCGGCCTGTCTTTTGTTTTTGCTCAATTCTGTGCAGGTTCTGCTATTGGATTTAGGTTGGATAGCCTTCTTAAGCTCAGTGATACACGTGCTCGTAACAACAAGATGACTCTCATGCATTATCTTTGTAAGGTACAGGTTTTTTTCATATATCCTTTTAAGAGTTTTTAAAGAAATGCGTGAGGTAGGTACAATGCTGATACTGTTTTCAATCGAATAAAAAATAAAACCATCTGTATATGTGTTTTTGTATCTTGAATGCGTTAATGTACGGTTAATATCAAATGAGAATTCTGTCAGGAATTCTGTATCTCGAATTTGTAAATGGATGGTTTTGCATATTATGTTTTTTAGTACGCTTACAACTTTAGTCAGCGATAAAAAAATCTTGGGTGACGGATTTTGTCCTAGTTCATTTAAATATCCATTTTGACCCAGTGAAGCAGATTCTTATTTGTCTAGGTACCGGTGTCCACAGCCTTGGTAAATTCTTCTGGGTCAGAGAACATACTCTAGGATATTTCTACAGTTCTTGATTTCTTTTTGTGTCCAGTGACAATTCAGTTTCATTCATTAATGTTGTTAGAGAGTGGGTACCCTTTCCAACAATTTTGTCTGCATGCTACTCGAAGAGAGAGAAAGAAGATGAAAGTGTCCATAGTTTTTGTTCCTTTTCGTTCAGTATTGGCACAAAAATCGTATCAAGAAACCACTGCCCTTTTGCTTACACAAAGTGATCTCCCATCTTTCTGGGAGCTACCTTCCTTTTCTGTCTTAAAAGATTTTCTTTCCTCCTGACAACGCTGCACAGACGCTATCAGATGGGAGGATGTTCTTCACTGTTTCTGTTCACCAATTTATTCGTGGGTTTCCTTGCAGCTTAGGCCCTCTAGGATTGAGATTTACTCCCAGTGGGAGCATGATAACGTCTAAGCTCGTGCCTTTGGATCACCCATTGTAACTCCTAGATTTGCTTCAGAGTTGTTTTTGATTTCAGCTGTTTCTATTGCATATTTAGCCCAGCACTGGGATTGGTGTTTGCTTTGTGCTCTCCTGCTTCGTGTCTCGATCGATATCTGATTTGATTCTTATTATATGTTCGACCCAAACTCTGGTTGTTGTCACTCTTGCTTATGAATTCATCGGATGACTGCTAGGTGCTTGCCGATAAGCTTCCGGAGCTTCTTGATTTCAATGATGACCTCGTTAGCCTAGAAGCTGCATCAAAGGTGTCTTTCTTCAATCCGCGCGTCTTACTTACTCTTCCCAGATGACATTCCACACAAATTGAACTCTCCCATGGCTTTCCGTAGGTACAATTGAAGACCTTGGCTGAGGAGATGCAAGCAGTCAGCAAAGGGCTGGAGAAGGTTGAGCAGGAGCTGACGGCATCCGAGAATGATGGACCTGTGTCGCGCCTTTTCAGTCAGGTACTCCTGATTTTCCGCTCGTCTTGATAAAATCCTCACTTGAATGAAGTGCCGAATATGGTCAACGGAGTACGACCATTCTTGCTGTGTAGTAAGACTATTTGATGGTCAACGAAGTACTATCATGTTCTTCTTTCTGTGTGGGATCGAAGATCTGGGGTCTTATCACAAGGATCATATTTGGTTAGCCTGAGAGAAAAAATAAAATAAAATCAAAGGATGGATTCACATTTGTGCTCGTCTTCATGATCTACACTTGAATGAAGTGGCGAATATGGTCAACGGAGTACTATCATTCTTGTTGTGCAACAAAACTGTTTTTTCATAATCCAAACGGTATATATATTCATAAGAGAAATTCCTTTTTCTTGCGCAATAATATTTATTTTATTTATTTTCTTGAGGAACTCAGATAAAAAATTGTTTGTGGTGGGACCCTTTTGCTCGGGTTTGCTCCCTGATTGCTTGTCTTTCCATTCATGTTCTCGCAGAATCTGAAGGGGTTTCTCGTCACAGCTGAAGCTGAAGTGAGGACTCTAACTTCTCTCTACTCTGGAGTGGTAAGCCATGGGCCTGCTGGTTTATTTTTCCATGTTAATTAAATATTAAAAAGTAATCAAATAGAAAAATGTGATGCAGGGTAGAAGTGCAGACGCGTTGGCGCTTTATTTTGGAGAAGATCCTGTCCGTTGCCCATTTGAGCAAGGTAATCCTGTCCGTTCACCCATTTGAAGAAATAAGTAAAATATTGTGATTATATATATATATATATGGGACTTATTGGAATATTCCCCCATTTTAAGTAATAAATAAAATATTGTGATGATATATACATATTTACATAGGAGATGGGCCTGTTAAAATAATGCAGTATTTGAAGGAATAATAAAATAAATAAATAAATAAATAAATAAAACCACGTGATTTTTATGCATGGAGCCTAATATACCTCCACAAATATACTCTGGGACATTATTTTTTGTATTTATTTTCTTCTTTTTCATGCCTCTTAATGGTTCCTCACCTGTTGAGCTGCACACTCAAACAGCATGGAGAGACTTGTTTTTATTTTATTTCCCATTTTCTCGTCATTTTTCAAGCTCTCAGGCAGAGGTCGATGACATTGATTGATGTATTTATTTATTATGCCAATTATAAATAAATCTTAATGGAATTTTTATTGATCTCATGCAGTCGTGTCTACGCTCCTTAACTTTGTCAAAATGTTCGGGCGGGCCCACGTAGAGAACTGCAAGCAGCTTGAACTGGAACGGAAGAAGGCCCAGAAGGAGATAGAAGCGGAGAAGATAAAGAAGGTCAACGCCCCGCGAAGAGACCCCAGTCAACCTCTTCGATCCCCGGTCAGAGCTACGGACGCCAAGTAAACGCACCTTTTTTGGAAGATGGCGGAGGAGGAGAAGGCAGAAGCTGCCCTAAAAATAGAAACTCTCCCCCTCACAGATGGCCATCAGATTGCTCCCTCAAGCTTTTTGTACATAGCCTGGGAAGCCCCGGGTTTTTCTGACAAAAAAAATGGTTTTATTTTTTAATTCGTTGTGTATTTTTGTATATATTATTTGGTGAATTCTTGCTATTTTGTATGTATGGTGATGGTGTTGGTTAATCCTTGATGTCATGGTATGAACGTGATTTATGACGTCATTAATCGTCGAATTCCTTGGCGTGTTAGGGCTTTGGAGGATCTCCTGTTATTAGAAGAAGCACCACAGAAAGAGTAGCGCCGGAGTTATTATATAAATAAATAATTAAAAAACCCCGAGGTGAGCTCAGCTCGAAGGTCTCGTCGACGCCCCCCACGCCAACGATGGTCTTGGCGTCAGCTGATAGGACCGTGGCGGGCGTCTCGTAATTGGAGACTTGTACCGCCGTGTGACCGCCGTTGACTGGCGCAGCCTTCCGAGAAACAGCGAATTTTAGTTCACACCCAGTCCAAAGGATCTCCCTTGAAGTGTGTAGGTTTTCAATGGGCAGATGGCGGCGCAAAGTGTGCAGCTGGAATTGGAGTCAACTCTCTCTCTGTCTCTCTATGTCTCTTGCCTCAATCCGCCGGCGGGGTTGTCGTAACCGGATAGATCAGCAAAAGTCAAGTCTTACGGCGGTCAGCGAACGAAGATTGGAACGGGGAAGGGACTATCAGATCATGGCAGGCGTACGCTGACCGTTGACGGACTCCACGGCCTGTCGACAATCACGTTTCTTGACCAAAAGCACCGGTTATTATTATTTTATGGAGCCACCGCCATTTTGAGAGAAAATACGAGGCCATTATTTTTCTGATCCACTTTCATAATTTCAGCGGATCTCGGACATGAAACCAAGTTCTTCATGTAAACCTGACGTGGCAGTCTCGTCTGTGGGCCCCTCCATCTTCCATCTATCCGTTGACCAGGCTAGTTAGTAGGCGCGAATATGCTGCAAATTGGCAGCTAAGTAGACATCAAATCGCGAAGAGGCCGTGGAGGACTACGCAATGAAGGAAAGGGAAGTTTTGATTGTCTCCGTTGAGATCAAGAGGAATGCATACAGTTTGGCCCATCGTGATCATAGTTTGCGTGCATCGACAGTAATGCTCTCTCTCTCTCTCTCTCCTTCTCCCCCGGTTCTCTCTCTCTGTGTTGGAGCGTTGGGACTGCTCCAAGGTCCTTTTCATAGGACCCTATCATCACCTGTAAGGGGAGGAGATGGGGGATAGCAGCCCATTCGGGGGGGGGCGGTGGCGGGGGTTTACAGTAATGGCAAAGGGCGAGGGCCAGCTCGACAATAACCAACCAAACCCTAATCTCCGATCACAATCCCAGAATCCTTCCGGAAATGGCGGTTGCCAGAGCGGACGTGAAGCTTGGGTCCCTGGACAAGGAGGAGGCCATGTGCTGCACCAGGTCATGGAATTGCACCGAACCCGTCTCCCTCATGAGGGCCCCTCCCTTATGAGCCATCGCCGGGGAGGTCAGATCGAGGGTGACGGTTCCCCCGGAGGAGCCGACGGAGGGCGAGCAAGGGGCGGCGCCGCCGCCGGGTCTCGAGACGACCGCCGCTTCGGCCTGGGATGGGTGCGGGTGGCTGTGGACACCCTCATACGTCGCCACCAGGATGGATCGATCTTCCACGCTTCTCTGCACCTGAGATTGCGACGATTCAGGCTCAGTTTCTGAGTATCCCACAGACTCAACCTATAATTACGAGTTAAGATCGATGGACGATGAACATGATATTCTAACGCGTCCACTCCAATGAATCGAGCGTGTTCATACATCTAATCTAATCGGGTGTTCCGAACTCGGTTTGATTCATAGATCTAGTGATCGGCGAAAGCGAGGATGCAGTACCTTCTTCTTGACCGGGCACGCCGGAGCGAAGGAGCATCGGAAGTAGGCCCGAGGGGAGGGGTTGTCCCTGGTGACCTTCTGCCCGTACTTCCGCCATTGATACCCGTCCTTCACCACCTGTAATCCACCGAGCAGGAGCCAGATTAGGTCGACTTCCAAGGGTCTTCTCTCCTCGTCTCTCCATGGCTTCTGGGTGAGAGAGAGAGAGAGAGAGAGAGGGAGAGGGCGCTTACGAGGCTGGTGTCGGTGGGGCTCGTGCGGACATAGGACTTGGAGATCTTGACTTTGACCTCCTCCTGCCTCGGTTTCTTGCAGGCGTCGTCCTCCCCGGAGGTGCTCTCGACGCAGTTGAGGCCGTGGGGGTCAAGGGCGGCATCGTCGGTGCTGACCGTCTCGAGGCTGTCGGCTTTTCTCTTGCGGGAAGGGGAGGAGGCGGCCTTATCCGACGATGAGGTGGCCTTCATCTCCGCCACCTGCCGCTCCAAGGCGCCGTATTGCTCGTAGACGGCGGCGAGGGTCTCCGTCAACCTTCTGTTCTCCTCGCTGAGCCGGGTCAGCTCCCCTTTCAGGACTCCCGCCTGAGAGAATCAAACCCACGTCAAAATCTGCGTCTCCAGAAATAGTGATATGAGTTTCATCGTAGGGGCTGATGCTTCCGCCTACCTCTTCCTCCCTCGTGGCGGCGCCGCCTGTCCTCTGCGTCGTCGTGAAGCTCATCGTCTTTGGTATCTTCGAGCCCTAGATTTAGGGAGGAAAGAGAGAGAGAGAGAGAGAGAGAGAGAGAGAGAGAGACCCCATCAGAGAGGAGGTTGGATAAAACCGGGGCAAACTGGGTTAGAGAGAGAAGTCTCAAGGTTGGGACTCACCGGAGGGTCTTGATAGGGGAAGCGGAGGTTTAGGCCAAGGCTGAGGGGCAGTGGGTCTGTCCAGGCCGACGCGGTGGACGATTCCATGCCCGGCGAGAAGACTGAGAAGTTTCCACTGGTTCAGCTCCCTCTTGAGATTTGGTTGATGGCGGAGATGGTGGAGGAGAGAGGGAAGAGGAGACTCCGAGCTTCCAAAGTTCTGAGATGGGAGAAGATCCCCGGACAGGAATTTATAATGGACGCTAGGAAGGGAGATGGAAGCCGGGGGAAGTAGCTTCTGGGAACGGGAGGGACTCACATTTATCACGCGAAATAGAAAGGTGAGAGCGGGGGAGGGGAGAGGAATCTAAGGTAGAAAGTCAACTCTGACTATGTCGGCAGATTGGACCCACAGCTAGCGTAGTGATGAGGGTCAATGTCAATGGTCAAGAAGACTGTTCCAGAGGACATGAATCAGTCTCGTGTCCGTCCGAAGAGACCGTTGGAACTTTATCTGTTATCCTGCAGGTAAAAAGCCCCCTCGTCTGAAGTCAACAGGATGTCTGAACGAGCTCGGCTTGGAATCTCAGAACCCATGAAGTCAATCTCAACAACGTCCTTCTGCAGGCTTTGACACGATTACACCCAATTGAGGGCACGAAAATCATTTAAAACTATCTACAGCTTGAATTCATCAACCCGTAAGCTTCAGTGTGGGGGGAAATTTGGATTCTTGGGAGTAATTAACCTTAAATCGGTCAAACGATTGCCTAATCAATGCCGAAGGACTTCCTCTTTTCCTTGTCAGGATTCTCTCACGGCGAGGAGCCCTCCTCTCGCACCCAAAACGGAGGAATTGCGGCCGTTTCTTATAACTCCGATTTCAGGCACACGGTAGGTATAGAGGAAGATGACGACCCGCTTGCTGCCACGCTGAGAAGGAGATGAGAATGGAGAATAAATATATCGGGGTTGGGGGGGACTCGGTCCGGGCGAGGACAAGAACTGGAGTAAATGAAGGCCACATCAAGGAAGAGTAGGACAAGAGGAAAGAAAGCTTCACTGAGAAGGGTGGCCCAAGCGAGCGAAAAGGCTGACTTTGTGCGTCGATGACAACCCTTTCCCTCCTCGATGGGCAAGCATCGATTCCAAGTTGTTGAAAAAAAACTACGCAGGGATGTCGCCTGGCGAAGGCCTTTGACAAGGATGAATGACTGCTAGGAACCCAGACCTCACCCAGTACTCTCTTTGCGCCTTAGAGAGAGTAGTTATGGGAAAGTTAGAGGCTGTAGAAGAGATCCCCAGAGTTCCGGGCATGGCCTATGAGAGGCCTAGACCTGGGTGGAGACCGGACTATGACTCTTTTATTCTACCTTGGTTAGATTTCTTCCATCCCGGAGGCAGTTCGCCGGCTTTTACTGTCTACTGGCAATTTATCGTCGTATTTGGTATTTCTAGTCGTATTCCGTACACGACGAACAGGCAATTCAGAGAATTTGGTGAGTTTCGGTCTCCGTTGAATTTGAGAGAGAGAGAGAGAGAGAGGACTTGATTGTCTACTGGATCAGGTCTTGATGGAAATTATTCCAAGTTTTACGAGAAATATATGCCTTCTAGACAAGAGGATCAGGTCCGAGTCTTATTCTCAACCTTGAGAGAGAAAAATTGATTGACCCGTCGATATCCATCAATGAAGAACATTCGAGCATTGAATCGGGGAGGGTTGACAAACGAAGGTTTTGAATTCAGGCCCTTCTATTTGCCTGATTGGTCAACCACCTCTCAACGAGACATTCCATTCTGGGGATAACGGCAGGAGACCTTTTAAGGCGATAAGGATTTTCACGTTAATACCAGCCGTCGATAAATTATGCTTGGTGGCCCACGGCCTTGCCACGTCCATCCTAGGACTCCAAATGTACGAATAAGAGAGAGAGAGAGAGAGAGAGAGAAAGAGAGAGAGAAGCTAGTTCAAGACACAATATACGTAAATTTTAATTTGTGAAAAAACCCAATGAGACGATAATAATTTGATTAAGAAAATGGATTAAATGAACACGGAGTTAAATCAAAATGTAAGACATAAATTATTATAATGCCTCGTCGTTGCTTGTCTATTCGATTATTTGACGGGTCCTTTTCTCTTCAGAAAGATGTAAAGTTTGACTTTTTTTTTGCAAAGGGATATCATTCTAATCTGAGCAAGCTTGTTGGTAATCTAACGCTGAGCCATCTGAGATCTTATCATTGATGGAAGCAAACCAGGAACACCAGGCCTGTTGGAAACGACGGTCTCACCATCCGCTGGATCTAAAACGAGCGATAATATTTAGAATGAACTAGATATAGGTCGGCTGTCCGCCGCCGCCAGGGGGATCATGATGGTCGCCGGAGGGCGGTAGCGGTCAACCCCCTGCCCCCTTCTTCTGTCTGACCAGCCGCTGGAGAAAGAAATTCGGGTACTCGATCCCCAACACCGTCGTCTGGAAAGTCAACGAGTTGGCTGACCGGAAGCTCTTGAGGCCCTTTCCACCCTTTCTGTGCACCAACCCTCCTCCGTAAAGATATTTAAGTGAAGAGTTACTCCCTCTGCCACTCTCTCTCTCTCTCTCTCTCTCTCTCTCTCTCTCTCTCTCTCTCCTCTTCCACTCCTCATCTCGGATTCCCTGACTCCGGTTTAACCCTCCTGTTCGGTTCCCAAATGTAACGTAATAAGATTGTTTCCTGTAGGATTACGCCCAGGATAAAGTCAAACAATATTTTACTATTCTTATTATCCTGCATCATTTTCAACGCTGACTTAAAATTCCCAAATTGTTGTCGAATTATACCATCTGAAACTCCACGAAGTCAAACGACGATTGTCTCTGAAAAGTCAACCATATGACTCAATCTAGCATGTTATTCCGTTCCGATAAACGCTGAACCTATCCTTCCTGCCCTCCTCCTCTCTGTGGTGTAGCGCCACCACCCCTATGCAGTCGCCGCTCTCCGGAGCTCACCATTCCCTCCACCGTCCGGGCGAGGTGGCATAGAGCGAGAGAGAGAGAGAGAGAGAGAGAGAGGGAGAATCGATCCTTGGAATTGGCCGACGTGGATAGGACCCCGATGTGGAAGTCTCTCAGCCCCCCTCCGCCGCCATCGCCGACATAAACCGCGTCTTACGCACGCCGCCGCCCGGCCGTGGACGGCAGAGACAGCCGCAAATTAAAAAAGTCCACGCGGAGTTGCGTCCAGGCCATGGTTTAGCTCCGCGGTCACGTGAGAGGCCGCAAAGCCAGCGGCTTTTCCCACGTACATGACGGCTTAGGGGACCACTTGCACACGGGTTCTCTTAAAACCAGATAGAAGTCTCCAGATCGCGTGAACGTCATAGACACGTCATCATTGCTGCACATGACGAGCCTACCACGTGTCAGTTCCAAGGAGTATCAATGTTGGGGCCTGTCCGGCCCATTAACATTTCATTTACTGTAATTTGGAATAAAATACAGGTTCTGATTACTCCACCTAAATTAATTAATATATTAAATAAATTTTCCCTTAAAATATGTTCGTAAAAAATGTTTATTGGGCTTTAAGAGGCCCAATACCCAACCCCGCAGAAATAGCCGTTTTTGGACCAACCAAAAGACGCGGTCCCCCCAAATGGGCCGTGGATCTCGCCCGGATGTCGTTCCCTCCCCACTTGAACTGAAACAAAAATATGAATGGGCCCAAAATCAAACTGTCTGGCCCGATACGCTCGGGGCTTGGGCTTTTGAGTTGGGCTCGAGCGGATTGGGCTGGGCGTGAATATATCAATAAATAAGTAAATTATTGGGCTACTGACGGCCCAATAACGGATGACGTTATCCACGGGAGTTCCACGTGTACCACATTTTTCTCAACCCATGAGATGCCGGCACGTACCAGCACAACACTCGTAATTATCCACTTTGCCAGTTATTTATATGCCATTTATCATGGTGCTCTCGCAAGGAAAGGAGTAAATTAATTAATATTGCCAAGTTCGTGACTTATATCTGCTTATTTTCCCCATTAAATATTTTTTAAAATATTTATTTATTTTTCTAGAGGATTAAATTTATAAATCACGGGATTATCGTTTTATTTTTTGGCAGTAAACAAAATCTGGCACGAAGAGATTTATTTCAAATTCTCGTGATTTACATCTAGTCCCTCTACGATTTACAACAGAAAATTTCAACCTCATAATCTGGAAATTGTATGGATGCCCTTCCCCTGCAAGGGCGGGCGGCGCTCGAATGGCCGGCTGATGGCGGAGGCCGCCGTCAGGCTCCGCAGCTGTTACAGCGGCCGTCGGCGGCGGCGGCGCCGTCTTCTCCGGCCCTGGCGTCGTTGCAGTGGTCGCCCTGCCACGCCCAGACCATGTCCTTGAGACCCGGCCTCACATCCTCCTCGCAGAACTTCACGTACTCCAGCGTGTCCCCGGCGGACTTGCAGAACTCCACCACCGCCACCGCCGGCGCCAACTCGAAGACCTCCGCCGTGACGGCGAGCTTCCCCTTCCTCCCCTCCCTCCCCCCTTCTAGCCGCAGCTTGCAGACGCCGCCACCCCTCTTCACGGCGAACCCCAGCGCCCTTCCCACCCTCTCCAGCCTCTCCATGATCGCCCCCGCCGTCCACCGGGAAGTGAACACCGACCCCGTCGCTGCCCTCTGCCGCGGGCTCTTCTCCTCCTCGAACAGCCCCGACAGGTCGAACCCCGACGACATCGCCGAGATCAGCTCGAACGCGTTGAAGAACACTGGCGGCGACGTCGCCTCCCCTTCCGTCGTCCCCTGTTTCTCGCCGCCGTCACCGCCACCGTCGCCGGCGGGAAGGGAGAAGCCCGTCTTGAACCAGGGGTCCTCCATGATCTCTGGCACAGTGATGCGCTTCTCCGGGTCGGGGACGAGGAGGCGGGAGACGAGGCGGGAGGCGCCATGGGAGAACCACCGGGGGAGCTCGAACTGGGCCTTGAACACCTTGCGGTACATCTTCATCAGGTTCTCGTCCTGGAAGGGCAGGAACCCTGCGAGGAGCACAAAGAGGACGACCCCGCAGGACCAGAGATCGGCGGCGCCGCCGTCGTAGCCCTTCTTGCGCAGGACCTCCGGCGCCACGTACACCGGCGTGCCACACTGTGTGTGGAGCATCCCGTCCTGACGGAGCTGCTCCGGCAGGGCGGAGAGCCCAAAGTCGGAGACCTTGAGGCCGCCATTCTCGTCGAGTAGGAGATTCTCTGGTTTGATGTCCCGGTGGGAGACGCCGCGGGAATGGCAGAAGTCCACGGCGGAGATGAGCTGCTGGAAGTAGCGGCGGGCGTCGTCCTCGCAGAGCTTGCCGCGGGCCACCCGGGCGAAGAGCTCGCCTCCGCGGATGTACTCCATGACGAAGAAGATGCGGGACTTAGTGGCCATGACTTCCCGGAGCTCCACCACGTGAGGGTGCCGGACAAGGCGCATGATGGAGATCTCCCTGACGATCTGCGCCACCATCTGCGGCTCCCGCTTCACCTGCTCCTTGTTGATCACCTTGATGGCCACGCTCTCCCCCGAGGAGAGCTCCTTCCCGTAGTAGACCTTCGCGAAGGTCCCCTTACCCAGAAGCCGCCCCATCTGGTACTTGCCGAACAGCACCTTCCTCTCTCCCCCGCCGCCGGCGACGCCTTCTTCTTCCTGCCGCACCATCTCTCACGGAAATCGGAAGAAATGGGCTCTTGGGTTTCAGATCCTACGAGGCGGGAAGAAGAAGAACAGGACTCGAAAAGGACCACAGATCCCCGGAGAGCTGTATCTGGGCCGCCGCCATGGCTGAGCTTCTTAATTCAGGAAGATGGATGGATGGGGAAGAAGAAGGACTCTGAGGGGCCTGCGAAGGATCCTCCAGGACGAGAAAACATGGGGTGCTATCTAGCAGGAAGCACGGCGGAATCCCGCCGTCGCTGCTGGTATTCTGTGGCGGGTTCACATGAGTGGAGCCTATTTAGGGCAGGGGGCGGTATTCCGGACTGGTGCAGGCGGGTCCGCAGGAAGACGACAATTCCAGGGCCCACTCGACCAATCAGATATCAACATCCAGTTACCCGGTCGTTACTCCCGAGGTGATGTCGGCGGTTGGATCCCCCAAGAGGCATCTGTGGTTGTGGGGTTTAAAACAATTGGCAAGTGGGCCCCAAATTTCCAAATATTTAAAATATTTATTTATTTTCTAAAAAATTACATGTTGCCGGATGAAATGGACTCATTGGCACTTTAATAGGAATATAATTTATTTTAGCCAAATAAATTAGGACAGAAAATACAAAAACGGTGGTTCTAGGACGGGATATTCATCGCAGACCGTTCAGTTTTTTTTCCTTTTTTGGTATTATTAAAAGTCAAAGTCAAAGATTGACGGAAAATTAGAGAAAAATAGTGGGTCTTCTTTGGGGGGTTACAATTATCAATTAATAGTCTTTTAATGGACCCACTATTCTCGCTGATGTAATCAGCGTTTCACAATATATAAAAAATAAATAATATTTATTTATTCATTTTTCCAAGAATAAGCCGAGTGCAAGAGGATTGCTTTCCAAAGACAGGAATTCGGGTTCCCCGTACTTCTTCTATACACGTTGTTTCCGTTTTTCTTCCGCTAATGGGTTGGAAAATAAATGGGAGAAAACAAAATCCTGATTTAAATTAATTGAGTGGAAGAAATACGAAATATTTTAAATAGAAAGGCCGTGGGTTATCCCCGGCTCCCCTGTCTCGAAGGGTCGCGAAAGGCCGGAGGAAGGCGACCTTCAAGGAGTTGAGCGAGCCACGTAACCGACCAGGAGTGGCCATAATGAGATTGGGACGCATTAATGGGCCTTCTTGCATATGACCCAATATAAATGTATTTTGGGCCGTATGTATGGAAGCTACAAGGCCCCATTTTAAATTGAGATTCTAGTGACCAATGATTACTTGCCCATGGTGGGCCCATGTTTACGTTCGAGATCACGCCACGCAAGCCGAGGGAACCGGTTTAAGGGCCCTCCACGTGTGTGTCTAGAAATGGAAGATGGACGTGATCCGAAGATCAAGTGGGCCCGCCACGGGAACCCAATGTCAGCTTCCTCCCGATTCCCGATTTGTTCGTAAATGAATTATTGAGCGACAAAGTGGGCCCACTTGTCCTTTTTTCGGCCGCTGTTCGGTCAGATGCGCCCTTCCCAGCATACAGTAAAATATATAACGAAGTGGGCCACACTTGGGCCCAGTTGACCCGTCGCCAACAAGTCTATACCCTCCCACCCCGCGCCCCCTCTCTCTCTCTCGGCCACCGGAGGAACCGCTCATTGACCCCTGACCCACATCTCATTTCGGGCATTTTTTAGTAAGCATGGGCTGGGGCCCATTAACAGCGCCACGGCAGCGTGTAAGACATTCACGACTATTATTACTCCCGGGGACATCCTCCGTTGACCAAGAGATTTCAAGACCGTTCCCGGATCGCCATCTGTCATCTTTCCGTTGATGCGTCAGTCACGCTCTCTTCGGGTATGCCAGTGCCTCAATGTTTAAAGAGAGAGGGAGAGGACCAAACTGCCACCTCGCGAATCAGACAGTAGTTTGGGATGGATGGTTCTGGTGGTGGTATTCTTATTTTCTTCGTCTTCAACACGGGCCACCGATTTGGGCGCGGGACCCAGCAGATATTTTCAGCCTTCTTCTCTCATCAGACCCACAAAATTAAATATAATATATTTATCCTTATTTTTTATAATCTTAGCTCATCAGCCCCCAGACTTTTGTGTGTAATTGAGAGAAGCGGTGTCAGAAGAGTTTACGCAAAACTTATTAATTATGGGGCCATTTTGAAAAAACACTTCAAATAATTTTATAAAAAGAAATACCCGTAATTACACAAATTTTTACAGCACCTGAGCTGCGCACCCACGTGGGACCTACCCCACTTCTCTAATAGATTTCGAATCTGACTGTGCAGCTGGCTAGAGCGAGAGAGAGAGAGAGAGAGAGAGAGAGAGAGAGAGAGAGAGAGAGGGTAATTCCCTCCCCGGGGCTACCGGAAACGCCGCCGCATCCAGGTGGCCGCCGCCATCTCTTAGCTCCTTCATGGGCAGTATTTTAAAACAGGGCGCAGATCCAGACGTCTCTGTGAGCGGGACTGGAGCCCTTCCATGAAACCACCTGCGAGTTGCCGCCAGGGCCGGTGGTGCGCGGCATATCCAGACGCCCTTCTCTGACGGGGACCGGCGGCACTGCCAAGACCGCTCAAAGCAACACGTGGCCTCCCCATATCGGAGATCCATCTGAGTTGCACCTTCGTTTCTTCCTACAATTTCTTAGCATTCTCGTCATGGGATCCATGCGAGTGCCGACTCCCCCACAAGACGACAAATTTCAACGTCAATCTGCACAGATCCCGTGAGAGAGAACGTGCTTGGGTCTAGACAATTGGACGGCCCAAAACGCCTCCTGACGCACCGCTCTAAGGTGGTATAAATAACTGGGAGGCCGCCGGTCACCTCCGCTACTTCTTCTCTGTTCTCAGCCGCCACCACCATCTTCTTGCCATCTCTGTAGCAAGCGGAGCACCGCCTCTGGGAATGCATCAGGATGAGCAGATCAAACCCTAGTCTCGGAGGGCGGCGGAGGCGCCACACAGGCCGGAACTGCCACCGGAAGCACATCGAGGACGGGTAGATCGCCGCCGGCGTCATCGTCTTCTTGCCTCTCTCTCTCTCTCTCTCTCTCTCTCTCTCTTTTCTTCCGCCGCTGCCGCTGCCGCTGCCGCCGCCGTCTGGTTTCTGCTGTGGTTCCGCCATTGTTCCGGCGATGGAGGAGGTTCTCTCTCCGTCGGCGGCCTCCGGGGGGAAGGCGGTGCTCCACGGGAAGTACGAGATGGGGCGCCTGCTAGGGCACGGGACCTTCGCGAAGGTCTACCACGCCCGGAATATGCAGAGCGGCCAGAGCGTTGCCATGAAGGTGGTGGGGAAGGAGAAGGTGATCAAGGTAGGGATGATGGAGCAGGTCAAGCGGGAAATCTCGGTGATGAAGATGGTCTCCCACCCGAACATCGTCGAGCTCCACGAGGTGATGGCCACCAAGACAAAGATCTACCTGGCCATGGAGCTGGTCCGCGGCGGCGAGCTCTTCTCCAAGATCTCGCGGCACGGCCGCCTGAAGGAGGACGCCGCGCGGATCTACTTCCGGCAACTCATCTCCGCTGTCGATTTCTGCCATTCCCGAGGCGTATACCACCGAGATCTGAAACCAGAGAACCTGCTCCTCGACGAATCCGGCAACCTCAAGATCGCCGATTTCGGCCTCAGCGCATTCTCCGATCATCTCCACGCCGACGGCCTCTTCCACACCACCTGCGGCACCCCCGCTTACGTTGCCCCGGAGGTCATCGGGAAGAAGGGCTACGACGGCGCCAAGGCCGATATCTGGTCCTGCGGCGTCATCCTCTACGTGCTCCTCGCCGGATTCCTCCCATTCCAGGACGACAACCTGGTGGCCATGTACAAGAAGATCCAGCGGGGGGACTTCAAGTGCCCCCCCTGGTTCTCATCCGACGCCCGCCGCCTCGTCACCAAGCTCCTGGATCCAAACCCCAAGACGAGACTGACCGTCGCCAAGCTCCTCGAGTCCCCCTGGTTCAAGAAGCCCTCTCTTTCGCCATCTCCCGCCGGTGGGCCGGAGAAGGAGAAAGCGGAGGAGAAGGAGAAGCCGGAGATGCTCAACGCCTTCCACATCATATCTCTGTCGCAGGGGTTCGATCTGTCGCCGCTGTTTGACGACGTGGGGCGGCGAGGGGGGCGAGCGGAGGGGATGCGGTTTGCCACCAGGGAGCCGGCGAGCGGTGTGATCTCGAGGCTGGAGGAGGTTGCCACCAAGACGGCCGGGAAGTTCAGTGTGCAGAAGAGCGAAACCGGCGTGAGGCTAGAGCGACAGGAGAGGGGCCGGAAGGGGCCACTGGCGGTGGCGGCGGACATCTACACGGTGGCGCCGTCGTGGCTCATGGTGGAGGTGAAGAAGGACGGCGGTGACACCCTCGAGTACCATAGCTTCTGCTGCGACGAGCTCCGCCCGGCGCTCAAGGACATCGTCTGGGCCTCCTCCGACCCCCAGCCTGCCGCCGCCTAACTACTCTAAATCTTCTTCTTCTTCTTTCGCCGATCTCTGCAATTTTTTCCCCGGCGCCATGAATTCTCAGAATCAGTGCTCCTGTGAAATCGGTTCTCTCTCCTGTCCCAGACCTACTGTCTTCTGTTTGGTTTGTCCGTATGTCGGTTGAGCCTCGAGATCTGTACTAATGGGCGGTCCATTTTGATGTATCCACATGAGCCCAGTGGGCCAGTGCATCACATACGAATTGTGGGTTCCGGCTGGGCCTGCGCACTCTTTGGAGGGCAGAGCCCAGATGAAATAATGAGTCGATCCCACCGACAAGGGTGGGATTGGACTGGACGGCCCACTGCACGATGCAAATGGGCCCATCCACGGAGTAGCTTCACCACCGCGTGGCATCTACTCGGGCTCGACCCGCTGAGTAATTATTATTATTTAATATTTTTCAATAATTTATGCATCAATATTTACGCGCCAGCTAATCTCTGACAAAAATGGTATCGGATCTCAACGGCTGGTCTGGTCGGGCCTCCATCATCCCATCCGGCCCGAACCATTTACTTCATCTTCTTTCTTCTTCGTTCTTCTTAGCTTCTTCTTTCTGTTTCTTCTTCTTTCCGCTACTTCTTCCTCTTCTTTCTGCTTCTTCTTCTTCTTCTTCTTCTTCTTCTTCTTCGTCTTCTTCGTCTTCTTCGTCTTCTTTCTTCTTCTTCTTCTTCTTCTTCGTCTTCTTCTTTTTCATCTTATTTCTTCTTCTTCGTTCTTCTTAGCTTCTTCTTTCTGTTTCTTCATCTTCTTCTTTCTGCTACTTCTTCCTCTTCTTTCTGCTTCTTCTTTTTTCTTTCTCCTTCGTTGTTCTTTCTTCAGCCTTCAGAGTGGGAGCGTGGGGGGGGGAATGATTGGGAGGGTAGGGCTGGTCGCGTGTCTGAGCTCCGAGGAGGCGGGCGTGGATAACCTAAACTAGGGCGGAGAAGCTCAGAGTCTAGTCTCGCCTGGTTTCCGTACTCTCCATGAACTTCTTCTCACGTTCATCCCGATAAACGCTGGTTTGCCCCCGCGATTCCTCCGATTCTTTCGCAAGCTAAACGTGGGTTTCCGGAGACCCTGTCCTGCCTCTGGAAGGAGGCAAGAAGACGACAGATCACCCCAGCTCTCTCTCTCTCTCCCTATCTGTGTCTGTTTCGTTTCTATCCATCGTCTTGGATGGGAGCGCTTGCTCATGTGAAGAATGGTGAGAGAAACGGAGGTTGAGGGCGGGAAGACCATTAAATGGCGCCGCAAAAGAGGATTGCGGCAGTGCGGCGGCTGCTCCGAAGAGTTGTCGCCCTGCGTCCCGAGGCAGATGTGGTGGCGGACAGCTCGCATACTTGTCTCGACCCGCCGTCAGACAGCGCGGCAACTGAATCAACGCTGACTCAGAGACGGGCCCTCTAAGATCTTCAATCCCATACGCTTGTAAACGTGCTGGCCTCGAAACCATATTCGTGGAAATCCCGAACAGACAGTCTCCGAGCGAAAATCACCCTCCTCGTGCATACATACCCCCGGTAGGGATTCAGATCAGCGTGGAGAGAGAGCGCGAAACCGAGTTTTGTCTTCCGGATCTGATTGATATCAGCGAGCCCAAACATGGGCCAGATTCAGATGGAGGTGTAACAGTTAACAACTCAGATCTTCCTTCGTTTTCAAACCCAATCCCAACCCCAGGAAAGAGAACGATGGTTTCCTTGAAAACGGCAAAAGAAATTTAACCTATCATGGCGGAAAGCTGACTTCGATCCGAGGGAAGAGGAGCCACATGCCGGGGCCGACTGTTTCTCCGGCGGCTTCTTCGCATGGACGGTCTTGCCTGGCTTTAGCCACGGCAGAGAATCTCAGAGCTCCGCAGCCGGAGCACCGCAACGGTCTGGACGGGTCCAGACAGCTCTGCCCCACATGGGCATCGCTGGATGCCATTTTAGAGTTGACGACGATGAATTGTTTCTCCCCTCGACCTCTAATGCGGGAACTTCGGCTCTCTCACGTGTCTTGTCCTTCGTCTACGCCCATCGTGGACGCCAGTCCCGGCGGCTTTTGCCTTCAGCGAGCCAATGGCCGTGGAAAATCTGTCGGGGTGGCAACCTTTCTGGATTCTGAGACTAGACCCGCTTGAAGCTATAGTTTATTTCAGATGTGGAGAGAGAGAGAGAGAGAGAGAGAGAGAGAGAGAGAGAGAGAGAGAGAGAGAGAGATGACAATGCTGAAACGTTTCCAGGGTCTTTGCTTACTGTTCTCCCAAGGCACAGGGCGTAGAGAGCCCTATGGTCGTCTGCATGATGACCGGCTTGAAACGACCGCGCAGGAGCTCACAGGTCTCAGAAAACTTCAAACGTTTCTTGCGTGCCGATTGATCAATAAGTGAATCGGATTCTTCCTCACTCCAGTAACGACGTTTCTCTGAGTTTCTTCCAAAGATTGTCTTCCTCGAATAGGCATCATTTTCTGTCCAAACGATTGAGTTTCTCTTCGTCGGATGTCTTTAATTCACTCATCATTCGTTTCTACTCCCAGCCACATTGAACAGCCATCCCACTTCTCTTTACCCTCTCTCTCTCGCTCTCGCTATATATATAGACATATATAAATATTTATTCATGCATGTATAAAGATTTGCATACCGACTACAAGGCGGAGAGAGGGAGAGTATCGGATCAGCCGGGCTATATATGAATATTAGGGAATTGGTTGTTTTCGTGGCTGCAGCATTTTTCATGGAGGAAAAGGATCTGATACGGTTTTTTCGGATCCTCTCTCCTCTGAGCTTGGTCTGAGCTTCGTCGAATATTCAATACAGAGCAAGAGGGGAGAGCGAGAGAGAGAGAGAGAGAGATAGAGAGAGGAGGCATAGGGTTTTCCACTGCTGTCAAGTCAGAGGAGATCATATCCCATTCATGCTGCTGCTGGGCGTTCAGGACACGGGAAACCAGAAACCATGGGAAGCGTAGGGGATCGAGATCTATGCCTGCCTACGGTGGCGGTCGTTTTCAAATGCTGTGTGAAAGGACATCCCAATCGTCGCTATTGGCAAATGGTCAATCAATACGGACGGCAGTGGGTCAGTAAATGCCAGGGTTGGCTTACTAATGGTATACGCCACCGTCCACCCACCACTTCCTCGCAAACTCGAGCTGGCGTCCATAAATATATATATATATATATTGCAATATGGAAGTATGACCTCATTTAATTTAGGCACCTGGGGAGTCACAAATCTATTACCCACTTCAACTTTTAATGAATGGTAGCAAATGTGACTAGATTTAATATGGAATCATAATCGAAAGACTTTATTAGATGATGTTATACTACGGGCTAAATTTACTAAATATTAACATTTTCAAAATTGCATCTTTGGCATCTCCTGGATGTTTCATGATCCAGAGCCATCGTAACTTCGGTTTTTTCGGTACATGTCTATTTGCAAAATTCTAGTAGCATTTTAATGCATTCTTATTGCACCTTTAGAAATCAAGATGTAACTACTACAAAGAATGATTCTCAACTAATTTGGATATCAGCCCCCTTGAAGCTTTTACAGAGTCTACAAACAAACTAGACTAGCAGAAGAATTTACGAAATATATTGGTCCGATTTTCCACAAAATCATATATTGAAGCTTGAGTTTATTTCAAAATCTTTTAAACATCTTCATCATTGACTTCTCAAAGGTTGGATTCCGATGACCTCTCAATAGCTTGCTCGTAAAATGGAATTGGGATCGGTGATATTCCAATGGCACACAACCTTACACGTGAAAGTAAAATAATACAACATCGCAGTTGAGTTTTTCTTTAGAAATACCTGCGAGGTGGTAAAAATAACATTTCGTATTTTCAGCTAATTTATAGTTTCCTCCGGCGATCAGCTGGTAGTTGATTGGGGGGTGGGGGTGGGGGGGGACATGCAGCCACAAACCCAGCACTCGACCAACTTCAAACTGACGAACAATGTAACTTGAAAGGAGCTTATTGTGATGAAGAAGTGAAGATCATGCATCGCAATAAGATTTTTCGTTTTTGAATGCTTAATATGGACAAATTGAGCACATCTCTCATGATTTTGATGTAATATAGTGTCATTATTACACTGAATAAAGTTCTTGTGATGTCGGATTGATATAATACCACTGCCATGGCCTACGAGGCTAAGAAAATATTTTATGTTCGGCCATCAGAAAATATCCGATAATAAGACAAAGGCATCCGGCATGAGGATTTTAACGTATATTTGTCGAATTACGTGATGAACAGGATGCGCATGGAGACTTTGAGAGGGTGTGAAGGGGAGGGGGGACAATGATGCCTAAATAATTTAAGTGTCATATGGCTAGTTTTATGGCTGTAAGATGACGTTCTCGTCGCCTTCGGGTTGGTTTGCACGACCTTGTGACGTTAAGGGAGAGGGGAAATTCTTTCTCTTCTTCGCAGATTAGGATTAAATCATGACACCGAATGTGTATATGGTGGCGGCTGATGATAACCTTTCTGTGATAGCATCTGGTTATGGTTAGTTGCATGGGGATCTTTTCAACGAGCGGCAGGAAACACGTGCTCCACAAAATTTGTGTGTGGGTGTGGGGGTGGGGGAGGGATGGGAGTGTGAGAGAGATTCTCGTTGGAGGAAAGATTAGATAATAGCGGAACCCTAGATCCAGAATGAGAGTACGATCCAGAATCCAGATAAGGCATCGTGGAACCTGTCGCTCTCTCTCTCCTCTCCCTCTTCAAATACTCATCGGCATCCAATCTACTCTGCTTATGGCCTCCCACGCACTGTCTGAGGGTCGGAGAGGGGAAGGAAGCGAGCGAGCGAGCAAGAGCGAGAGAGAGAGAGAGAGAGAGAGAGAGAGAGAGAGAGAGAGAGAGAGAGAGAGAGAGAGAGAGAGAGAGAGAGAGAGAGAGAGAGAGATAGAGAGAGAGAGAGGGAGAGGGAGAGGTTACTTGCTAGGAAAGGAAATCTGGCACTTCCTTCGTATG